GTAAGAGGCCTCAATGCCAGTGAAACTATGAATACTATTAAAATATATCCAGAAGTACTATTAAGGCTCTACTTTTGACAGAAAATCACTGCAAACTATAATTTTTGGCTCCAAAAATCTCTTCCAAATTATATGTGGTGACTTAGCATGTCACTTCCTCCTTGCTTTATTCTACTGCTTTCTGGAAAGGGTGGAAGTATCCTACCAAAAGCCTTTAGATAGACCTGCCCTATGCACATTAAAATGTGTGTAGGACTGGCTTGCAAGAACCAAATCCCCAATGCAGTAATCCAAAGGTTTTCAAACTTTTTGAGTCCACGGTTCCACCGGGGCCTGGGAAGAGGATCCCCCCAGCCTTAGTGGCCTAATGGAGACTGGCCAAACATGAGGCCAGACCATACCTTGGGCACTGCCAGGCCTGCATGGCAGAAAAGCTCCCCTTCAGCGCTGGACACTCAGTTCCCAGGTAAGCCTTGCTCACAGCAAGCACAAGAAAGGCTAGTGCGTTGCCTGCCTGCCTGTCCGTTCCCAACAGCAAGAGCTGGCTGGGAGCTGAGTGCCCTGACCCACTTGCTTGCTTACTCCAAGGCCGCCTCTGCTTCTGGCAACCAGCACCCCCTGGCCAGCCCCAGAGGCACCATTCGTCTGCAGAGCTTGTAGCCAGGGCTGCTGCAACAAACATCTGCCTTTGGGAGGCAGAGACGCAAGAGGGCATCAGAAGGATGGAAAGAGGGACAGAGGCCAGTGTTGCCCGCAGCACCCCTGACCATCATTCAAGGCACTCCAGGGTGCTACGGCACATGGGTTGAAAACCACTGCAGCAATCTGTTTCTGTTTGTACACTGTTATGAGGAAGGCAGTACACGTTTCCACTGTTTGCACCATTCCTCCTTCAGACTAGCTTTTCAGATGTGCATGTTCAACACTGGAGTTGTTCATTACTTCCATGTATGTCTTGGGCTGGCTGAGTTAAGACGACAACGAGGGGTGGCTTGCAGTGGACCCTGGGGAAGGCTCCAGAAGACTTGGCAAGTCACTGTCTGATCCACAGGTGTTTGATGCTGAGGATCCTAAGGGTGCAGGATCCAAATTTTCCTCACCCTGCGCTCAAGTCTCATCAGTCACCACAGTGAGATCCACGCGCCCTTCCTCCCTCCCTCTCTAGAACTGTCAGAGGCCAGCACTGAAGCTTCCTGTCACTCTGTCTATCAAGCCTTTAAAGTCAGACACAGATTCTACCCTTGCCTCTCCAGAGGGGGGTGCTGTGCTTGATTCTTCTGCCTCTCAGGAGGTAGGAACACCTTCCCTGCCACTTAAATCTCAGACACATCAATGGATGTGTGAACAAGTCTTCCAGCCTCCCAGGTGACATGTGAGATTGCTTGCTAAGGAACCAAACTGCAATTCTGTGCTAAGTTTCTCTCTCTCTCTCTCTCTCTCTCTCTCTCTCTCTCTCTCTCCCCCTCCCTCCCTCCCTCCCTCCCTCCCTGCCCCCTCTCCGGGCTCCAAGAGAAATGCAAGGTGCATGTTGTTGGATCAACATATTTCACTAAGCTTCTTGAAAGAATCAGCCTCTGAGTTTGTGTGCTTCGATTGGGGTTGCAGCAGAACAATAGGTTGCCCTTCAATGAGACCAACATAGGTGTTAGAACCATTTTGCACAGTTCACACAATCAAGGGCAGAGCTGGTCTTCTGTAAAAAATTCCTGCTGCAACATTCCCTCATATTAAAACTCTTGTGCAGTAAACCAGCACAGCAGGAAGAGAACGGTGCTGAAGGCTTTTCTCTCTGATATGGTAGCTTACAACACAAAAGTCTTCGTCCTCACGACCACCTTGGGAAAGTGCTAAAGTGCTAGATGCCACAATTCTGCCACGTCACACTCTGTAATGTGAAGAATGCTACTTTGCCCTAAATTCACGAGCAGCAGGAGGATGTGATAAAATGGACTGCATTGGCTGCATTGGCGAGATGTTGCTTTTTACATAATTCCTCGTGTTTAGAAATTTGTTCAAGTAGACCTAGCTGCTTCCCTACTGTGCTAATGAAGTGTAATGGTGGCATGTCTGCTGTTTTCTTTCTACTGTAGGGGAATGCTCATGAGCAGTCAAAAGGCTCCTTCATATCTCTGCTTATTAAGTGGAGATACGGTTATCCAAAAATCTCCTTGTCACATGGTCAGAAAGATCATGATTGTTTCCAGGCTGCCGCTGTTTTGTAGGAGAGATTCAGTCACATACTGGATAATCTTTAAGACTGCACAATGAAAGAGAATTAAAGAACTCAGACAGAACTAATGTGCTTCCCTTTGTGCAACATGTGGGATAAAAGTGTGTTAGGTGTGTAAAGTTTTTAAAAGTAAGAAGGCAGCGAGAATGGTGGGGGGAAATGAGTTGCAGGGCATGTTTTTCCCTAAGAGAGAGTTCTCCCTCCTTTTTTAAAAAAGGATTTTTTTATTAAAGATTTCTTGGTATATGCAATGTCTCTTTTTTCAAATTACATTTTCTACAGATCACTTTCATTTGTTGAGACATTAGTGTTACATTAGGAAGAAAAGGGAAGAGGTGGAGGGGGGAATGGTGAGTGGGGGTGGGGTCGGGTGGCAATATTTCTATTCTACTTAATGTTGTGTGGGCTTTTGTGTCAGCGTCGCTTGTGTGGGTTTTCTTTACTATTCGCTTGTGTTCCTTTGGTGGTGAGAGAGGTTGTGGCTGGCCTAGGGTGTGGTGAACTTTGTTTTCTTGTGTGAGTGGGGTGGGTGTGTGTTTTTGAATCAGGTTAGCCATCTTGATTCGTATGCTATTGGTGGATTCTTGTCGTTGTTTTGTTGGGCTGTGTAAGGCGTCTTCCTCTATTTGTCCCCATGTCGGTTTAAGTTTGTTGGTTAGTTTTTCTAATCAGGCTGTTTTCTCCCTCCTTTTTTCAGCACATGTTGCTCAAGGTCTTATGACACCATTGGCCAAGCCAGCTTTTCATCCTTTTACACACACAGCCCCAAACTCCCTGCTGTGATGGGGAAGGGGAATAGAATACAAAACATGGTCTTGCGTGAATGGTATTGCTTTACAGAGAACTTTCATTGACACAGAGGAATGCAATCCTTACAAGTCAGGACTTAGTTCCCAAATCTGTTTTGGTTACCTCATCAAGGAACACTCCAGTTAGATATGAAAGGTACCATGTGAAACTTCTGGTAAAGCTATAGATCTTATTACGCAACACATTCCTTTAGGCATCCCAGTAATGAAATGGACTACAACCAGAAATGCAAAATCTATAATCACAGTAAGTGTGTGGTGTCTGTTACAAAATACATCCCTCCCAAACTTACTGTAACACATTATTAGAAATAGGGTAGTTACTTTGTAATACCAGCATTGAATTCCAAAGCTGACTGTTTTTATATTGGTCAATTGAATTAGGCAGTTTGAATCAGTCTTCTTATACGTTCTTCAACTTGGTGTTTAACTGTTGCTCTTTATTTAGCTTAATATGCTGAGTGACTCCTGCAGAGTTTGAAAAGCATGGCCACTAGAATTAAATTAGGACAATTACCTTTATTTGCATTAATTACACATCATTTAACTCCTGCGGGAAAAGATACAGCACCGTTGCACTAGACCAAATTTGGGAGACTTGGCTCTCCTAGATGTTGCTGAATTGATTATTATTATTCCTGGAAACCTCAAGTTATTGTTTATTTTCCAGCAGTAACTAAATATTTAAATTACAATGTGGTGTATGTATCCCACAGCAATAGCAACCTTGGCAATGCCTCTTCATGTCACAAACCAGTGTGCATTAGGGTATGTTGGTGGCTCCACTGCTGAAACACAGTACCCAGACAGAATCTCCTAATGCAGCAATTTTGCATTGTGTTTACATTTTGCTGCTTGTTAGTTGTGAGATGAAAATAGATGGCAATCAACTCAAATGATAACTTTTATTAGCCACTGTATTCTAGAGTCTAGATAACCTCTTAAAATCTTACAAGGGTACCATTGACAGGATATAACTTCTAGTTTCTCTGATCCTATTAATTTTAATTGATCTTTGTATATGTGTGCATGTGTATGTGTATTGCACACCACTTAGAAACCACAAATTTAAGTAATATATAAATTATTCTAAATAAATAAAAATGATTACTTAGCAAGTAGCAGCAAGGACCCCTGTGTGATATAGCCTGCTCACCAGACAAGGTTTAACTGGGTGGACATATTGGCTGCCCATGTCCTAAGTATGATCTTTATCTGCTTTTAGTTCTTCAGTAGTCATTGGGTAAATTCTATATGTTACTGGTTAGTAATACCTGGTTAATGTGAGTGTTTCACTCCACATAAATATTTAAATCCTTAATCTTCTCTTTTGCCACACGGAAAAAGAAGTCAACAAGACTAACCTAGAACTAAAATATGGATATCACAAAGAGCATTGAAAATCTACTTCAGTAAACTTTGACAGTAGCAAGCAAGTAGTTACACAGGAATTTCAGAAATGTTGTTTAAATAATTAGTTCTTTATGCATTGAAAGCAAAGCAGGCTCATACTTGGGTGTAGGCACTGGAGTAAAGGAAGTCGAATGCTCTGAAACTGATAGCCTCTTTTCTTCTGGAATGTGATTTGTCAAATGAGGTGCATGCAACGCACACTGGATTTCTTTTTCTTTTTCTTTAATTGATGTGGATTAAAGAAATACACCACACCTCTGAATTAACCAGTTGGTGAATGGCGTGTGTGATCGAAGTATGAATCATAATGCTTTAAAAGCTAACGATTTATCACCACAGTGATATGATATATTAATGGCTTAAGGGGACGAGTAGTAAAATAGATCTTGGCTTTTAAACAGCAGTCACACAACAGTTGCCAAATGCCATTTTTGAAGCAGTCTTTTTCTTTATTATGAGCCAGAACAGTAGAGTGGGCAGGGTTGTATTTAGCTTGGGGAGAACTGAACAATGCTATCTTTGCTGAGTGTTCATTTAAATATAATGTCATGCTGGCTACCAAAGCGATAGGAGCAGGAAATCCACAGCTACTAGACATCTCTAATGTCAAAAACATATCAAAGGCAGGTAAGAGGCTCTTATCAAACCTTTTTATGAATAGCAATGCCCTATCTAGTACATGATATCATTACCAAGGCTGTGGGGCAAAGGTAGCAGACACAGGGATGTGGGGATTAGTTAACATAGTTTGCGTCAACTTGGTCAGTGGAGAATGCTGCACATTGCCTGCTGGGAAAAACCTCTGTTCTGTAACTCCTTCTGTATGCAGTTTCTAGTGAGATTAGACATTGTGATGCAAAGTATGCGCTGATCTCAAGATGCAGAATGAGCTATTTAATGATGCCCAGCATGTTTCAGCTAGATGAGGTATTGCTCTAGGAATTACAAAAAGGAAAGGGGACAACCTACTCTTTCTTCAGTACATTCAGATTGGTTCTCTCTTTTTTTTGTCTACTCCAGTTGATGCATCCCATTTTTTGTGTGTGTTGAAAGTACAAGTTGTCAGCTAACTGCATTTCTTAAATGTCGTACTTACTAAAGTACCTTAGAAATAAAACTGTTAGCCGCCAGTGATATTTATTTATTAAGGACGTTTTTATTTTTATGTTTTTCAAAAATTTTATTGATTTTCCAAAGAATTTTTTAAACAAACAAACAAGCAAACATCTCAGCTGTATTTAAACCAAGCTTAATAACATTGTTAAGTGACTTCCTCGTATCCCCCTGGTTGAATTTCAGTGTATATCATTTTAACGGTTTTCCAAAAACCCTATTCTTATAAAGTTAACTTAATCACTTAACATCATTATATTTTCCATTCCAATTCAGTATTAAACATATTAATTCATCTCATTACCTATTATGTCCTAAGCCTATCTGTTATTTGCAAGCTTCTCCAATTAATTTAACTTAGCATATTTAACTAAATAGTCTTTAAATTTCATCCTTTCTTCCTGATAGTCCTCCTCCTTCTGGTCACAGACTCTTCCAGTCAGGTCGGCTAGCTCCGAGAAGTCCATCATCTTCATCTGCCAATCTTCCACTGTTGGTACTTCTTGTGTTTTCCAATTCTTATCTAATAAAATTCGAGCAGCAGTCATGGCATACAAAAATAATTTAACATCTTTCTTGGGCAATTCCAGACCTGTTATTCCAAGAAGAAAGGCCTCTGGTTTCTTACTAAATGTATATTTCAACATTTTTTTCTTCTCCCAGAAGTCTTTCACCTTGGGGCAGGTCCACCACATGTGATAAAAAGTACCCTCTTTATCTTTACATTTCCAACATAAGTTATCACTGTTATGGTAAATCTTTGCTAATTTTGTAAGAGTCAAATACCACCTATACATCATTTTCATTATATTTTCCTTTAACACTGTATGCCACTCCAACAATAAATTACACATTTTAGACAAATTTTTAACTTTAGAATCCAACAGCTCCCTTTCCAACTTAGATTTTTCTGAGGCAAAACCATTTTTCTTATCTAATTTGTATAGTTCATTAATTTGGTGATAATGTAGCCAATATTAAGGACATTTTTAAACCTCCCTTCATCAATTAATCCCAGATTGGACTAAAACAGCAATTAAAGCAACAACTGTAACAAAATACGAGCAGGCCATGATGGGAGGGGTATAAATAAATTATTATTATTATTATTATTATTATTACAAATAAAATATGTAATAAACATTCCAGCATACCAATTGCAGCAGCAGACTGATGTTCCACAAGTCTCTGGGCAAACAGATTTTAACGTGGCACTTAAATGTCAGCCATGTCCATGCCAGGCTTACTTCCAGGGAGAAGGTAGGTCATAACTGAGGTGCTACCACCAAGAAGGCCTTACCTTGTGTCATCACCCTAGTGCTGGAACAATGAAAAAGCCTCCCCTTGATCTAAGCACCCAGGCAGGCTGCCAAGGTGAAGTGGAATTTCACATACCTGGTCCCTCAAGTGATTTCAGAGGGCTTTATAAGACTGTCATCTTAAATTTAGCCTAGAAATGATTAGGTCATCCAGTGATGACCTTTCGGGATTAGTGTTCAGGATCCTTGATGTCTGTCTCCATTATCTTGCTTTGGCATACTGTACTAACTCTAATTTCCAGATTGTCTTTAAAGGCAGCCCCATGTAGAGGGCAATATCCAAATGATCAAATAATACAGACACTAGTATAACTGTTTAAAAAGATGAATGCCATTAGAAAAGAATGGTTCAGAAGAATGGTAATTTGTTATTCGTTTTTCTGGCTTGAATGTCGCTATGAATGCATTACTAATATGCTAAGGCATAACAACCTAGCAGTTCCTGCCAACCTAGCAGTTTGAAAGCACGTCAAAGTGCAAGTAGATAAATAGGTACCACTCCAGCGGGAAGGTAAAGGGCATTTCTGTGCGCTGCTGGTTACACCAGAAGCGGCTTAGTCATGCTGGCCACATGACCCGGAAAAACTGTCTACGGACAAAATGCCGGCTCCCTCGGCTAGTAAAGCGAGATGAGTGCCGCAACCCTAGAGTCATTCACTGCTGGACTTAACAGTCACGGGTCCCTTTACCCTTTAACCCTGTATGTTTAATGAAAGTTGAATGAATTGCAGTGGGAACCTGCAGATTATGAAACTGGGGTGTGTGCCCTGTCCCTGTTTCCAATAAAATAAAAGTGCAGATAGAGACACAGTATGGTAGACGTAGTTTTGAACAAATTTTCAGGCCCTTGAGGTAAAACACCTTAAGAATGCAGCAAATTTGTTATCAGAGCTTATTATTTCCCTGATAGAATGTCTCCTGTGCCCTCATTAAAAGATAGCATAGTCTTGCATTCATAAGCATAATCATTAGGGATACTGACAGTCAACTCAAAACATGAGGTTGTCCATGACATTACTACAAACCTACAAAAATCATTGTGAGGTTGGGGTCAATGTGTCTTCCTAGGTGAACTAGGATGGAAGGGTAGAGATCATACTTGCAGCTCCTGTGTGTTTCTGAAACCTACTGAACACAACAGCGTGGATCCTATTCTGCCCCTTCGCTATGTCCAAACTTGGGAGGGAGATTGGAACTTGTCACAGTCACCAGGATAAGGGGGCCGGGGAGGTTTTTCACCATGCTGAGTAAAATTGCAGACTTGAGAAATAACATCCTATGTATACTTCTAAAAGGGCTGCATTCTCTTGTTTCCCATTTTCTGAAAAGACAGCTTATGATATGTTTTCTTTCTAGGCAGCTACTGGGAAAAGTTTTGGGAAAAACGACTTCCGGGCTGCTTTGGAAAATGGAGTCCTCCTGTGTGAGTAAGTATTTTTGACAAGAAAAGGCTAGCATTTATCTGTAAAGCTTTTTAAAGCTGTTGATCATCTATTGATGGGTGCAACAGCAGAAGCAGTTCTGCTCTTCTCAGGCTTACAAGACTTCTTAGTATTTTGCTTTGTCTTCCAGGATGCCTTGCGCACCCCATGGCTAACATGAAAAATGTTTAATTGCAACTGAAAATATAATTGTGTGCGCTCTTGGGTGTTTTATTTAATGCATTTCTCTTCTATACTTTGTTTGATGCATATAAAACTAAACATTAACCACCTCCAACAGAGGCAATTTTGGTATAAATCTACCCAGTTCTATTATTCCCATGCATAATGTAACACAGTCCTCCTCTTCAGCCAAGTGATGTCAAAAAAATCTGCAGAGAAGGTGGGTTGCATTAACACCAATTCTGAGGATCGTTGAGTTCAGAGGTTAGGAGCCTGTGGCCGTCCAGATGTTGATGGACTGCAGCTTCCAGAATCCCTGGCAATTGGTCACATTGGCTGGGGCTGATGGGCATCCAACAACATCTGGAAGGTGCGGTTGTGTTTTTCAATATGCAATATGTATCATGTGTTTCCCCATACGTCCATACCACCCCGATTCCAACATAAGTTGTGACTTGGTAAGAGAAAGAAATACACATGAGCATTCATTTGTATTTTCTCTCAAAATATGCATTTTAAATATATATATATTTTTAAAAACTGAGAACTGTTTTGGAACATTTGGAAAGTGTGTTCGTCAGTGGAGAACCCCAAGTTCTTACCTGTACATTAGCCTGGGAGGTGTGAATCAGGTCAGTTTCTGAGGAGAGGGAGCTTTCTCTTCCTGGCTTCTCTTACATATTATCTAGCAAAAGGATACCCCAAAAGTGTTAGTATTTGGGAGTGTTATGGTACCATTTTCCCAGTGCCCCAACCTTTTTAAACATCAGCATGGGCACTTCTCCCTCTCTGCCACATGTTTAATAAGTAGTTGTGGTTTTTGGAAAGGTTTAAAACTCCTACCAGGTACCCTTTTCAAAGATATATTTTCCTAGTGCTTTTGTCATATTTGGCAATAGAAATGTGAAAATATCTGGCATTTGGCAGATGGGACTGCCCCCGTTTTTGAAGCTTCCCTTCATTCATACTAATGAGCACCCACTTGCAATCAAGAGAGATCGTGGATGATAGCCTTTAGAAATGAAATTCTTTCTGAGAAAGCTGCAAAGCTGCACTGCTGCAACTTGTTTAATTCTATGGTTAGGGTTTATAGATCCTTCACTTTATGTTCTCCCCTCCACTTATTCTCAGGTGTTTGTGAGCAAACTGAGAAAAAATGTTTTTACCTGTTGGCATGCTGTTGTATATAAATGGAAGACCTTCAATTATGGTGATCTAGGCTACCAGGCTTGTGGGAGACAGAGCTGTTACTGTTTCTGAAGTTTTATTTTGCTTCAGATACTGTATTTATAGGCAATTTTTCAACTTTGTCATAATGAATCTTCCTAAATTAAGACCTTTGGCGTCCATGCCTCATTCCTGGTGGGGCTGGTTCACACATACAGCTCACCACCTGACAACCATCACATCAAGTGATGACATGCATGTGTGATTTATCTTAACGCCTTTCAGTAGAGTTAGTCCACAAAACCCTGGCAAGTAAGCAGTTGTGAGCTACTTGCCTGTGTGAACCACTCTGTTAGGACTGTCAAAATTGGAGGCAGGATATTGATTGAGTTCTGCCTTGTTAAAAATCTGCTTTGGGGAGACTTGGGTGCTGCCTGTTCACATAACACTGTGTAACTGTAGCTGCTGCCAGCTGGACTAAGCCCAGTGTTCATTTCAGCTCCAGTTTCGTATGCTGAACTGGCCGAGCTATAGCTGGACCTGCTTTTTAAGTGTGTGATGAATCTCCTGGTTGTGTAAATTGGCTGTGATGCATATGCTACAAGAGGGTGCTGAACAACTTTGTCCCAAGTCACATTTGTTTGTCCTCTGTAGTAATGGGAGTGATGACTAATACTTTCCCCCCTCTGCTTCATAGCTAAGTGTAGTCTATCTTACATGGGTGGTGTCTGGGTAAGGGAACTGGCCCTTGCTTGGTCAGTACAACTTTTCTAATTGAGGAGCACAAGAGTTTCCCAGAAGCTTATTAGAGGCTTTTCCCAATGAATTGAAATTCGTTAATTCCCAAAATTGAAAGTGTTGCATAAGCCTCTCTAGAAGACAACCCCACCCGTCCCTTTCACTAGTCTCTTCTTACAACGTGATGGTTGCATTCTCTGTGCAGTTGAAGCTGTGGTGAGGCCAGCAAAAGGTCTGGCCACCAGTTCTTGTGAACCATGAGCTCTAAGACACTCCCAAACTCTCGCAATGCACAGGGGGGGATTCCTTGGCAGGTAAGTCCAAGGGTTCCCTGAAGGTAGAAAGTTTGAAACAACTTTTTTTAAAAAATAGTAGGTTGCACAAAACAAAACAGAAAAGATTCTTGTCTATGCATGCAACTTCATGGTACGAACAGCAGTATTTTGTGTAACTATTTGTTTGGCACTTATTTTCCCATGCTTAAAGATTTCTGTTTCTTTGCTTTACATTTCCCAGTCTGTTGATACTTACGTGTACACATGCATAAGTTATATTTTTTTATCAGCAGAAAAGCTGAGGCAAAGGCAGTTGTCATCTGTTTAATTGATTCGTATCATTTAAATAAGAGGAGCAGTACTTTGTAATTTTAATGCTTATGTTTAGCCCTAGAGTAAAATTGCATTATAAAACCTGGTTAACTCTCATTCTTTTGTAGTCTAATTAACAAGATCAAACCTGGCATCATTAGAAAGATTAATCGTCTGTCAACACCAATAGCTGGGCTGGTAAGTCATAAAGTATATTTTTGCATTGTCAGTTTTGCTTTCTGGATTCTGTTTATTCAAATTAGCATTGGCAAATTGGATTTTTAGAGGTGATATTAATATAAGGTTTGGGTGCAGTACTGGCCATTGTGTGCCCTCACATCAGCCCCAGTATGGCAGGAGGTCAGGGATGATGGGAATTGTAGTCCAACAACATCTGGCTTCCCCCTTGTTGTTTGCATGTTACAGTATAGACTTGCTAGATGTTCACAACATGTTCTTAATGTATTGATATTGGTAAAGCTATGCCAAGCCTAGTAATGTACAGCAGTATTTTCCTTGAATTGGGTTTCATCTCATTCTTCATACCAACACAATTACTAAGCATTACTAATGTTGCCTTTAAAAGGACAGTCTTTTCTCTCTCTTTACTTCCTGCCTCCATATGCAACATCTGGGTCAAGTTTTAAAGTAACTTATCCAGTGTTTTATTCACTCCCACCATGATCCCCTATCTTTCCTCCAATGACGGTATTCATTTAAATTTAACAAACTCTCCTGCCATTGCTAAGCAAATAAATTATATTTGAAACAGCAGATTAGTTTGTTTCATTTAACCATTTGAAACAGAAAATGTATTTTTAATAGGGATAAACAACTTCAAGTCTAGGGGCTCTTAACACTTCCTATGTTGGCTATTCCCCTCCCCCCCATACAGGTAAATATCTTTTTACACCACATTCCCTTGCCCAGTGAGTCAACATTTAACATTTAACCCTTTCATAGCAGGAAGAGTGGTAAGGTAAAGGTAAAGGGACCCCTGACCATTAGGTCCAGTCGTGGCCAACTCTGGGGTTGCGGCGCTCATCTCGCTTTATTGGTCGAGGGAGCCAGCGTACAGCTTCCGGGTCATGTGGCCAGCATGACTAAGCCGCTTCTGGCGAACCAGAGCAGCGCACAGAAACACCGTTTACCTTCCCGCCGGAGCGGTACCTATTTATCTACTTGCACTTTGACATGCTTTCGAACTGCTAAGTTGGCAGGATCAGGGACTGAGCAATGGGAGCTCACCCCGTTGTGGGGAAGAGTGATACTGAACCAAAATAGACATTTTATGGCAGATTACCACTGAAGAAACGGTAAAATTGCTCCTCATCCAATCTGTGTAGCTGTTATTCAAATGCTTGTTCCCTATGGCTGCTGCTTACCAAAGAAAATCAAGTTGGGGCAGATCTATCGTGGATGTCTATGCAGCATCTAGCGTGGTCCTCAGAAGATGAGGAGAACTGGAGAGCAGCTTTATTGCTGATGGCATAAGTGCAGTGCGGGGGCTGGAATCAGAAGCCTTGGTATCTTAAGGCGGGCATCCGTGTTGTGTAATGAGAGGGGCTGTACCAAGACACAGCTCTTCACCTACTGGAAGATGTTTGGGAGAGGGAAGGTATTGATACCAGCCTTTTTAGTTGTGTTAAAAATATCTCACCAGTTGGGAACGTGAGTTGCTGACCAAAATGTTTATAGGTAATAAATTATTTTTAAAACAAAACAAAGAAGAGGTGAGTTCCCTCAGGTGAAGTAGTATTTTAATGCCTTGGGCATGGTAGGTAGGATTATTTTTAGACCAGAACCCATAGCATTCTTCACAGTACTGTTTGTCACTAAGCACATTTGAATGTTATTTCTCTTGAAAATGTTTGGGGAGCGATTGAACGTTTTGAATCGGGCATTGTGTACTGCAGGAAGGGCAACATTCCAATTAGCAAATTCCATCTGTGTGATGCTCTTTACATAAAAAAAGCATGCAGTGAAAGCTGGGCTTCTTAAGCTGCAAATAAGATGCGAATCGACTTGTGAAGCAAGCATTTCCACAGGAAAACTAAGAGTGTGTTGCTGGGGTGGGGTGGGGGTTGAGGAAGCTAAACTAAAAGACAAATATGTTCTGAAGTATGCATATCTAAGGCAAGTAAAGGCCTCTTGCCATTAAAAAACCTCACAATAATGCATGAGGGCATGGAACCAAACTTCTGCAGCAAAACATGCATTGTGATTGTGTTAGTTAGCTACACAAGTACGCCCAGTCCCAGCTTGGTTGCAGAGATAGTCTGCTGTGACTTGGCATTGTATAGAATTGACAAACAGAGGAAAAATGTAAGCATATGCCCATATACATCAGGAGTGAGGGCAGTGCAAGGGCCACACTTCTGGGCAAACTTTCAAGGGCCCCATGAGCAGGCAAAAATGAACAGAGCAACGAATTACCTCTGTATCACTGTGTGTCTAGTTTCTGCACACATCTCTGTATCCTCCATCCCAACAAGAGGCGTTATCAGAATTCAAAGACACAATCCAACCAGCTGAAAGGTGGGTGGGTGGGTTGCCAGTGAGGGAAGTATTATGGGCTGGCTGTGTATGATGGGGGAATGTCCTGAAGATCCAATGGAGAGTCCCTGAGCGGCCATATTTGGCTCCTGCAACTGAGCTGTCTCCCCCCACCCCCGCTGTACATTTCCCCCCCCCCTCTATACTGTATGTGCTGAAGATTGTATCTCTGAGTGTTTTGTTAGTGCAGGATATGTTCCATGCAGCCCACAAACAAATTTATAAATGGCAGCAAGGTCCTTTACAACAGGAAGGGTTTTCTGTCCCTGTGCTAGACAGTTGAAAACTTTACATGAACTTTCCTCTGTAGTGCTATTGTGCACACTTGCTGAATGTGGGTGTGTCCTGAGCAGTTGGGGATAATGTTCGCAGTGGAAGCACAAACAAGTCAACAAATGGTATTTGTGGATGATTAAACACAGCAGCGGAGCTAAGGCGTTCAAAGGTCATTGATGCCATAAAGGGTAAGCATACTTTTGCCTGCCCTGTTAAGAGATTGTTCTGTATTGTGTTTCCTGCTTACCGCTGGAATTGCAGCTGGAACCACGGCAGGTCTGAACCACAAACCAGTTAAGCCAGAGCAAATAGTTTCTAGTGGGTGTAGCATTTTTGAGCATCAGGGCCCTGCAATGTTTTCAAGCTGAATTCCTAGTAAATGTACTCCTGGCTTCAGTGTAGGAGGCAATGCGTTGGCAACCCTGGCAATGGGCGGATGAGGAATGTGCAACATTTGCCCTGCCCTTTACACTTCCTGGGCAGCTGTCTAGATTCAGGCAACTTTTAGCCTGTATTTCTTCTCCAACTCTGGTTTGACAAGTGAGTGTTTGTGTGATGTGCCACCACTGCTGTTTGTCAACGTTCCCCTCTGTTAACAAAACTACCAAGTGTCAACAGAAGCACATACTCCAGAAGACTGTGCCGTTCTACAGAGTGATGTGTGTTCTGAAGTTTATAGCAATAAAAGCAAGTATCAACTGTAGCAGCCTGTTCACAGGAAGCAAATGCAGGAAAGATTTAATGGACTGAAAGAAACCTCCAAGCTTCAAATGAATCTCTGCACCTGTTATGTTTTCAGATAATATGGTACCTTGAGAGTTAAACTGCTCTACTTCATTTCACATTGAAATCCTTTACCTTGCACCTGAGACACTCTAAAGAAACTAAGGGAATCGTAGGTGGTAGCCTTGTATATATTCAGGCATTCTTAGTTGCCAATATCTCCCTAAAGTTGTCTTCTCCTAATGCCATATTCTGTCATTCTTAGGTCATATTACAAACTTTTGTTATTACAAAGCTAAAGCCCGCTAAAGGGACACGGGTGGTGCTGTGGTCTAAACCACAGAGCCTAGGGCTTGCCAATCAGAAGGTTGGTGATTCAAATCCCCACGACAGGGTGAGCTCCCATTGTTCGGTCCCAGCTCCTCGCAACCTAGCAGCTCGAAAGCACGTCAAAGTGCAAGTAGAGAAATAGGTACCGCTCTGGCGGGAAGGTAAACGGCGTTTCCGTGCGCTGCTTTGGTGCGCCAGAAGCAGCTTAGTCATGCTGGCCACATGACCCGGAAGCTGTATGCCGGCTCCCTCGGTCGGTAAAGTGAGATGAGCACCGCAACCCCAGAGTCGTCCATGACTGGACCTAATGGTCAGGGGTCCCTTTACCTTTAAGGCCCGCTAAAGTACCGATCTCAGCTCATCCCTTATTCCAAAACACTTTTATCAGTACCCTTATATGAGATCTTCTTGGGCTCTTTCTGCTTGTATCCTAAGAGGAACTAGGTTCTAGGGGAGGGAAAGGAGCCAGAGAAGGCACCACCAGAAGACTGTTAAACTGAAGACATAGAGATATTTTTAAAAAATCAACCCGGATCATACATCAGCCTTCCTGATCCCGGTATGTTCCATGTGTTTTGAGCTACAACTCCCATCAGCTGTAGTCAGCATGGGGAATGGTCAAGGATGATTATAACCCAGAATATGTTTGGTTCACCAGGTTGGGAATAGTTGTGTTACACAGCAGTAATGTCTAAATGTCAGTAACCCATCAGAAGAGTTGGATAAGTCTTTTGAGGCCCTCTAGTTCAACCTCCTGCCTCAGTTTCAAGCAATTTCATGCTGAAATATCTCCAATAGATATATTTTTGTGCACATCCTCTGCTAGGTAACTGGTTCCATTGTCACACTGCTGTTGCTGTCAATAAATTTAGAATCATGGAATTGTAAAGTTGGAAGGACCCAGAGTGTCATCTACTCCAATCCCCTGCAATGCAGGAAAACCTTCAGCCCACACCTATAATCTTTTAACTGAAGCTCGTTCGTTCTTGTCCTATATGTTTCTATAAGATCCTTCTAACTACTGCATATTCCTCTCTCCCCCTGCCCCCCATGGCAACATTTTGTAAATTTATTCATTATTAAGTCATTTCCAATACAGACCACTTTTCACCACAGGAGGTCAGAAAATGGTTTGCATTTTTTATGTTTTGTCATCTCTTTCACTGTCTTAACTATTCTAAACCCTGGCTTTAAAAGGGTGATAAGCACAGACATTTTGTATCTTTAGTAAAGGTAAAGAGACCCCTGACCGTTAGGTCCAGTCGGGAACGACTCTGGAGTTGTGCCGCTCATCTCACTTTACTGGCTGAGGGAGCCGGCGTACAGCTTCTGGGTCATGTGGCCAGCATGACTAAGCCGCTTTTGGTGAACCAGAGCAGTGCATGGAAACGCCGTTTACTTTCCCGCCGGAGTGGTACCTATTTATCTACTTGCACTTTGACGTGCTTTCAAACTGCTAGGTTGGCAGGAGCAGGGACTGAGCAATGGGAGCTCACCCTGTCGTGGGGATTCAAACCACCGACCTTCTGATCTTTAGTACCTTTCCCTAAATCAGACCGGGAGGGAACTTTCATCTTGGCACAGTGATACCTAAGGTTTGCAGGTCTTCCAAATCCTTCCATCTGATGGAAGGGGATGTTTCTGTTTCCTGTAGTGTGTTCACTTAGCCCAGGGAGCTATTTGTCAGCTGTGCAGCCCCTGTAACTGAGAGAGGCAGCTGAAGCCAGATCAAAAGCAGGTTTGCCAAGGGAATAGTAAGTAAGTGGCTGAACTGGTGAAAGAAGCATTCGGCTCTCTTTGCCCGATGAGTAGAGCTGATTGCCCTGATATGTAACTTAATATTAAATGCTGTGCATCCCTCTTCAGTATATAAAATGTATGTGCCCAGTTCAGACCAAGTAAAGGAAGAATTATGTGTCTTTTATATGCTTGGTTTGTGTAATTCTCCATTTTTAATCATGTGGACGGGCAAAGAGCTATGCATAGTGTGAAAGTGTACCCCAGACATGAAAGCTGTTGGCTTTGTGATGTTGTCATCGTGAGCTACTTTTTAAAGACAGTGTAAAGATTTAAATGTACTGTCTGACCTTTGAGATTTACTCCCTATTTTATTTTGGTTTGAAGTGTTGGACTTTGCCTTCACATGAGGTCTTCCATCCCAAATACTATAACTGTGTCTACAGTAGTAGAAATGTGATTTGACTTACAGTTTGTGCGTGTGCAAGAGAAAGAGAGGGAGATTTTGAGTTTATAAATTATACCCTTGCAATATCTCTGCTGGCTTTAGATGCAACAGATTAGGGGAAGCTGGCTGCAAAAGAAGGCAGAAAATGTGGGAGGAGAGTTACAGTTTAGTTGCACACTCTACACGCAGGCTCCCCTGGCCTCCCCTGTGCTCAGGTAAAAATTATGTTCACTGCTAAACTTGTTACCACGCAGTGGTCTAGTTAGGCCTTCTCTACCAAAGTTGCATCAATCTTTAGTGCAGCCTGGAGACAAGCAACTTTGGTTCTTCTCCTTTTTACATAGATGGAATGTCGCAGTCAGCTGAGATTAGGGTCTGGGAATTCTGGGCTTCCCACTCATGTGACCAGCCGCCTGTTTCTCTCCATGCGCCATAAAGATAATTAGTAATTCTAATGCCTGTGTGATGAATACTTAGCCACAAAGGCTTTTTGCCCTCTGAATGCAAAAACCAAAGCCAGGTATTTGTTGTGTTGTTTCTAATAAATGGGGTGTGAGTACCAATGTGCAGCTCTGACTTGGTTAACTACATGCACCTCCAAGCATGGAACTGAATTACAGTGGTACCTTGTCTACTGTTCGCCTCGTTGAGCGCCCATTCTGTCGAACGTCCGTGGCAAACCCGGAAGTACCAGAACAGGTTACTTCTCGTTTCGCCACATGTGCAGAAGCACAAACCGCTCCGCGCACGTGCGCAGACGCGGCACTTTGCCCAGCGTCCTTTTCGGCCAGCGACCAGGGCTCCAGAACGGATCCCGGTTGCAAAACAAGGTACCACTGTAATTGTAGAATGCATAAGCTTTTATGGCCCAACATGATAAATTCCCTATGTATGAAAAAACTCATTTTATAACTCTGTAGATCTTGAGATTGTAGTCTGGAAGTATCCCTCACAATTTTGATTATTTATGATCCATAGGAGTTAAAGGGAGGTAAAAACACATACACACAAAATACAAAAGTTCAGGTAATTCCAAATCATGAGAAATTTTTATTTTCTTCCTTAGACTTAACACTTATTATGTGCTCCAATGTTTGAAAATGATCGCTACGTTTTAGTCCACATCTGCTGTAAAATTTGGGGCATGGCCATTGTGAAAAGTTGAGTTATGCTGCCACAGAAATATTAGTTAATGTTTGAAACATATAAACTGCCCTAATCCCTGTTTTCTGCAGGTGGATTTTTTTGGTCCAGGAAATTCTCCTTGGAACTTTGTTTCTAATGCCCTTTCTGAGACTTGCCTCTAGACTGAACATACGGTACTTTCTAATGAATGAAGGTTTATTATTATTATTATTTTAAGCAGCAATTTCAAAAAGGAAACACTGTTAAGACTTAGTCTTCCCCTGCATTTTTTTTTTTAACCACTGAAAGTTTTTGGTGCATAAGGTGTGCTTTTAAAGGCCAGCCCCTCACTCTCAGCCTGAACTTCCTCACAGAGCTGTTATGAGGATAACATGAGAAGGAGATCTGTATTTAAACCACCATGAGCCCCTTGCAGAAAAGGTGGGGTGTTAGTAGCCACTGCTGCTACTATACACTTCCTAGTTGGATCTGTCTGTGTCCTGGTTGTAATCTACTACAGCACTGCACCAGTGGCCCTTCTTTATAATTAGGGCAATTGCTTCACTTTCTGATTCCAGCCAATTGGGACCATGCCAGTATGGAGCCAATCATGTGTAGCTGTATACGAAAGTCACAGCTCTTGAAGGGGGAGAGGAATGAATATTGGCCTCTTGCCGACAAAGCAACTGGGCAGAAACATTTGTCTTCGCATGGTGTGCTGGCAGAAAACTGCTCACCAGAACAGCATAGAAAGGCAAGAATACCAATCCGATTATGACCTGTAAAAAGAGCAAAAAGTGGACAGTGCCCTTTGGGGGGGGCACTGATTTATGTGAAATACACACACACCAGTTTTGGCTCATTGGTAATAAGGACAGGTAGGGAAAGTATAGACTAGGGGTGGGGGTGGGGAGTGTTAACTCTTGCATATAAGCATTATTTTGAAAGCAAATTAATAGGAACTCTACACTTGATTGAAGATAATGATATACCAGTAACCAGCTTATATGCAAGAGTTAACATTCCCCACCCCCTGGAAAGGCATAAACTAGTTTTTGTACTGTTGGGTATGCAGAAAAACACTTTGGAGATCTTGCAGGAAAGTGAATTGCAAAGAGAGTTGTGATAAGAAGTTGGGAGAGTTTCTGCTTCTAGAACTGTGTTATGTACTGAGTTGAATAGGATCCAAAAGGCAGCAGTCTGATTGGTCCTAGAACAATAGGGTCCAGAATGCAGCAGTCTGGTCCACAGGAGTCACCCAATCCAGCTCCAGGTGGAAGTGAATCTGCAACCTGATTGGCCTATAGGTGAATCCCGGAATTAGCCAATCATGTGGGGCCCATTGAGTAAATAATGTATATAAAGCAGACATTCTGGGGGAACTTCCATTCCTTCTCACCACTATGAGCTGAATAAAGAGCATGAAATCCACTCTCGACTCTGAGTATATTTCAAACTGCATTTTATGAAATTAGTAACGGCACCCTTGTTTGCACATCGCATTGAAACATAGTTAGAAACAAACCTTGGTTAAACTTGAGTGAGCAGCATGATAGGCAGAACTTACTGCCGTGTGCCTTTTCCCACTCCTGTTCCCACATCATTGGGGAAACAAGCCAGTGTCTGGCTTGCCATGACTTCTGAACTCAGGCTTATGCCTTGTTCTCTCCCTTCAAACCAAACCTTGGCTGGAAGCCGGTGTGGTTTACTCTCTCCCCTCCCACTGCAGTCATTTGTGGCAGGAGAAAAATGAACAAGCCCCTCCCCCCTCCCCATGCCCCCTTCTTCTGCCTTGACTGGCGTAAGCTGGCAGGGTTTTCAAACTGGTGGTTTTGCCTCAAAGGAATTCTTCCCCCTTCTCAGCCTCTATAGGATTGCTCTGTAAATATTCCAGTGCAAATACTTTTGGCTATTGGAATCTGAGATCAGCTTTGAGATCTTATGCAGTATGTAAAATTAACCGGGCGCACTGTAGATTACTTAATTAATATGTCAGACATGGTAAATCAGATTCCCAATTACTTTACGGCACCATAACATTTACCAATTCATTTACCCCCAGAACATATTCATAGGGAGAAGACCGCCAGTGCCATTTTTAAGTAAAAACTGCTGTTGTAAACTGTCTGTACACGTGTGTGGGGGGGAATAGTCTGATTTTCCTTCTAGATTGAACATGGTTTTGCGAACGGCACAGCTGGGGTGGCTGCCCATATTCTAGTCCAGCTGATCTCTATCAAAGGCTTCCACAAGAAATCTTACAGATTGTTAGAGTCCCCAGCTTCAGGTTGAGCAGAAAACAGGTTGTCTGCTGAAAACAAAACAGAATAATAAAAAAAATCAATTGAAGATGGGATTTTAAAAATTCACATGGGACACTAAAAGATGCTTTGGTTCCTCAGTCCTCTTGTACAGCTAGAAGCAGGGACATTGGTAGAGTTAATCTTGCTTTCCATGAAACCTGCCTTGTTATACAAAAACCAAACATTGTGTTGTAAAATTAATTCTGGCCAGTTACTTAACAAGCCAACTTCAAATCATAGGTTATGAAGCTAGCTTGTTAAACTAACCAGATTTAAACACAAAAACAGACAGACAAACAAACAAACAAACTAGAAAACCTGGTTTAACTGTAGTGCTAATCTGGGTATCCTTAAACTCTGCCAAAGGCATCCTTGTGACAATGAAGGAGAAGGGAGGTAGCTCTTTCCTGCTTTTCTTTGCAATGTTAAACCATAGTTTAGCATCATGTGTGAATGCAGCCGTTTAAGCACCCTTTTTTGCTTTATCTTTATGAATCTCCAGTCTTAACATAAATATTGCTAGACCCTTCTGATTTGGTATTAAAGCTCATGTTTAAGTCCTTAGAAAGATCTCTTTCACTCAGCCAAGAGTAGAAAAAGATGTGTGTGTTGTGTTATGTGGGTGAAATGTTTTAAAAGGAAGGGGTGCCAAAATTCTGGGGCGGTGGGGGATTCTACATAACTGTGGACAACAGTACATAACTTAGAAAACTTTGAGGCACATGACTTTGATTTTTTTAAAATGAAAAGTTGAGAGTGTTAATGTAATTATAAATTATGGTTTTTAGAATTTGTCTTAGAAGGTGGAGTGGTCTTTGCCGTTTCACATTCACTGGTAAATATGGACTCTGTTACTAAATATTTGAATTGGCATATTCACTTCTAATACTGATAGGTATAGTAATACAATGTTCTTACAATGTCATGATTCATTAGATTCTACTTATGTAGCTCTTGGTAGGCTCAATCCCTTACGTTCCCTTGCTGTTTAAGTTTTGTGAGGTATTAAAGGAATTAAACAAAAATCTTTCTAATGCAACTTAAGGTGGTCAAAATAAACACTGAAAGTCATTGAGTAAGGATGTGTGTATATTTAACAGCAACCTTTGGACTCGTAGACTCTGTGCATATATTTCATGCTAATTAATTCATACTCATTAAGTCTAGTTCTGGTTTTGCTTGCATAACACTGGTTTGAATAGTACATAAACCGGAGTGGCAGGCATGTAAATAATGGTAGAAAACAGTCCGAAATATGTGTTGGAAGATTGAATCTTCCTATGGCCTGGAGAAACTCCTGTAGTTTTTGCATCATAAACTAAGTGTTCTAATTTAGTTTAGGCTTCCTCTTCAAACCTAACCTCCCACCCACCCCGCCTCTCCGGTTGAATGTTAAAGATGTGCCATAACTTGTATTTCTGATACTACGTAAAAGCTGTTTGTCCTAGCCGAATAATGCAATGTTGGTACTTTGGGGTGTGCATGCTGGAATTTATATTTGTTACGTAAGGAGAACGTATGACTCCCCTCATAAGTATTTGTTTAAACAATAAAGAAAGCAAATATACTGAAGAGCTGGGAGGGTTCTGCCCAGATAGAATTAACAGGAAGCCAAGGGTTTTAAACTTTGTTTCCTACATAATAGATCTACGCTCTCTCTTGAGGATTTAAGTTGGTTTTAATGTAACCCGTGTATACTTGGATAGAATCAAAACAAGTTGTCCCATAATTTGAAGGATGACTTTTCTCTTAAAATCACATGGAGCCTATCATGGGTAAAACTGGCTGCTGGAATAATCCTCCTTCATCCGCTTGTGCCCTTCTTTTCTGGACTCGCAATTCAATAATTGGAATGGGTGGAGAAATACAGCTTTTGGCACTCATATATGCAATTATACAAGCACACAAGAGTGAAATTGTAGGTCTTGGTAAATAATAATTCTGTGTGTTGGGGAGTCAGCATTAACAATGTAGCAAAACCATGGAGGGATATCTCGAAATATTGTGGGGAATAGGTGACAGTAGTAGCTCTGTGTGCACAGAATCCTAGAGTTGGGAGGGACCCCGAGGGACATCTAGTCCAACCCCCTGCAATGCAGGAATCTCAACTAGATCATACATGAGAAGGCCATCCGACCTCTGCTTAAAAACCTCCAAGGAAGGAGAGTCCAGCACCTCTTATGGAAGTGTGTTCCACTGTCGAACAGCTCTTACTGTCAGAAAGTTCTTCCTGTTGTTTAGTCAGAATCTCCCCTCTTGCAACTTGAATCCATTGGTTTGGGTCCTAGCCTCTGGAGCAGATGAAAACAAGCTTGAAGAGGGCTATAATATCTCCTCTCAGTCTCCTCTTTACCAGCAGGATTTTATGGGCTTAGTAGACTGCATGTGGATCAGCCCCTTCACCCAATTTAATAATAATAATAATTAATAATAATAATAATAATAATAATAATTTTATTTATACCCCGCCCTCCCCGGCAAGAGCCAGGCTCAGGGCAGCTAACACCAATAAAATCACAGTAAAAACGTAATAGGGGGAAAAGAGAGGGAGGAGGGAAACACAATTTAAAATACAGGTTAAAATGCAATTTACAATACAGCCTCATTTTAAAGTAGCCGATAAATCAAGACCATAAGGGGAGGGAAACATAAGGGTCAGACCGAGTCCAAACCAAAGGCCAGGCGGAACAGCTCTGTCTTGCAGGCACTGCGGAAAGATATCAAATCCCGCAGGGCCCTAGTCTCTTGTGACAGAGCGTTCCAGCAAGTCGGGGCCAGTACTGAAAAGGCCCTGGTCCTAGTTGAGAGCAATCTAACCACTTTGCAACCTGGGACCTCCAAAATGTTGTCATTTGTGGACCTTAAGGTCCTCCATGGGGCATACCAGGAGATGTGGTCCCATAAGTATGTGGGTCCTAGGCCGCATAGGGCTTTAAAGGTAAAAACCAGAAGAGAGCACAATTTTGCATAGGTTTTGCATTGTATGCAAATATATGTCGTCTTTCACAGGGCCTCAAAGATAAACCTCTCACAAGCAATAAGAATGTGAACAGGTGAGGCTTTTCTCAATTACAGTTTCATAGTACAAAATACTTTAACCCATTCTATTTCTGCCTACCACCTGGCTGTTAGAGCTAGAAGAGCACTGCTCTCCCCAAGTGCCAACTCTAAGCCGTTCAAAGAACTCAAGTTTCATGAGTTCCAAACCAGGTAGGTTACACTAAGTCAGGGGTAGTGAGCCTTTTGGGCTCCACACGCCAGATCATTATGAGATCCTAGCCTTGTAGGCCAAACTTGACATGTGGGCAAGGTCTGGCATCACTATGATTGAGTGCTTGAGGCCTTTTTTGGTGCTTTAAAGTGACTTGCTCATGCAGCCGATCCAGCTGGCTTGGCTCTACCGCCCATCAGCTGATGGGTGGTAATGCTGAAGTCTACTTTCCGCAGGCACTGGCTGCACAAGTGAGTTCCTGCAGGGAACTTGCTAGCACATCCAGTTTAGCTGATGGGTGATAAGCCAAATACATACTTTTCAGGCTCCTGATTGTATTCTGGCAGCTGCACCTCCCCCTGCCCCACACATGATGTATGACATCAAGTTTGAGGCAGGTGAGCATGGCTTGTGGAAAACAGCCAGAGATTCGGCACCCTTACCGTATGTCTTTCCTCAATTCCTCAAGGGAAGTAATAGTGCCACTGTATTCTGCCCTGGTCAGACCTCACCTGGAGTACTGTGTCCAGTTCTGGGCACCACAGTTCAAGAAGGGCACTGACAAACTGGAACGTGTCCAGAGGAGGGCAACCAAAATGGTCAAAGGCCTGGAAACGATGCCTTATGAGGAACGGCTAAGGGAGCTGGGCATGTTTAGCCTGGAGAAGAGGAGGTTAAGGGGTGATATGATAGCCATGTTCAAATATATAAAAGGATGTCACATAGAGGAGGGAGAAAGGTTGTTTTCTGCTGCTCCAGAGAAGCGGACACGGAGCAATGGATCCAAACTACAAGAAAGAAGATTCCACCTAAACATTAGGAAGAACTTCCTGACAGTAAGAGCTGTTCAACAGTGGAATTTGCTGCCAAGGAGTGTGGTGGAGTCTCCTTCTTTGGAGGTCTTTAAGCAGAGGCTTGACAACCATATGTCAGGAGTGCTCTGATGGTGTTTCCTGCTTGGCAGGGGGTTGGACTCGATGGCCCTTGTGGTCTCTTCCAACTCTATGATTCTATGATTCTATGAATTTGATCTTAGACTGGCAATACCACACTCAGTGGAAGATCAGGCACAGTATTTCACATCGTGGTTGGGGCTGAGGGGGGTGCGGCAGGAGATCAAAAAGCATTTAATATTTATAGCAAGATTCAGATGCCCATACTTGGGTAAATTCAAGAGTAAACTGTTAAAAAGTAAGCAGTATAATTGAAAAGCATTGTTGTGGTTATTCATCCTCTTCCTGATAACTACAACAGTGTTATCTGCACAGGTCAGACAACTGCTCATTCCCCGACCCCTTCTTTTTTGTTAACAAAAGGGACTTGAGTCTTTGACATGAATGCCCCTTTTTGTGTTTATAGGATCAGGAAAAGCCCACTGCAAGAATACATCCATTCTCCCGCCCCCCATGGGAGGAAATAAGTTAATCACATGCTGCATTTGTAGCTGCATTTCCCAACGAAAGAAAAAAGAAAGAAAGAGGGAGGGAGAGGGAAGTCCCAATATGCCAAGAGACTTGATGGCAACATCGGTCTGCCCTGCAGGGTTGTCATATACGTTTAGGGCCCCACCCTGGGCCGGCAAAACATTAGAGCTACTTTGCACGAATGATGTAACCCATGATTTACCCACCACAGCCATTTCTCCCCCCCCCCAAAGTATGGTATTATAATGATGGTTTTTATTTGCATTTTATTTGATTTTATAAGTTCAAAGCAGAGTAATTCGGGGGGGGGGGTGACATTAACATATGAGAGTGCTGGAGGTGAATTAGTTAAACAGGTTACCCAATCAGAACCCAGGGGGGTGGAGTCAGAGGGACTATAAAACCAGCTCTGAGAGGGGCGAAGGGAGGAGCTCATTGGGAGGTTGGTTGGAGTGGGAGTGAATTGGGATAGAGTTTGTGGGGAGGTTGAGTTAGTGTAGCGAAATAAGTTGAGTCAGGAACAGTTAGGAGCTAGGAAGACAAGTAAATATCTGAGAGGTGGTTTAGTGAGTGAGAGCAGGTAGCGGAAGTTGCTTGGAGAAACAGATTCCTAGATCATTTAAAGTTATCTGTAGCATTCATCACTCACAGCTCTGACATTGCTCATTGGCCAAAAGAAGTTCGTTTTATAAGGGTTAAAAACCCATGAAGTCGGGTTGTGGTTCCCTTACCAGTACTGGGCCCAGTGCGGTTGCACCCCAGTCAGTACAAGGTTCTAGCGGATTGTAGAATAGATTGGTGCAAAGTAAAAGAATTCAGGGTTGTTGATCAAGGCGCTCAGTTAACTTCCCAGTTGCCACTTAGTAATCGGGCAAATGATGCAAATATATCTGAAGAATACACTGCTCCAATGAGGTGAAATGAATGTGAAATCAAATATCTAGTGCTGCTAAGTAAAATCCTGAGTATCTAGTATTATTTGTGTTAAATCATTAAACCCAGAGTTATTAACACCTAAGGGTCTAGCCCAGAGGTTGCCAACTCAGAGCCCCAGATTTTGAACTATTTTTTAAAGCCAATCTGTAGCTTTACCTATTTATTAAACCTAGTGAAGGAAATCAGAGCTGCAAATGGTGAGACATTTGGACACCAAGGCTATAGGGATCCCTGTGGCCCCCAAGAGCTGATGTTTTCTCATCCCTTCTTGTGCACTTTTCCTGCATCTGTCTCATTTCCTAGGCAGAAATTCAACAGGTTAAACCTTTCCTCATATGTATATAAAATTATGGAAAAAATTCACTGCGATTGTACTTTTTCTAATTTTGTGTTATGCCGTGCCACCCATGGCAGATGTTTTGTGACTGGTGCCCCCAGCGCTGCCTCAAAATCCAAAAAGATTGGCGACTCTTGATGTTGCCCCTTATGATCCTACACAGCAATTCCATATTTAACCAGGGCGATGGTGGATGAAACAACAGTATGTGCCACGTTTCGTAGGAAGGGTTGATACTGTTGATATATTTCACTGGAAGTTCTCCCTTGCTATTGCTTTCAGATATCTCTTTCCTCCCATTATGCTATTCTTGAAGCACCTAGCCAAAGAGCAGGCACTTTAAAAGCTTTGGATTGCTTATGTCACAATCATAGACATGTATATTTGCATTCTGTTTCCCTTCCTGGGTGCTATTTTTACTAGGTATCTTTTGGAATGTACGGGCAGAAATTCTTTGGCCACTTTGGATGACGGGGTTTAACGTGGACCAGCCAGACGCTGTCATAAGTACACATGTAATTTAAACAAAAAAGTGAGGACATGAACTGCAAAGTCTCCCTGTAGCTTTCGGTGCATGACTCAAGCAGCTGGCCCAGAGCAGGTGTAGTTAAGTCAGTGCTAAACCACACCTATGTTTTCCAGCTTGCCCAATGAAAACCACACATTTGTGCTGTGTCTTTTTGCTCTTGCCTTTCATTTGCTTCTTCTCGTATTAGCTTGCTCGGTAACCAAAGCTAGATTCCAGGTGCATTATTCTATGATCAATCTGTAATCATAGAAACAGAGTTCCTCCTCTTAATTCCTCCGTTGCCAACCATTTCTGGGTGGGTGAATGTCAGTAGCTGTAGTTATTTTTAAATGTGAGAGGTGAGGCTTGTCATGCAAAGCTGAAAAGAGGGCGTTTGTTTGCAGAGCTGACATCAAAGTGTAGATTGCTGCTTACTGGCTGAGCATTTTTGCTTTTGTACCTGGTAATCTTTAACGTGGTCTGTCAGTCACAGAGACCATTGCTTAACCAGAGGATTCATATGAAATATTGCTAGCATTTATGATCCAGAAGATTGGCATTCTGTTTCTCCGCATACTGGACTTTGAAACTTCGGCTAAGCAGCTTGCAATCCTTTCCTTCACGTTGCTCAACTAAGCAATTGCTTTCCACTTCTCTTCACAGGATAATATAAATGTGTTTTTGAAAGCTTGTGAAAATCTTGGATTAAAAGAAGCTCAGCTTTTTCATCCTGGTGACCTTCAAGATCTATCTAATCGAGTTACTGTCAAGTAAGTATCCTGTGTTTTTATCAGTTGACTTTTAAGAATATTCAAATGTGACTTCTGTGGTGCTGCTGTTCATGTATATAGGGATTTTATATAATGTTTCCTTTGTATGTTCAGTGTGGAAGCTGTCAGGCTTCTTTAGATCTTCAAGCCTGTAAAAGCTGGGATTTAATTTGCGTCCATTTTTCTGGAGCAACTACCTTGGTACATTTTGTTTTTAAGTATTTGCTGACATTTAAAATGTGCCAAGCTGCTTTACTAATTAATGGCTGCATTGCTTGAAGATGCAAAGTCGAATGTTCAACAGTTCTTAAATGTGAAAGTAAAAATGGAAGCCTTCACTATAAGCTTGTAATTACCAGAAGGGTACTCTCTCTGTGTGTTTGCTATGCATGTATGTACCCACCTTTGGTCTAGCGTTCAGATCTTGAAATCTGCTAGCTGGAGAGCTGATCCCAAGTGACATACTGTGTTGCCTGTGGATTTTCTGCTAAAATGTTGTGTGATACATTACTAACAGAGGTAATATTGTGTAGTGCAGAGTTGGGCAGACTGCAGGCTTGTCATATATCTACTTCGCTTGTTTTTACTAAACAACACCCCACCCCCAAGTTTTAACAACCAGGTGCAAAGGACATAGATTTAGAATAAAAGAACTGGGTGCTTCTCAGCATATGCGGAGCCTAGGAACTTTTCAGCACCTGAACTGAACTTGTAGTCCTTTCATGAAAAACTCCACTGTTACCCCAAACTTTCTTCTCTTCAGCTACCTAATTCAAGATGAGGAGGAAGCACATTTTTTAAAAAAATGACATTGTTAAACAATTGTTCACAAAAACCCCTGGTGAGATACTGCAGGTTACCTAGAGATCTACCAGTAGGTCCTCATCTGCCCAGCCTTGTTAAAGTGACTAAGTTTATGTGTTGTGGACTTAGAAGTCCTTGATTCCATTTTTCCTAAGCAGTTCATTGATCAAAGGTTGTGTTAAGCTACTAAATCTTGGCCACAGTGACCCGTCTGTAATATCAGGTTGATAACAGTGCCCTGCCATAAAAGCTGATGTATGAATTACTGAAAACAATATATATGAAGCATTTGAGAGTGTTGAGAGTACCATATAATAATGGCAATAATAAAGAATAATTTCATTATTCCTGAGGGCAGTCTTTCTCACTATTAGAATAGGTTTGAGAAGTCTTAGTGTGTGCAGTATCAGAGAGAAACTATTCTCATGAAAAGGAAAGCTAAGTACAGTGTGTTCAGGCTATGTATAATTGCTATTATTATAGTCTGTTTCACGAGATAATATAAATGTTAGGTCTTGAACAAATTATTCATTGCTTTCTATAATCTTGGAACTGCCAGAGCTTGCTTTACTATACGGCCAGGAGTTTCTCTGAAGACAAAGTCCTTAAAACGTTGCCAAGAATTTTGTCGTTAACAAGTGTTACTAAGGTAAATACAGCATACAGGAAGTGTTTCCTGGGCTGTTAACCTGTGCTAGTGGTTACAGGTTGTGGAGAAGTAGGTAGGGCAGTAATCAACAAGGCAAGAATGCAAGGATTCAGAGAAACCTTTACCCTTGGTCTTTCAGGCCATTTGAGAAGGGCAATATGCGTGTGAAAGCAGTTGCCAAGAATGTTAGTTTAAGAATGGTAAACACTGTTGTGAAATCAGCATTACTAAGCCTGCAGCAACCTGAAAACTCTACGAATCAAAACCAGCGCTGCAAAAAACCATTTTGTTGATCGATCGGATGATATGTGTAAGAGGTTATCTCCAGGTGGCCAACCAAGAGAGACTATTGTGCTTCCTGTTCTGAAGGTTGGCTCTCTCTGCTGTAAAGGCAAAGCAACGATTCTGCAGACAAACTCCCCGACTCTTCTGGAGGCAGTGAATGGGACTGTTCCCTCCATCAGCCTTCCTGGGTCTTGGTGTGCCCCATTCTGAAAAGCATCCTGGTAGTGGTGGAAGAGGTCACATGCATTGTGTTCATTCCTCTTTAGCAAAGGGTTTCCCAAACCTCGTGAGTTCATTGACCCCTTGATAAGCTTATAAAGCTGTCATCGACACCAACCTAAATGTAAATGAAATTAAGTCAAGAAATACCCTCCATTCCTCACTGGCAATGAAGGTGTTTGTACTCTATACATGTCCATGCCCTTTGTTTCCGAGGCTCATAGTTCCCAGTTGTTATTATTTTTGAACTGTGTCCTGTAATTACCGCTCACCCATTAAAGCGGTGGGCGGGGTTTGCGACCTGGCGCGGGCTTCCTGAGCCTGGGAGACACCCCCTTTTTGCTTGCTGGCCATCGCTACGCCCCCCTCCCTGGCTAGCCAATCAGCTGCTGGCTGGGGGGCGGAGCAAGGGCCAGGTAGGGAAGGCTCCAGCCGACCACCTCTCCCTTTCAGTCTCTAGGTCTTTATTCACCCCTTCACAGACCCATTGACACTAGGGGGTCAATAGCAACCACTTTAGGAAGCCCTGCTCTAAACAGGAGCAGACTAGGAAAAGGCACATCCTTCTAACTCTGCTGCAAATGCTGTAGAACTGTCCCTTGTGTTTTCTGTTGTCCCACATCCCAAAGAGAGATGAGTTCTGTTACCTCAGCTGTGATTGTCTGGCTGGCTAATTTATCTCTTTCCCCACCTTCTGTGTGTGTGAAGGCAGGAGAGTGAGGGGAAACCAAGCTTGGACTCTGTCACGATAGAGATGCTGCCCTTGGGTCCAGAGTCTCTCCCCCCCCATCCGGAGCTTTAAGTATGGAGAATAGAAAGGAAGCAGCTACCATTGATGCCAGCCCATAGCTTGGCAGTAATGGCAATTGCCCCTCCTTCCTGCTGTGTCCTGTCTTCTAGGACTTGAAGAGAAATGGAGATCTTCAGGAGTAGGGGGTGGAGGGGAGACTCAGATGAATGGATTGGGGGTGGATGATTGACTTTTGCCTGATTATTTGCAAGGTTTCCCTGGATTCCTTTAAATAAAGTTATAGGAGTTTTCCCTTGTCAAGAAATCTTATGATACCCCTTCCACTACCACACAAGCATTGTATATCTTCATGAATCCTGTGGCCAACATTGTGGCACTTGTCACAGTGGCCTGATGAAACTTAAATAATTTTGTTCATAAATAGTAAAGCTGAGTTCAATTAATAAATATTTTGCGATTTACTGTTTGTGTACCCTGTTCCTTTTAGGTTTGCAAAGGTATTGATTAGCTTCCTAAAAACAAAAATATACTGCAGCAAAGCAACTATAAGCCACACTACCTCTATTGTATTCTACTCGGGGCATTTGTTATGCCGCAGCAGTATAGCAGTAATTCAGAAAGTCTACAGTGGTTGTTTTCCTGCTGGAAGGTGACATGAGCTCATCTTCAGCTATAGTCACTAGGATATGTAATAAACTGAAACTGAGATCAGATAGCTTAAAAGGAAACAGTTGTGCAAGATATTCCTTGAAACTATAAGCATGAACTCCAGTCCAAAGTGAGCAACATGGATATGTGGTAATTGGCAGTGAAATTAATGGTGGAATGGTAGCTCAATTTGAGAACTCCTGTTATCATTTTGGTATCTCTTACAGTTCTTGGAGTAAGAACTAACATGCATTATGATGAGCTCAACATCAGACCCACAAATGAATATTATTTTCCTCATTAGTTAAACTGATATATAATTACAGCAAACAATGTCTAGTAGCTGCTATCAAATGCAAAACAAAAACAAAAAACCACGACGCACTACAATTAACAATTAATGATTTGTGCAAAGATTGTTTGCACAATATATAATCAGCAGTGGACTAGTCCCAACATAAGATAATTACCTTCAGTTATTGACAGTAGATCATACTATCAATGAAAGCATCTTTACCCAAGGGACACTACCTACTGGGAAGATTCTTTGTCCTGGTCCTAGAGAAACAAAAGCACTATCACAGCTCCCATTAACTCAATTAGAATTTGCCCAGCATCATGATGTATGTATGAGAAGTCGTGTAAGAAAATGACATGTCTGTTTCTCTTAATTGGAGCTTTCAAGCATGTCACAAACCTGTCTGGTGTTCAGCTTTAAATCATGATTTAAATTGGAGGGAGAGACAGTTACATACGAAATATCCGTTTTAGAGTAACACCACATCCAAACCATACTTTTAAACATTGTTATATACCTCTAACAGTTATGGCTTCCCCCAATTAATCCTATGAACTGTAGTTTGTAAAGGGTGCTGAGAGTTTTTAGGAGAGTGTTAACCAATATCAGTTCACAGTACTTTACATAGTGCACTTTTCATAAGTGTGTTTAAGCATATAAAGGAACATTAGACTTTGGAATTTAAGTTGAACGTTTCTTATGAGACAAACATTGTTTTCTTAAACTAGTGTTTGCAAGTATATTTGTAGTGGGCTGTTCATAATGGTGTTCAGAACCAGTTGTTTTCGGCTTCAAAGAGTCTTCAGTGCAGCTGTGAGTTTCAGCGTAGAGGCTAAAGGTAGGACTCCTTCTTAAATGCTACCTAGGCAGGTAGTTATGTTTGGAGAGTTGGGTGGCAAACAGCTAATGTATATTCTCAACCCCTGGAGGGGAGATTGAGAACTTCTACACCAATTGCTGCATTTTCCAGCATTAGGATTGGAACTATATAAACACTGAAATTCAGTAAGTATGTGTTTAGTCATTTGGGAGAATGCCTAGATTTTGAACTACTGAAAATAGTGTATAATTATTTTATTGGGACATGTTTTCTGCATGGTGGGTGGGGGGTTGAGTATGAATCTCTGCTTCTGTAGGAAGTAAATGTGCTTTAAGGTCAGCCGAGAATATTATAGGGTGCAATGTGAAACTCTTGCTAAAAATACTTGCAGTAGCATGGGTAGAGCTAAACAGTACATTTCAGACTCTTTAATTCTTCCTGTGACGCACAGTTTGGAAGTTTCAATGCCTTGTTATGTTTTAAAATTGAGACTTGTATAAATATCGAAACCATAGATTTGGAAACACTGGTATTGTGTAGTTCTGGAAAGAAAACTCACAGTAGAAATTCTTACATAAATCTGCTTTGTAGAAATTCTCTTTTTTATAGATTGAAAAATGGATCTATCTATGGACTGTAAAAATGGAAATAGATATTATACCCTTGCTTAGGTATATTTACTTACACACAATAGTATTTAATGCCTACAAACATCTGGTTCAGGCACAAGGGTCATTTAACCCTGTGCGTTGTTCCCATAGTTACCACCCAGATGCTTATGGGAAATCAGCAAGCAGAACATAAGTGCAACAGCAGCTTCCCCTCTTGAGAGTCCCAGCAACCAGCATACGGAGGCATATGCTTCTTCAGTGAAGGGCAGCACACAGTCATCATGAACCCAAGCTATTGATAGCCTCATCCTCCCTGAATAGGTCTAATCCCTTTTTAAAGCTATCCAAGTTTCTGGCAATCAGTACCTCTTGAATTTTATTCAGAGTAGACCCATTAAAATTAATGGACCTAACCAGTGCTTTTTTCCAGGGGGTACTCAAGGGTATGCAATACTGGCCCTTCTTTTGTTGTTGTTAAAAAGTGTAGCACTCCAGTGATGGAAAGCATCGGGCATATAAGAGTTACCGTATTTTTCGCTCTATAAGACACGCTTTTCCCCCTCCAAAAATTAAGGGGGAATGTGCATGCGTCTTATGGAGCGAATGCAGGCTCCATGGCTTCAGCGAAAGGAAAGCAAAGCCTCTGAAGCACAGCACTCCCGCTGTGCTCCAGAGGCTTCGCATTGCTTTCGCTGAAGCCTGGAGAGCAAGACTCTCCTGGCTTCAGGGATCATCGCCTGAAGCCTCCGGAGCGCAGCGGGAGCTCCTGCTGTGCTCCAGAGGCTTCGCATTGCTTTCGCTGAAGCCAGGAGAGCAAGACTCTCCTGGCTTCTCTTTGTTGGAGAGGTGCTGTGCAGCTTTCCCTCTCTGCACAGCACCCCTTCAGGGAAGTGGGAGGAGAAATGGAAGGGGCTCTGTTTCTCCTGCCGCTTCTCTGAAGGGGCGCTGCACAGAGAGGGAGAGATTTTTCCCCCCTTGTTCTCCCCCTCTAAAACTAGGTGCGTCCTATGGTCGGGTGCGTCCTATAGAGCGAAAAATACGGTATATTATAATGCACCTTTCATATATCAAATATGGAATCATCATGCAGTATGATAGGTTATCTTCTGGAATTTAAGTATTGTGTGTGTTTAATCTGTTATGAGATACAAGGGTTTTTGTTGATGTTAATTATAGCATAATGCTAATTTTTTAAAAAATACAAACAATAACCTGTAAATCTCATTAAGTAAGCCAGCTAACAGAGTTGTACGGTGAAGAATAATCTAGTTGCCTGTATGCTGCTAAACCAAAACAGAATTAGAACTTCATTTCTGAGGGCAAACACAGTTAAGATCCTACCTAAGCTTATTCAAATGGAAAAGGACAGCAGGCTTGTAAGGCTTCTAGCATTCGCAGGACCCAGGAGGACTGGATTCATTCTGTCCAAATTTCAGGAACATTTCTTACTGCTTACCTCATAGACATTTCTGTTTGTGGCATCTCTGTGTCTCTGAACCAAGCAAGATTATTGAGTTAGTGGTTGTTGGTTATACTATGTGTTGCTCACTGAGAAGCGGCAGCGTGTATTGCAAAATATTAAGTATTGTATGTACTCAAAGGCTAAATGCTGATAAGCGGGTTCACGTGCCAACAGAGATGCTTTATTTGTCACATTGTTATAACTATCTATAGAAAGCAAAACAAATCAGATTTGTATCTTTTAAAAATAATAATATTGTACTTATTGGCATCACTGGTCTGAAATGCACATGTTCACCAGCAGACCTGTAACAGATAAGTTTCCAGCAAAAGAAAGAAGAATAAAGACCTCCCCTAAAAGTCTAGAAATAAATTTAACCCCCCCCCCAAAAAAAACTGCCCCAAAAAGTGTGGCACTCACTATAACAACTTCATGGTGAGTACTGGCACCTATTTTTCTAGGGAAAGAAGCACCGGACCTAAATTACTCACGTTCAGTGGGTCTGTTCTTGAGTAAAACTGAAGTAAATACCACCCTATAATTTACGTATGCAATGTATGAAGCACTTCCAACATTCAGCTTTGTTACATAGCCCTGGGTTTGGAGAGTATGAGAGACAGAGGAAAAATCCGAGGTGAGCAAAGGACTGTAATATTCTAGTTTGTGCAGTGTCAGGTGTGTGTAATGGTACATATCTGAGTTAAACATTTATGTCCTTCTCACAGCATGCTGTATAGTTTTGGGCATTTCTTAAATAGTATTCTTTCTTATATAAGTGTGTGTAGGTTTCATGTGTTGCCTTCCCATTAGTTTTATTCTCACATCCAATCATTATAGGTCTATGATAACCTGAGTTCAGTCCTCCTTGAAATTTTGTAGTACCTTTATCCTCCGAATTCACCACAGCTTCTTAGTGGAGTCAGATGTGACCTCAGTTTTGGCAATAGATACATGGAGGCTAGATCCCTTTGGCATTAATGGTGGTCTTGTTCAGCCTAAACTTCAACAATATCACTAGATCAGGGAATGCTAACCTTTTTAGAGTTCCGTCCCTAATATCAGCCCCAGGAGTCCAGATAGTATCCACCAGGTTTAAATACCTGAAATGCCCCAAACTGGGAACAAATTGTTGGCTTACTTCATCCAGAGTTGTTTGACTGTTTATACTTGAGATGAGCATTCTGGTTTAAATTAAGAAAGATGAACTGGGGATTTAACTTGGAATATCAGAGCCTTAACTTATGCCAAAGAATGTGAAGGTTTGGTTATATAACAAGAATTTAAATTAAAATGGCCATGTGTGAATTAGTGAAGGTTAGGCTGAAGTGTTCTTCCTTGTAAACGTTTAATATAAAAGCAGCATATTTTTATAGCACCACTAAGTTACTGGTCAAAAGATAAGGTGCTGTAATAACCCTGGGTGTAATTGCAAACAAGCGATAATACTGTACTTGAACAACCGAAGAACAGCATAAGAAGAACATTTATAAAGTTAAATTGAAAAAAGCAATCTGAGTGACATTCCTTTTTTTTTTTGCTTTCTTCCTACATATGACAAATTTAATTACAAAACTCTGCAGCATGCATAACTATAAAGAATAATACCGAATCTTAAATATTTACATAACTATGTAAAAATAAAATGAAGTGGAGAGAGATTACTAAAACATAGCAAAGCAAAGCTTCTGAGTGAATAAACATATCAACAGCTACATTAATCATTCAAACATAGTATCTTCTTTGAATACTTCTGTCCCATGACTATTATTTACCCATGTATTAGAGATGTAGCATAAGCACTTGCCTGCTCTATGGGATCATCAGATTAGCTGTATAAGTCAGTAGCTAAACATAGTGCAATGCTTTTAGAACATTAAACATTTGGGTGCATTGGAAATAACTGATATTTACCTTGGGGGCATGTGCTTGCCTTATGTCTATACAGCTATTATTTCACAGTACTTTAAACTTGTGGTTCATTGGCACTGAGTGAAACAGAAGTTTAAGAGCTCACTTGAAAATCTTTCCTGGAGGCCTGCTCTTTTAGCAAGTATGTATTTTATTTTCCTTAGCAAAGGGGGGGAACAATTTTCACCTGGTATAGTTCAGCTCTGTATGCAAAGGGGGGTGGGGAGAATACAACTCTCCCCAACTCATGACTATATTAACAATGAACTTTAATATAGGCAGAATATAATCATGAGTGCAGATTGGTGAGTACAGTGAAGTGCTTTCCTTCTAAAGTTGCTCTATAAACCCTAGCTGTGTTTTTTTTCAGAAGGAAAAAATAAGATTGGCCCCAAATAGCACGTGGTTGACACACACACCCTCCCGGAAATGATCTGCCCAGAAACATGCTGGAAATTTTGTGTGCAACAGAGAGAGAAAGAGATTGCTTGGCTTTTGATGGTGGCTATTAGTACAGTGGTACCTTGGGAAAGGGATGCAGGTGGCGCTGTGGGTTAAACCACAGAGCCTAGGACTTGCCGATCAGAAGGTCGGCGGTTCGAATCCCTGCAACGGGGTGAGCTCCCATTGTTCGGTCCCTGCTCCTGCCAACCTAGCAGTTCGAAAGCACGTCAAAGTGCAAGTAGATAAATAGGTACCGCTCCGGCGGGAAGGTAAACAGTGTTTCCGTGTGCTGCTCTGGTTCGCCAGAAGCGGCTTAGTCATGCTGGTCACATGACCCAGAAGCTGTACGCCAGCTCCCTTGGCCAATAAAGCGAGATGAGCGCCGCAACCCCAGAGTCGTCACGACTGGACCTAATGGTCAGGGGTCCCTTTACCTTTACCTTTACCTTTACCTCGGGTTAAGAACTTAATTCATTCTGGAGGTCCGTTCTTAACCTGAAACTGTTCTTAACCTGAAGCACCACTTTAGCTAATGGGACCTCCCGCTAACGCCACGCCGCCACTGCGCAATTTCTGTTCTCATCCTGAAGCAAAGTTCTTAACCCGAGGTACTATTTCTGGGTTAGCGGAGTCTGTAACCTGAAGCATCTGTAACCTGAAGCGTCTGTAACCCGAGGTACCACTGTAGATATTTAGTAAGCGGTCTCTGAAGTGGGAGGAGGAAAATAAGATGAACACAATCCCACTTTGAACATGGGAGACAAAAGGAAGTTCCGTGGTTAGGACAGACTTACCGTACTTATGTCAACCTGAAAATAAGTGGGTTGGTGATAGGCTCATAGAACCATAGAATTGTAGTGCTGGAAGGGAGCCCACGGGTCATCTAGTTCAACCCTCTGCAATGCAGGAATCTCAGCTAGATCCTACATGACAGATGGCCATCCAACCTCTGCTTAAAAACTTTCAGTGAAGGGGAGTCCAGCACCTCTTGTGGAAGTGTGTTCCACTGTCGAACGGCTCTTACTGTCAGAAAGTTCTTCCTGTTGTTTAGTCGGAATCTCCTTCAGGTACTACCCTCCAGAACAGGAGCTTCCTCCATCTTTCATGTGACAGCCCTTTAGATATTTGAAGATCATTTATGTTCCCCTGAAAATAAGAGGGTTGGTTATAGGCTTCCTAGAAAAGTAGTGGGATAACACCCAACCCTATTTCGATCACCGATAGTAGTAATTCAGAATTTTTCTCTTGCTGGCTCCAAATACTAGAAGGTTTCTATTTCTGGAATGGTTTTGTATTTATGCATGATGTGTTTTACATTGTGGTAAAAGGCTTTCCTGTGGTATGTTTGTAGCCACAATTCTAAAAGTAATTTCAGCCTTTACATTGCATAATTATGAACTCGGAATGGAACATTCTCCATGAACATTGCTTTCAAAACGTAAAGTCTTATCCTTTGTTACAGTATGTGATGGTTGCTGCTGAGTCATTTTTATACATGCCCTTGTGCTCATTTCCTCCCCAGGGTTGTATCCTCACATGGAGTTTTTGAGGCCTATTTGTGAAATTCTTATGGATGACTCACTGGGTAATATCAGTTTCACACAATCTGAATAAGTTGAAAACTATGCAGGCAACGGTATCGTTGGTGTTCCACCACATGGTTGAATAATTTGAATGGCCATATTTGCATACAGTATGCTGTCGGTCTTGGTACACGAGTCTCATTGGGTGAAATGGTAAGATACCTGTATATATGCGGAAGGATCTGTATAATGAGAGGAAAATATTGTCCAATTCCCAAAAAATAAAATAAAAGGTGGCCTTATATTCTGTTTCTAATACTAGCTGGAATAGCTCACGTAGTATATAGGATATTTTTGGAAGTCTCCTAAAGCTTTGGGCAGGCATGCTCCAAGAAATATTGTAAATACATGAATTAAAGGTGTTGTGTCTGGTGGTCAGACCAGAAACTCTCATCTCTAGAATCAATTAATGACCTGATTTAGACATAAAGAAAAAATTATGGGGTTGTGTCCAAATGGTTTCTTTAAAGAAACAAACAAAAATGAACAAAAAGCAGAGAAACAAACTTTTGGCCTACCTATACAAAGAAAGCAGGCAGTTCTGTGGATTTTTATTCTAACAGCTATTTGAGAGGTGGTAGAGTGTGTGGGGGGTTTGTCTGGAAGGGGGCACTATAGTATGCCAAGCCCCTGCCTAATTCTATCAGCTTCATATTGTGAAATTCAACATCATTTAACTTAAAGGGGGTGCGGTTGGAGGCAGAGGAAGTTAAGCTTTCATTACAATGATTCTGAGAGTCCTTTCAGTGCAGAAAGAAGAGAAACAGGGGGAGAGGAAGGGTGGCAGGAAAGCCCATGAATCGGGCTGCTTCTACGGAACTTTCCCATTCTCTATTTTAACAAAAAAGAAAAAGGAAAAAGAGAGAGAAACATTTTACTTTACCGGGGCAAAAGAACAGCTTCTTATCAGCTGCCAATGGTGCTATGCTAGTTAAACGTACTAGGAGGGGCAAGCTGCAATCCTTTCAAATGCACTGGTTGCCATTGCCCCAGGGAAGTAGTTGTCCTAGCACAAAAGCACAACTCTGCCCACTGCTAGAAGGACCCAGGTTTGCAGCAAAACTAAAACTTTCAGGGCTCTTCCAGGCGACCTGTCTACCAAGTGTTCATTCTTACTTGTTTGCACAAAGCTAACATGGTGGTTAGACTGTGTCCGGTCTTCCCTGAGCATTACTTTTGATTTGTTTACAGGGTAGTTTTGTGACAATGAGCATTCATTCTGTGTTGCTTGCGGGGTGCTTAACCCACACATATCATTGCATTTCCTCATCCCTTTGTAAACCACCAAAAACCATGGCGACATCAATGATTTCTGGAACCTGGAAGTGGCCATATTTCAGAGCAGCATGGAAGCTCTGTCGCAGGAACAAGAGAAGAGAGTGAATAGGAAACTCTGTGATTCATCAGTACAGCTACTGCAGCTCTGCTGAGTGGGCAGACATCTAGGTTTCTCTTCTTAGATTGAAGCCATCTGGCAGCCACAGTTTTTCAGCATAAGAAGAAAGAGCAGTCTGCCAGAATCTGGCCTTGAGGCATCAAACAGGAATCCAGCTGGAAAGGGTTTTACTTTGGTGGTGAGCTGGAGGGGGGGGGGCAGGAATAGCAGTGGGCCAGTGGGAGTGGGCAGGCAAAGCTCTGCCACTTCTTCAATATGCTGCCTGAAGCAAGGGGCTCATCTTCCCTCATGGTAGGGTCACTGACATGAAAAGTTAATGTGTGGTGACTGACGAGTAATGTGTTTCTCTCTCTGAAAATTATAACACAGCAATCAACATGCATATGTGAGTTGGATCTAGGACTATAGAGACTCTGAATTAGAGACTTATTGGCATCTGTCTGTCTCTGGAGACAGTGGAAGAATGCGTCTTCAGGGGTAAGGTCAAACTGTTAGACAGTTAATGCACGTGCCGTGGCTGTAGAGACCAGTACAGGAGAGACATGTTTTATTGCAGGTGGTGCAGATGAAGGTGTCTGGTGTTGCTGCTACAGGTTCACCATAGCGTTAGAGACTGCTTTGTCATATATAGAGACTGTGACATATATAGGGGCTCGATGACTGAGTGCTTTTGGGTGTATTCTTAATTTCTATTTAGTCATTTATTAAATTGGATGCACAACATGCTGTTTGCTGTGGCTGTATTTTACTGCTCCTCCTCCCTCGTCTCTGGGTTTTTAGAAACCTGTCAAACTAGTCTCAAGTTAGTTTGGGTCATCCATACTGAGCCAAGAATGGTTCCTTGTCTGCTTGTGTTTTGCCCAGCAAAACCAGTCAAAACTTCTAGGAAGCATTTCTTTTTTAAAAATTAAGAATCCAAGGCTATACAAAATCCAAGGAGTTTCATCCTGGTTAGAGACTTGATCAGATGCCATGCAAGGGATTGCATTAAATTGTCCATATGCATCCCAGTGTTGAAATATTTGTCTGTCTGTGCCAGGAGCAGGAATGTCTTATGACCTTGACAAGCTTGAATTAGATTTTATTCACAAGATTTAGAAATAATTAGATTTGGTAGTCTGAATCTTATGCCCCCTATTATGAAATAGTATAGTCAGTTTCATTGTAATATAGCAATCAGTCATAATACACTAAATGTTAACTGTAAACAGTTGGAAGGCAACAACTTTGCATGTTCTGAAAGTCTGAGTTTCATGTTGGATAGCAAGCACTTGAACTTTGTTTCCTACTGAAACACATACAGATAAATACCTTGTCAGACTTCTTAAGCACATATTCCTTGTTTTTGTTGATTTCTAAAATATGCTTTTGATTCTGACCCTCTGCAGCCTTTGTGTAATTACAGTTTTGAGTATTGACGTATGGGTTACAGTATGAGTTTTAACTCTGGGACATCTTTATAAATTAGCATCGGTCGCAATTGACCGCTTACACCATGCCAATTACAAGCTTGAGGTGGTGGTGGTAAAACAAGCATGTTTAGTTGCTCTCCCTTTTAGTTTCTTTTTAAAATATATAGTAGAAGGTGTTTTTTAAAAATAATAATTTTTAAAAGATGGTTGTCGCTTCCCAGTTAAAGTGGGCAATAAAAAGATTTTCAGCCTTCTTTGATATTCTAGTTTCCTGTACTAGGTAGCAGAGCCGTAGCTAGGGGGTGGTGAGGTAGGCCCCCACCAGGGCCGCATGTGGGGGGGCATAAAATTGCCTAAAAATATGTCCATAAATAAAAATTTTGATTATTGCTTCATAAGAAAAGGTTTTAAATAGAGGGTAAATTGAATGGGTGGAGAGGGGGGTTGGAGGCAAGGCGGAAAGAAGAGCTAATTTGTCCATGGCTAGGGGGTGCAATTTGGATGGTTCTATCAGGGGCACAAGATCACCTAACTACTGCTCTGCAAAATAAGATTTGGCAGATCCAAATAATCCTAGAAATAGACACGGGGTGGGAACACTTTGAAATGCATTTTCTTCATCTCATGTACCCCAGTTTTGTTTTCCTGAGTTCAGGTTAATGGTCTTAAGTACAAACAAGTACCATATTCACTGACAGACTGCTTAATAATAATAATAATAATAATACTTTATTATTTAAACCCGCCCATCTGGCTGGGTTCCCCCAGCCGCTCTGGGTAGCTTCCAACAGAATATTAAAATACAATAGTCTATTAAACATGAAAAGCTTCCATAAACAGGGCTGCCTTCAGATGTTTTCTAAAAGTCTGGTAGTTGTTTTTCTCTGTGACATCTGGTGGGAGGGCATTCCACTGGGTGGGTGCCACTACCGAGAAGGCCCTCTGCCTGGTTCCCTGTAACTTGGCTTCTCGCGGCGAGGGAACCGCCAGAAGGCCCTCGGCACTGGATCTCAGTGTCCGGGAGACACTCCTTCAGGTATACTTGACTGAGGCCGTTTAGGGCTTTAAAGGTCAGCACCAACTCTTTGAATTGTGCTCAGAGCCAGTGTAGGTCTTTCAAGACCTGTGTTAAGTGGTCTTGGCAGCCACTCCCAGCCACCAGTCTAGCTGCCGCATTCTGGATTACTTGTAGTTTCCGGGTCACCTTCAAAGGTAGCCCCACATAGAGTGCATTGCAGCAGTCCAAGCGAGAGATAACTAGAGTATGCACCACTCTGGCAAGACAGTCCGTGAGCAGGTTAGGGTTTCAACCTGCGTACCAGATGGAGCTGATAAACAGCTGCCTTGGACACAAAATTGACCTGCACCTCCATGGACAGCTGTGAGTCCAGAATGACTCCCAGGCTGCACACCTGGTCCTCCAGGGGCACAGTTACCCCATTCAGGACTAGGGAGTCCTTTACAGCTGCCTGCCTCCTGTCCCCCCAAAACAGTACTTCTGTCTTGTCGGGATTCAACCTCAATCTGTTAGCCGCCATCCATCCTCCAACCGCCTCCAGACACTCACACAGGACCTTCACCGCCTTCACTGGTTCTGATTATGGTCGATGGTTTGAATGGATTGTTGTACTCCAGTTGTATAAAAAGAAGAAAACTGGTTCATTCTGTCATAGAACTGTGTCAAGCCAGGATTCTGCTGTAATTAAAATGATCAAAATACATACATTCAGATCTGTGTAGAGGGACAGCCCAAGACATTTTGTTGCCTAAGGCAGAGTAACAAATGATGTGTATTCATACCCCATCAAGGTACATAGCATCTAAGGCCAGCCACGTTATTTTGGCACCTGAAGCAGAAAATCCCAGAATGACCTTGCCATAAAAATACAATATCTGGGTGTCCCTTCATGACACCCAAAATCAGTTGCCTAACATTGGAATAGAAACTGCATGCATTATCCCACTTATTTTAGCTATGTAACACGAATAAGCACAAATAGCATTTTGAAACCTCACAGCAGAAGGAATAAATCTCTTCCCAACAAAGTTAAGTAGGCATAAAATTAAATGCACCCACTAATGAAATAGTTATCTGTTCCTGACATCTTGAAGAGTTTTAACCACTCTTTGTTCTATCCACTCTTTGGATTTCAGTCTGCTTTTTGGCATTTAGAAAAATTGTCAAGTTCTCCAGACTTGCAGGCCATAATTTGTAATGTCTAATTCTTCTCCTTCTTTCTCTACCCTATTGGATAAAATGGATAGTTTGAACATAACATTTCCCCCTTATTTTTCTGTTTGTTTTTAAATCAATGACATCTCTTTCGTCTTTCTTGCAAACTGATGGAATATCTGCTTTTAGTTTCTTGAGCACATTCAAGTTGAACAATGTCTAAGTTTATACTTTTTGTCATCTTAGAACGCTTTTAAAGCATACAATTTATTAATACTTTTGTATGTGATCCCGCTGCACATAACAACACAAACTTCATTGCAGTTACCTAACATACAAAATCAATTCCTTTTTTTGAGACTGCAGCTTTTGGAGAGAGAAACAATCTATACATCTTAAAAATAAGAAACATGCTAGGCTGCCTGCTGTTGCACAATCTTTATTTGTTGTCTTTTTCATTCCTTGTGTAATCTAGTTAAACAACTTGCTATGTTAACTGGTAGGAAGTGAGAATTATTCCATAGTTTCAGGGTGTGGGGTTTCATTTGTTCCTCATGTATGTGGGGTGATGGGAAGATTCTGATCAAATTGCAACACTCTTAACAAGCTAAAATAAGCAGGAAGACAAAAGTCCAATATAAAAAATCAACTACTGTACCAACATAGTATTGACATATTTAAAATATGAAATGCAGCTTTGACAGGAAAGGCTATGCTGAGAGCCAAAGTCTGCATGTTTATTTAAAAAAAATTGTACCCCACTTTTCACCATATGGGTCCCAAAGTGACTGTTATCTCTATATTGCAACTAAAATCCAGTAAATGACTAACATAACTGGATTTTTCTATGTAAAGCTCCCAAAAATGTGTTGATTGCTGCCTCTTCAACATTTTGAAGGCAATCCTTATTTCAGAGGGGGTGTTTGCACATACAAACTTGTTTTCTCAAAGTCTGTGCTTGAGCAGACGGCGAGTTCTGAGCTTGTGGTTTTCAGAATGTCAGGCAGGTATTTTATGGCTGTCTGACCAGTGGAGAAGAATAAAAGATCACTAGCAACGAGACCTGCAAAAAGCATCTTGAACATTGATAGACTTGTTTTAGTGTTGAACTTTATCTCTGGCCTGAGCCAAAGACTTGGCTTGCTACTGTTCCCTGTCAAAGGCCTTGCTTATCTTGTCTGCACCCTGCCTCGTTTTTTTTCATGCTATCTAGATTTCAGCCCCACTGACTTCATAGGACACATGTATCTCACTAGACAAGAGTACAAAATGTCTTGTATAAATCTGCCAGTTGGCACAGTCTTCTAGAAGTATTCTTAGTGCGCTAAAAGCCTAGAATCTGAATTCCCATACCATTTAAACTCATTAACACAAATTTGCTAATTTATCTAGCAGTTGCAAACATACTAAATTGTTGAGAGCCAGTGTGGTGTTAGACAAGGAGCTGGGAGACCAGGGTTCATGACATTCACTGAGTGACCTTGTGCCAGTCAATGCCTATCAGCCTAACCTACCTCACAGGGTTGTTGTGGGGGATTAAATGAGGAGAGGGAGAACGACATATGCCACCTTGAGCTCCTTGGAGGAAAAGGTGGGATAACAATGCAATTAACCACCATCACCCATGCTGGCATGTTCAAATGACAGTAGGTTTTGTGGGGTTGTTGTGGGGGGAAAATACCCCAGATATTGGTTGTGACATCTGGCCCTTAGCCTATAGACTTCTGTGGTTATGTGAATTAAGTACAGCATCTTGCTCAGGGTGTTTTTTTTAATAAAAAAAAACACCTGACCTCTATAAGAGCAGCCTAGCATAGCTGCTGTAATGCATCTCTCTACCTTCTGCCAATACCAACTGTTGTGTTCCAGCAGCAAGTGAGAGTATAGCAAATCTAATAGTTCCAACACGGTTAGCCAAAGAGAAGGTATGCAGGCAGCAAATGTGTCTCTATGTGTAGGAGGATGAAATCCATCAGGCTGGTGCAACATACTTAGCCTTTGTAGACTGTCTGGAAAGGAAAATAACTATAAACTATTGTACGTGAAGTATTTTCTACTGATAAGCCATTTGACTCTCAGGTTGCTTTTTCCAACAGCTGTTAAGGTGGAAGGGGTTTTTTTTTTGGGGGGGGGCGGGTTTTGTTTTTGTTTGTTTGATGCAGGAAAGAAACAAACCCTGCTGTGATTTGACACTGCCTTGGTTTATTGTCCGGGGTTGAAAGGGCTGCATCAAAACTATTCTGAAAATAAACATGGTTTCACTTATAGCGAGCTACTGCAGTATTCATTTTCACAATGCATGGAAACAGGGGTGGGAAATGGGCTTGGAAGGTAAACTCTAGGAGGCTCAGCAAGAAGCCACGGATCTTTTCCACTGTTAGGCACAATTCCCAAGGTTTTAAATATAAATTTGTTTCTTCTTCTGCCCTTTGCGGTGCATTGATGTGAAATCCTGTATCCTCAGTTGAAGTTTAAAATGCATCTCTGGGTTATTTGTGGGGCATAGGGATTCGTTCATCCCCCCCCCCCCAAAATATATACTCCAGCAACCACATGGTCTGAGTGACGGTGGACCGACCCATGGCTGAAAAAGGTTGCTGACCCCTGGGTTAGACTCAGGGTGAATAATGGATTAAAAGCCTAACATGCTGAATTTAAAATTCATAGATAAATTTGTTGCACATGTTAACATCCCCATTCCATCCCATGAGCTTTAACTGTAGCCAGCAAGCTCGTACTTGTGAACTCCTTCAAGGTTTTCCCAGCCTTCTTCATTTCCGATCCTCTTATGCAGAGGCGGGCAGAGACCCATGTTGTCAAGTTCCTAAAGTTAATATAAAATATTAGCCAAAAGTGCTCATGTGGTGAGACTGGGCTTCCCTGTTCCATCTTTCCTGGCCTAGCATATTTTCCAGGAGGCTGCCTTGGGGCCCCCAACAAATTGATGCTTAAGCACTCCCACATCTCTGCTAACTGACTGGCCATGTATTCAGAGATCAATCTGAGAGTCAGCTGTTGGCGGGGGAAGGAATGTGCAGCTGTCCAAGGGTGGGGACGGTGTAGGCAGGCAGATGAACTTCAAAAGCTGTTTGGACTGCATTGCAGAAACACAGAAACACTCTGCATTGCAGAGTGAAGATACCTTAGTTGCAGGGAGGCAGTTGGAGGACGGTACAGTCAAGCTCTGGTCTTAGATATTGCCTAGCATATTTACTAGCTGAGCCTAAAGTTCTTAAAAGTCACCCAGGGCACTGCAAATAGGAGAGGTGCCCCTGCTCTCAGATAGGCAGACAAAGGGATGTCACTCAGGTAGAAAATAAGAATGTGTTCGATGGCACCTTGAGACTAACTTCCTGGATCCTTTTTTATTGTAAAACATACTAAGCTTTGCATTTCAGCAGAATCTGAATTTATAAGTAGGTAAAGGAAGGCAGAAAAATCATCTGAAAGCTGATAGCTAGAAACAAAGTTTTAAAGGGATATTATATAATTTTTTAAATGTAGAATTTGTATAGTATTGATAGAAAACACAGTCTTAAGCCCCCACTTTGATAGCCAAATGAGTTCCTGTTCAGCTCTCTCGTGTTCTGTATGTCCCTATAGTTTGACCTTCCTAAGAACAGCGACTCTGATGTCTGCAACACTGGCCTGTTTTGCACGTAGTGTTAAGCTAAATTTTCTTCACTTCCTTTAGTTGGTATTGATAAAACAAACGCTGGTTCTTGTAAAGTTCATGCTTGAGGGAGATAATAAAATGTTCAGAATGTTGAGTGCATAAAGCTATATTGCGCAATGGTTGAGTTTTTCCCTCTCAGCTTCAGTAACTACTTGGGGAGATTCCATTCTATGTATCAAGGGTGGCAGTGATCCTCCTAGGGACAATTGTAAGAGACATTGAGTGTCTGCATTTTAATGCAATGATTGAGAACCATAGAAGTACCTCTTTATCCTGGCCTTTCTCACACACACACACACACACACACACACACACACACCCCATTCTAGCTATAATTGTAATATTGCCCAAGAGTGAAGCACACTCTCCTTTTTACAAAAGCAAGAAGTGTCCATCCTTCTAGAGTTTTCCTTTAAAAAAAAAGCAAATAGTAAAATAAACTCCCTTGATTTCTAGAGATCGCTTGTTTAAATTAAACAGATGGCCTTTTGAAGGTTGCTAGCTGATAAAAACACACAACTCCATTTGCTTGGCTGGAGCTTGGAAACAATCTGGTGATTAGAACACAGGGAGTGAAGTGCAGATAATTCTGAATATTTCAGCTGGTAAAGAAGGTCACTGGGGACCTACAAAGACATACTGCTCAATTTGAGAGAGTGCTGCTGCTTTAAAAGCTGGTACTATGTGTGTGCAGACACACTTCCTTCCCTGCATTATTTCTGTAGTATTCAAAAATGTGCAGGCATTAGAAAGTGATCACAAGTCTCCATTATGTGTTCCTTATAAGGAACTTAAGACTACTCAGAAGTGTGGAGCTGGCCTCCTTGCATTATTGCAGGGCAACAATTGAAAATTGCACGGTCACTTCCTTGCCGCTCCCCACCAGATTCCATGATTCATGTTTAAGTGAATCCCATTCTTGAAAATGATACGGCCTCTGTCTAGCTTACTAGCCAGTTTCAGGTTGTGTTCCCATGAGAGTGGTGCCAAAAATAGCCTCTCTGTATTAACAACTCTTTCCTCCATGGCCTATAATGTTTGCAAGCATACTCCAACATGATGTGGACAAGTGAGTTCTTGCAGAGTTGTTCACTAAAGGTAGTTCAATTTTTGATTGCTTCCCTATGGAGATGGTAATGTGTTCACCAGCTATATTCAAATGAACATAACCTTCAGTAAAGTAATTCACATTCTGTTGGCATTATAATAAGAAGAATTCACGTTAGACATCTAAATGATTGTAAATGTGTCTCTGTAACTAGTACAGTGGTACCTCGGGTTACATACGCTTCAGGTTACATACGCTTCAGGTTACAGGCTCCGCTAACCCAGAAATAGTGCTTCAGGTTAAGTACTTTGCTTCAGGATGAGAACAGAAATTGTGCTCTGGCGGCGCAGCAGCAGCAGGAAGCCCCATTAGCTAAAGTGGTGCTTCAGGTTAAGAATAGTTTCAGGTTAAGTACGGACCTCCGGAACTTACAGAATTAAGTTCGTAACCCGAGGTACCACTGTACTGCCTTTCCAACCATCCATTGTTATAACAAAATTTCAGTTATATTTTATGTCCTTTTTTCAAAAAAAGGACAATGGATGTAAACTCCCACTCCCCCACCTCCGTCTGTGTGATGTATGAATTCTTGCTAGATGACCCATATTTCCTCCCCGTATGCTTTTAAATTACAGTTGCTCTCTTCTTATTTCTATAGTGAAACTGAATTGCTTCTAGAGTGCTATATCTTCATCCTTTCTATCACTGCTGAGGACTTGAAGCTTAGAGTTTCAAAGATCAATTAGTGTTGCTTTCCTTTTTATGTAGAGGTCTTGCCATAAAGCTTGCCATAACTTTTGGGACCAGAAAGCTCAGGGAAAGTTCATAGAGGCAACTAGAATTCTGCATTTTTAGAATAGTACTGTATTTTTCGCTCTATAAGACACACCAGACCACAAGACGCACCTAGTTTTTGGAGGAGGAAAACAATAAAAAAAATATTCTGAATCTCAGAAGCCAGAACAGCAAGAGGGATCGCTGTGCAGTGAAAGCAGCAATCCCTCTTGCTGTTCTGGCTTCTGGGATAGCTGCGCAGCCTGCATTCACTCCATAAGACGCACACACATTTCCCCTTACTTTTTAGGAGGGGAAAAGTGAGTCTTCTAGAGCAAAAAATATGGTATTTTCTCTGGTTTGTGTCTTGATAATCTGTACTTTAATGCATGTTAATAGACTTGAGCAGTCAGTTTGGCTATGTAATTACAGTACTGTTTGGTATTAGTCATTCTAAAAGATTTAATATATGCTTGACATGTTACTGTTTGTGTGTTTTTGCAGACCAGAAGAGACTAACAGAAGAGTGAAGAATGTAAGACTCATTCTCTTTTAATTATTTGATTCACACATGCAGATGGTTTAAAAAACAAACTTGGACCTTTAGCTTAGTTAACTGAGCTTTCTCCTCTTCTTGAAAGAGGTCAAGCAGTAGAAAGAGAGACCCTTCAAATGGCACAATCTAGTTAAATGCAGTGTGTGCGGTGCTTTTTATTAGATAGGTTTACAACATACCTACAAACCCCATGCAACCAAGGCAATTAGCTTTTCAGATGGTAAGTGGGTCTCCCTTTACTAGGACCTAAGGCCTGTTTGCTTATATCATGGTTGGGGTTTGTGTGTATGTTTCACTCTGGTGAGTGTATGCAAAGTTGGACAATGTTATTGCATATTTTTGTATGATAATATTTGTGCAATCGGAGGGATGCGGGTGGCGCGGTGGGTTAAACCACAGAGCCTAGGACTTCCTGATCAGAAGGTTGGCAGTTCGAATCCCCGCCACAGGGTGAGCTCCCGTTGCTCAGTCCCAGCTCCTGCCAACCCAGCAGTTCGAAAGCACGTCAAAGTGCAAGTAGATAAATAGGTATCGCTCTGGGGGGAAGGTAAACAGCGTTTGCCGTGCTTTGCCAGAGCTGTACGCCAGCTCCCTCGGCCAATAAAGCGAGATGAGCGCCGCAACCCCAGAGTCGGTCACGACTGGATCTAATGGTCAGGGGCCCCCTTTACCTTTACCTATTTGTGCAGTAAGCTGCATTGATACAATCTGAATTTCAGCAGATCATGTATAATGTAGGTTCAAGGTTCAATAATGTGTTAAAAGGAAATAAGCCATTCTAAACAAAAGAAACCAAACTCTGCTCCAAGAGAACTCAAATGACACTAATAAATTATATTATGTAAATGTAACAAGGAATTATGCAAACCATATGCATTCATTTATTTGAACAATGCTTACTTTAAAAATAATAGTAAGAGTTCTCCTGAGGTGCTTGTGCAGTTGGCTGACTTCAGTTCTTTTAAGACTGAATTCTGAATGGACTTGGCCAATTCAGTAACAGTTGTGCCAGTTAATGCAGTACAATTGATATGCTGCATATTTCAAGACCATCATGTTTTGTTCAAACCTCTGTATGTGAGTATAATTTGGGAGTTTTTCCTTCTGCACCAGTGTAGTGGCAAGAAAAGTGTGGGGAGCGATGGAAAATGTTTGCTGCTCCATTTCACCCTCCAAAGTATGCATGTTGTGCATGCAAACTACATTCACTGTGCAGCAAACCTTTTTCGGTGCTTGTCAAGGGCACCAGGACCAGTGCCTGTAACTGGCCAGAAATGCTAGCTTTAGCCATCAGTTTGAAGAAGGCCTCTGATAAGGAAAACATGGAAAGGAAAATCCTTTATTCAGACAGCACAGTCAATATGTGGAATTTGCTCCCACAAAAAAAACAAAAAACCACGGTGATGGCCTTCGACTCAGATGGCTTTAAAAAAGAAATACTGTATACAAATTCATGTAGGATAAGGCGTCTGAGTGCCTGTTGCAGGGAACTGAAAATGGGGAGGCCATTAGGAAATGCTTTGGGGGTTTTCATAGGCATCTGTTGGGCTATGTGAAAACGGGGAAGGGCTAGATGGAGCACTGGTCTGCTCTAGCAGGCTTTTTGTATGCTTTTATTCTAATAGTAGGTATCAGTTGAGGAAATGTGTTAAAAATTTCTGTCTTGGAAGTAAGAAAGTAATAAGTTTTATAATAAGCATACGTTTGGCATAATTAGTTAGTGTGTGTGTGTTGTCTGGCTTTACATCATTATTCATAAATGTTTCATTCTTTTTAAATTTAGGTTTTGATTACATTATATTGGTTGGGCAGGAAAGCGCACAGCAACCCTTACTATAATGGCCCACAGCTAAATTTAAAAGCCTTTGAGAAATTACTAGGACAAGCCTTGACAAAGGTAAGGCGTTCATGGAAGGAAAAGTAATTTCAGCAAAGATTATCTACTATTGCTGTGGAAAAAAATGTTTGACCGGCTGAGCATGTTTTATCTGATTCAGTTTTCTACTTTTTGAGGAGAGGGGAATCTATAGCTTTAAATTTTCCTTTTTGTATACTTTCTATTGCTGTAAGCCACCTTGGGCAGGCAAAAAGGCAGAATGGTAAAATAATAGAAATAATAATAAACATTGCATGTGCCTTTGTCCATCTGTGTGACACCTAGTTTGGCAGATAGTTTTATAGGAGGCCACTTAGAAAAGGGAATGAGCAATGGGGAGTTGAGCCTCACATCTACCCAATGCAACTTCCAAATGCACTGCCAACAAGTCTAATGGCTATAGTCTCCCCTTGCTCCACACATGACTTTTCACTTCTGATATTGCAGTTTTGGGAGAGGGAGCTGATAACTGGAGAAATGGATTTGGCCATGAAAGTGTCATTTTGCAGATCCATAGCACAATGCTTTGTTACTCACAAGCACAATTATGTATCACTACAGAACTTTACTAGTTATAATTCACATTCAGCAGTAATTATAAAGTAGTGATTATATCTATTTACTTTCTGTTTCAAGTTTCTTAAACGCATTTCCCCATGCTATAAGCTTCCATTGAGAAGAACACCATCCATGTCACTCAAACAGAACACATTGCAAAATTATCATTGCTAAAATCCTTTGATAATTTTTTTTAAAATTACAAACAACAACAACAACAACTTTTCATTGCAGGCTCTTGGAGAATCCAGCAGTCCCAAACGAAGTGGAAGGGATAGTGGATACGGAGATATTTGGTATATTGAACGCAGTGACTCACTTTCGTCATCTATCAGCCATAAGAGAGACGATTCCTTTGATAGCTTGGACTCCTTTGGCTCAAGATCTTCTGCAAGCTTTTCATCAGACGTAACTTTGAAAGGTGGCAGTGAAGGTAATATATTCTTTAAAATCTTACTAGCCATATTTGCTTGAGAGAAGTAGGACAACAAAAGCTGTAAGGGTTAGATGCTTTTACATTTTGCCTTATCAGTCTTTTCCTAGTTTTAAATATCCTGAGGTTTTCCAGACGAATGTCATATAGCTAAAGAACATTCCCTTAAACAAGTTTGCTAGCTATCAAACAACTGACTGAAGGAAATTCAGTGGGGAACTGATACTAGATAGGTCATAGGACTCCCTCACTTCCAGTTTGACCCCAAATACTAAATACATCTGGCAGGTGAGCTGGAAGTCATTAGTTTTACTCAGTGCCTCTGCCAAACCTCTTTACCTCTGCAGTCAATAAAGTTGTGGCCTGATCTGACCCAAAATGTACATTGTCATATTTTGTTTGTTTACTGTTCCTAAGACTGGCTAGGTGGTGGGGTGTGAGGCACCCAGGCACGCAATTGAATAGCTGTTCACAATAGCAACAAATCCATTTTGGTAACTATGCTAATATTAACAGAGACTTCATAAACAGTTTTGTAAGGACTTCATGACCTCTGGCCTGCCATTCTCTGTTAGTTTTGTGGCACAGTATGTGATTTTTGACCGTCTGTTCTGGCACTGAGAAATAAATTGAAAAAGTTGCTTCCAGTTCAGAGAGGGGTTTTCATTTAATATTATTGGTCTTGTTATTTCTATGGAGAAGTATCAGTTATAGAGCACAGTCATTGAGATCAACAGTTCATTTTGCAAGTGGGAATGAGGAAATGATGTAATTAATGCAACGTAACTAGGAAAACCAAAGTTCAGCCAGGTGAACTTTCATACAGTATCAGGGCAAGTGTCTAAAAATATTCTCTTGCTCTATTTGCAATAAAAATCGTAAGAGGGCTTAGGTCAGCGCTGGCTTATAACAGAGTAAACTTCTGATGCTGAAATTTCAACTTAGAGGATTTCTGTGTGTTTTTGCTTAAAAGATTGTGAAAGTGACACAGATTCTGAAACACGCGCAAGAATGCATGATCCCAGTAAAGATGACATGTCGTACCGCAGAGTTTCTTTGATTGAACCCAAGCCTGCTGCAGAGTTCAATCGTTTCTTACCCAGCAAAGCTAAACCACCAACATACATGCCAGCGCCCTTGCGGAAGAGAAGAACAGAGAAGAATGAGGATAATAGAAGAAGCTGGGCAAGTCCTGTGTTTACGGAGCCGGATGGAACATTTTCAAGGTATTTGTGTGGTGTTTAAATGTGTTAAAAGTTGTCATTGTGGCAAATGTTAACTTATCGCTACAGAAGAGGCCTGGAGCAAGCATACCATTGTCAGTGGAGATCAGGGGAATAATGAGGGCATGTAATCTTCTCCTTCCTTCTGTGCAATTCTGTTCCCCTTCCTGTTTATGGTTTGCTTTAACTATGCTTGCAGGTACAGCACACCGGATCCGTTCCGGAACTCCGGTCAGATCCTGAGGTATTCGCAACCGGAGGTGCCTGCTCTGCACATGCGCGCAGTGCGGTGGAGTGCTTCTGTGCATGTGCGCATGGCGAAACCCGAAAAAATACTTCCAGGTTTGCTGCGTGCATAACCCGAGGATACGCAACCAGAGGTGTGCGTATCCAGAGGTACCACTATACTACGTTCTCATTTGATGCTATCCAGTGTTGCCCTTGCATTTCACATTTGGGTTTCAAACTCTGTATGCGACACAGATGTGTAATGTTACACAGTGGTTAAAAGAAACCGTGGAAAAGAGGGATTTCGTGTGAGAGACAGAAGGTGAGGGGGCTCATGAGTCTTCAGTAGGCTTCTGATTTTTCCTTTTCCTAACCATGACACCAGAACAACGAAGTGGCCTTTATTAAAAGGTTGACACAGTGTTTTTATATTTTTAAAAAAGGGTGCCCCTGAATTTCTGGTAGTTTTTGTTTTTTTTAAAGCTTGCTAAATTGATGCGTTGTTTATTAAAATATGACACACTATTTCTGCTTTCCCATGTGACTTTTAATATAACTTGCTAACTCATTTTGTAAGGTAACTGAGAGTAAATATTCTGTTCATTTACTCAGATAATAAAATGAGATTAACTTGAAGTTCATAGAAGAATTTTTTCCCATTCCCTCCTTCCATTTGAAGCCATCTTTGCGTCTCCCAAAGCCCCTTTGGAAGCTCTTCCTAAATAATGTGGGGTGGTACACAGGGTGCTGCTGGTAAATGGCAGAACTTCTCAAAATTGATCACCCCAATACAAAACGATGTACAAAATCTTTATTTTGTCTTTGGATTATTACTGCCCTCCAAGAATTTACATAGTATTGGCTTATGCTGTGATTGTAGTAGAGCTGGTGACCAGGCTTACCAATTCTCATTCTGTAGCTTCATCCCTGTTATGACTGATCTCAGCAGATGTGAAAGGAGTCATTTACCTTCCAATCAAAATAGCAGAGCAGAGAGTGGCTTTGCACATCTAGCTTCCCCACAGGTGACCTGCCAGTTTGATGGTAGTTCCTATTTGGAAGTTGAAAGGAAAGCAGACAGATGTTATTCAGGATGATTTGGCAAAGTGCAGGCTTTTGGCGAATATATCTTTTGCTAGACCTGGATTTCTTTATGCCCAGCAAAATTATTCTTCCATGCTTGATGCTTAAGACATTGTACCACTGACCCATTACCCATGGTGCTGAAAGAGATGTGGTTAAAGGTCTACTTCTCTGGGTTCTTATGATTTACTCCTAAACTATAAAAAATATCTGTAAACACACTATCTGTGAATAGTGTATTCTGAAGCCAGAGTTTATTGATCTGCCTGTACAGAAGCTTAAACCACTTCCCATGTGTATGTGTGTGCTTTGAACAGTTTCCCAACATTTTCCTTTTGGTCATATGAAACAAAAATCTTCTGTTATAATGGCATTCTTGCATGCCTGCAGTGCTTTGATACTCAGAACTAATTTTGCTTCATTCACAAGTTTGTAATTTTTAGCCAAATGTGTCATCTTTTCTGTATTCGACAACAAATTGTGTTTGAAAGTATAACTTGATTGGGTATTTTGTACAGTAACCAGAGAAGAGCTTTGCAGCGAGAGATGGAATGCAATACATCAGCTAACGTCCTTTCAGGCTTCTCCAACTATTTGGAGGAGGAGGATGAAGAAGAAAAGACAATGGGCACTCCAGACATTGAAACAGATGACCTTTATGTTCGCAAAATAAATGCTGCAGTGTCAAACCCAAAACTTTCCTCTCATAAGTTTCTTCCCAAGTCTTGGATTCCAGGGGAAGAATTGCAGTGGAAAAAAGCGAAAAGGATATCTTTTTCCAAGCAATGGTATAAGGATATTCAAGGATTCAGGTTTGTTGTCTTGCATGTTCTTTTTTCATCCAAGCAGACCTTTTTTTAAAAAACACATGCTTAAGTGGCTCAAATCACTGCACGATTTGAGTTGCGGCAGGGGGCGTGGAGTCTTCACTGGCTGTTGCCTGTGGAAACTGAATTACTGTTCCATTCGATTTTGAAATGCAGCCTCTTCCTATACCAGTTATTTTAAGCAGTGTGTTCAAACAGATTACTGCATACCATTTTTGTGCCAGAACTTACATATTCCCTGTTTTTCCCTTTCTTCACTTACGTGCTGCTGTGCAGTAAAAGTGCAGATTCTGAAGAGGATCTTGCAAGAGTCCAGGCAAGCAATAGCCTGAGTAACTTGGGTAACAGTTGCAGAGAAGACCCAAACTGCGTTAAACAGACTGCGGAACATGCTGCAAAATCAGTACTACAAGCTGCAGAAGAAAATGTTAACTGTTCCTCTGATCTACCAAGGTTGCTACAATTGCATGAACTATGCTGTCCTGTGTGTACGGAAACCTGCTCTTTGCTAAAAGTTAAAGTGAAAAGTTAATATGGATCGCTGGCTTTTGAACTTTCCCCCCTATGTCCATACATGTTGGCTTACTGAATTCACACTACTAAAGCAGAGTGGATTTTATTTTTGTGCTGGTCGATGCTCTTGTCTCCTCTGCAATGATTGCTATGCTTTGCTGCTACGCAGGAGTAAAAGTGTTGTCCTTTTAAAAATATGTTGGAGTCGTAACAAGCCACATTTCAATGTTGCAGTGTGCACCCCTTTTCAGTTGCAATTTTTTTGGCATCTTTTTGGTCTGCATTTCAGGCCTTGTTCTCACTGAGTTGGGAAACCTTTGAGCTCTAGCACTGAGGGCTAACTTGAATAAACGGTCCTTTTTAAAAAAAAGCACCCCCAAATAGAAAACCTAACATATTGGTTTTATATGCCAGACACAGGTTTAGCACCTCAGTGAGAGCTAGGTCTCTGTTTCTACTAGTTAACGCAAGTTTTAATTTGTGTGTCTTTTTTATATCTCAGTCAGTTTTTATTTCTGCGGGCACTGCAAAAATATTCTGACGACTACCTGTCCTCTGAAACTAGAACCAAAATTGATCCTTCTTCAGGGCCTAGGCTCATAACTTGCAGGAAAAAAAATTATTTTAGGCCTGGATGTGACCAAAGGGACAATGAAAATGGAGACAATTATCCAGATTTGGAAAATGATGATTTGTTTGTTCGTAAGACTGGTGCTTCCCATGTGAATCCGGTAATCCTCCAAGGTTTTCAGTATCTTAAGCAAGGTCCTCAGATAGAAGGCGAGATCGTTCTTCAACCCAGAGACGATGAAACTGTAATTCCAGATTTGGAAAAAGATGATTTGACAGTTCGCAAAGCTCAGTTTCAGAAGAAAGAAGTGCCCTTATCAGGGGCCCCAGATAGATACTGGCCTGCTCTCTTTCCGGATCCTTGGAGTCTTCCACCAGAAATCCAGGCCAAATTTCTTTGTTTGCTTGAGAAGACAACAACAAAGGATGAGAGACAAAGTGGTGGAAAGATTTTATCTCCTTCTTCACGGCAAAAGAAGGATGATATGTTGACCCGCAAGATGGAGCTGCTCAACATAGGAGTCAATGTGCAGCCCATTAGTTTCTCTCCAGGAACATGCAGCAAAGAAGACATGGAAAAATGGGAGGCAATCAGAGAGGCCAGCAAAATCAGACACAAGAAAAGGCAAATGGTTGAAAGGTCAGCTAAAGGCCATGCATGGATTGTGCTTGTATCCAAAATATTCAGAAATGGGTTTTTGTTTTTGTTTTTAAGAGAGAACAAGGAACAGCAGCATCTTGCTTTCAGCCATGCATGTCTTGGTGTGAAACTTCAGTCTGTGTCTTTGTATATTGTCCCATAAGTTGTCGTGTTGGTTGTCAAGCTCATCAACAATACAAACCACATACTTCAGGAGTTTCAGGACTGTTTGATCACTGGACTAATGCAACTTTCATGAATACATTTATTTAAAGGATCAGAAATAAAAGTTTCTGCTTACAACAGATTCAACATAGCTGGTACTTCAAAGTATTTGTTTGCAGACATTCTTGGAAATGTACGTTTCAAGTGTAGGAGTGGCTAAATGGGTATAATATTTTTTTTCTCCTTGCTCTACTACTGTTTAAGGTGTTTATATTCTTGTATCGAAAACACATTTGTGGATGAACAGAAGCAAACGTACATGTGGATTGCTTCTCCCCTTTCATCCTCTTTCTCTGCAGTCTACGTCTATGTGATCTAAATAACCCCTTTAAAAAGGCAAAGGTAAAGGACCCCTGACAGTTAAGTCCAGTCGCGAACGACTCTGGGGTTGCAGTGCTCATCTCGCTTTACAGGCCAAGGGAGCCGACATTTGTCCACAGGCAGTTTTTCCGGGTCATGTGGCCCTTTAGGTATGCTCAAAGGTTGCTCACAGGTGGAGCAAAGATCTCATTCTGCAACCGCTGACCTTTCCCAGCAGTTTATACATAGTTTTGCTTCTAAATTGCTTCTGTCCCATTCTTGACTCAAAAAGAACTCCCAGCTTAAAAGCACTTTGTGGAGCAATTAGGAGTGTGAATTTAGATAGATAGATAGATAGATAGATAGATAGATAGATAGATAGATAGATGATAGATATTTAGTAATCCCACTAAAATATTAACAAGTAACTCTGTCCCAATCCAGCCACTGAAATCTAGCCCTAATGTGGGAGGACTTTACAACCTGTTCAGAAGATGTTTGGATACTAGTGAGCATAATTTGCGGTTGTTGACAACACCTATCTTCATGAAGAAACAGTCCTGGGTCAATCTTAATGAGGTTTCTTATATTCACCTGGTAAAGTGTTTTCCATCTTGAAATACCCTCATCCATTCCATTCTACATGGAGCATTCATTAGTCCTTCAGCAAACTTTGTATGTTTTTTTTGTCTGCTGAGTAGTTCTAGAGCACCAATTATGCATGTTTCGTTGGAAAGTATAACTGCAAGCTGGTTGCATACTTAAGCTTAACACAGTTAACAAATTTTAAGGAACAATTAGAATGAAACATGCGAGGCACCTTACATTTTCCCTGAATCTCCCTGCCTTCTTTTAGTTATCCGAGAGCTGTGCTCTGTAAATGGCTCAAAAAGGCATGGGCTGAATCTTTGCCCTAACATATTACTCTGTGACTGTTTTAAATAGTTATGCAATGATTATATAAACAACTACTAGATACAAATCAGAGCTGTAACTGCGGCTGTGTTTAATGTGTTAAGCTTCTGATATGTCTTCTGTGTGTTTGATAGATTAAGACGTGCAATGCAAGATTTGGGGGGGGGCGGGGAACCCATTCATATTTGCATTTTTGAGATTAAGTTTAAGGAAAGTTTCTAGGTATGCACATTTTGTGGTCCATACTAAACCACAAAGAAAAAAGCAGGTGTAAGTATTTGTGTTGGCATTTGAATCTGAGAGTTTAAATTATTCTCAAAGTTCAGCCTAATATCTGAATTTTGATATTGCAATAGGGTTTTCATATTCACATTACTTTAGCAACTTGTTCATTGTTTTAGTTCATATGTTCTACCATAATATTGTTGGCATTTTTTTACATATGGTGAAAATGGAATGGGTAGTATGAACTTGTTTTGGTTTTCTGATTTCCCCCTCAGGCTGTTTCAAAAGATTACTGATGAGCATGGGTAAGTTTAATGAGAAAAGCATGGCAGAGCATAAAGATTCCAACATAATGCAATGGATTAACCATGCAGCTTATGCGTTTGCAGCACTGGCTAAAGACTTGTGCTTTGAGGCAAAATGTGCATGATGCTTCATACTTGAGTGCTTAATTGGTTTGCACCGCAGTTTCTGGGATTCATTTAAGGCAGTGGCAGGAAATGTGGCCCTCTCAGATGTTGCTCAACTTCCGCCTTCCATCAGCCCCAATCCCTAGCAAGTATGGCCAATGGTCAAGGATGATGGGAGTTCAAGTCCAGCAACATCTGGAATGGCCACTAGTTCTCTACCCCTCGTCTAGGAGGAACTCTGAATGGCAAAGGTTTTGCATGTATGGAGGAAAATAAAATGAGCAGTTATAGTCTAGCAGCTTCTTAAAACAAGCTGGGAATGTTTCATTGCTTGAAGCCTAGCATGTGGCACACTTCGGATAGAGTATGTTTGAATACTGTTTATGCAATCCACACTTCCCGCAAGTAGCTCCTTAAACTAAATGAAAACTGACTTTCCGCCAGAGATGTTGATGACCAGCAACTTTCCTGAACCAATAACTTGTGCCTGAGAATGGGATGCACCAGCAGCTGTGCCAGGAAATTTTCACAAGCAGTTTGACGGTGGTGTTTATAAGTATTTGTAGGTTTTCAGCATCAGCCTCTTTGTACACAATCCCCCTTTTGGCCTTGGAGAAAGATTGAGTTCGTTTGACAGAAAGAGAGCTTAAACTAGAAATATTGTGAGGCATCTAAGTGGTAAATATTCACACCAGGGAAAGGATTTTCATCTTTTAATGAGATAAATGGTAAAATTGGTATCCTTTAATAATACAAATTTTTCCACTATTTGGGTTTTGCCTGTTCCATGCGCCTAGAGAGTTTCTAAAATTGGGGAAATTATTTCACAAATGTTGACTACTAACAGCAAAAAGTGCTTCTGGCTCCAAACACAGCAAGCACAAACTTTCATTTCTTTCACAGCATATAGGAAAAATTACATAACGTGAGATTATGATGTCCTGGCTTTCCCTAGCATTGGTGCACATCAGGGACATTTGAAATACAGTTGTATCTTGTATCCCGAACGCCCTGGAACTTGGATGTTGTGGCTCCCAAACATTGCAGACCCAGAAGTGATTGTTCTGGTTTGCGAATGTTCTTTGGAACCCGAACGTCTGACAAAGCTTCTACAGCTTCTGATTGGCTGCAGGAGCTTCCTGCAGCCAATCAGAAGCCACAGTTTGGTTTTCAAACATTTTGGAAGTCAAATGGACTTCCGGAATGGATTCTGTTCGACTTCCAAGGTACAACTGTACTTTGAGACTAAGATGTGAGACATTGTACTACATCTTATAGGGTGGGTGTGGGAGTGAGGTACATGATGACTACTCAACACCCCCCCCCAAAAAAAACCAATAACCATGGCCACATTTTATAGTTACATGTAGTTTGGCAATGAAACTAAATGTGAGAGTCATTGGAGAGGGCAACTTCACTAACATAGCTATAAAATGTGGACTTCCAGGATTCAGATATTCTTAGATAATGTTTTAAGGTTGTTAGTCTTCTTAAAATCTCTTAAGTGCCCATTCTCATCTGGGGTGATGAGAATTCCAGTAAGCTGGGTTCTAGCCACCAATTGCCCAGGAAGGCAAGGAAGCATGTGATAGAATTCTTGGATAGCTCTGTGTCCCTTATTCTCTTCCAGTTCTTCCGCTGACTTCACCTAGGATAGAGCTTCTCCTGTATGACTCCTCTTCAGCATATTTTGTAATTATTATTCCTTCTTAGGTTTTTTTTCTTTTTAGTCTCTCATGACCCCCCCCCCCCCAAATTCTCAGAGGAGGAAAGAAAAGACCTTTGTGTTGTCTATGAACTAGACGTTTGCCTAGCCTCCCTTCCACACGACTCCCTCTGGAAGGACAGCAAAAGCTTCAACAAAAAACAACACTTGAGGGATGTTGGGGAGGGAGGAATACAACACTTTTGCTGCCACCACCGAGGGGCCTTTGTGCAAGCAGTGCCACCAGTATCTAAAGACCACTGGTTAGCAGCATCCCTGCCCATTTCACACCACTCCCAGCCAACAGAAATTTCTCTCATCTGGGGCAGCATTTCTCAGGACGCAGTGGTCCATAATCCTCTTTATGATTATGAGGGTTACTGTGAGAGAACAGAAGGCCTTAAAAGAGGAGACATTCACACATTGACCATCACCTACAGTTATGATACAGAAGGGGCCTGTGATGAGAGAGGGTCCACTTCAGTTGGGTGTGGAGTCCTCAGTGTTTTTCCCATATGGCACCATCTTAGAGGCCAGTTACTATTTTTGTACACAAAAGCACCTGCATTGTGACCTCCTGTCCCCCAAGCGAAGCTTCCAGTTTAGCACTTCCTTCCCTCCTTCTAGAGGAATGAATGATCAGAAACATTAAGCAGCCAAACCTGGCAGATATCTCTGCTCAGCTGTTTCACAAGAGCAAGGAAGGGACATCTCAAAACCTCTAAGGTCCTCCCAGGTTGGCCACCATATCAAAAACACCCATCCAAACAGCCCCTTGGCTCCACCCCATGCTCATCAGAAGGTTCTCATCAAGGCTGTACAGTCTCTCATGACCTTACAGCCTCATCCCAGTTGCTTGCCTTCCAAAAGGAATGAGGAAAACAAAGGCTATGTAGCACTGCTCTTGTACCCTCTACACATGGAGTGATTGCAATTCCCGTGAGTATCCCGGCAAAGAAAGAAGAGGGAAGCTGTTTTCCGGAGGAATTCCCCCGTCTAGTCTTTTCACAATGAGGATTCCATGCCTTTACCATCTAAGTCTTATCTCCATCCTAGATTTACAATCTGAAACTCCAGAAGCTTTTCAGCCAGTTTCCAGATGAGCATCTGTTTTCACTGAATCCAAGCCAACTCTTCTTTGTTGTTGTTCATTTCCCCCCTAATATGATTGATCAGGAATGGGCAAATAGCTTACAAAGCAAAAAAGTTATTAGCTTACCCCAAAAGCGCTATAAATTACCTGACAAATTTATGGAGACACTTAAAACCTCAGTAGTAGAGACTTCACTGCCAGCACTGCTATTGAGCTCTGTTATTCCCTGGAGTAATGATTCTCTTGAAAGGGGCCATGGAGATGGGGAGTAAGGAGCAAGCCAAGCTCTTGAAAAGAGTCACGATGCCTCTGCCTTACCCCTCCAAATCACCACCACTTTTTGACAGAGCTACAAGAGCTGGCATACCTCTTGCCTGATGCAAGGACTTCGATGACACAACCCTTCAAACGAGCTGTACCAGAATTGGTCTGCCTTGTTAAAATCTATAAGAACAGAGGTGGCTACTACTGTGTTCCTCCCCCCTCGATAGCTATAACAGCTCACAGAGTATCTGAATTGGATGCCTTCTTTGTGAGAGAAAATGTGTGTAACTTCCACAAAGATAGTCAGATGAATCCAGCATTTATTCCAAAGGTCAGCTTGTTCTTATACAAAGAACAAGAACTGATCCTACCATCTTTTTTGTCTCCAACTCTCTCATCCAAGGCAGAGGATTTGACCTCCATCAAACTTAGTCAGATGGATCAATTCCCTATTGGTCTCTTTCAACCCTATATCTTTAGGTAAGAAAGTGTCGAGTGCGACCTTGGTCATAGGCTTAATCCTGCATCTTTCTAGCCTATGACACTAAACATTTAACAAAACCTTGCTGCATCTCATCACACTATACAAGAGTAGCTTCACCAACAAATGCCCTATTTGTGAAGATCTGCAGGGTCACCTTATAAAAGTCTCTCTCCACAGTAAATCTTTTCCACTAGTCCTTTTTTACATCCTGACCCACCTGAGTATCAAGTTAGCATAGTTTCTTATGAGAGAAAGATAAAAGATTTAAAAAGTGAATCCACCATTTTTCTCCTGCCTTGACACAAGTGTTTTTCTTACTGTTTTGGGAACTGTAGATACTATTTCTGTCTCAAGCTTTGCCATGAGACAGAACTAGACAAGGTTTTCTCTGCTTTTCTGGGAAATTGGTGGCTATAACTCAGCATTTTGGATGCCTCATTCATCCCAACTGGAAAGAATATTCGCAATGAGTAACAAACATTCCTTTCTAGCTATTATTTATCAGACAATCCACAACATAAAGCAAGCTATGAGAGAGAGAGAGAGAGAGAGAGAGAGAGAGAGAGAGAGAGAGGAGAAGATGATACCTTCCATTGTCCCTGAACCCAGTCCCCAAGAAAAATACGCTTTGCACAGCAGTATTTTGAACTATATTCTTACTGTTTGTATGGGATTGTAGTCGTGGCAGACAGCTTTTGCAAACAATATTTTTGTTGGAAAAGCAGGATGAAACAAATATTTGCAAACACTTATATGAGCAGATACCCTAACAACACTAAACTAATGAAAAATACAGAGCATGATTGCTACTGCAATGCTGCTTAAAGGAAAGCTCTGGCGTTTACTTTAGATAATGCTATCAGATTATATGCATGTAGGTTGCCTTTGTTTGGGAGCTGAATGCTGCATTGTAGAATACAATGTGCATGAGCGTTTTGTGACTTTATTTCAATCTTGTCTAATGTCTCTCGTGGCTTTTTGGCAATGACCTTTGGAAATGGACTAGATTTGTAGTAAGTATTCAGATAACTCCACAATAAGTTGTTATATGCTGCCAAAATCAGCAAGGGTATGAAAGGAGTACTAAAGACTTAGCTGGAATTTCCATTCCTTAACGGAGGTTACATGTAATATATTTAGGTCTTCTGTTGCTTTAACCAAGTTAATAGTTGTAAAGTTGTTTGACTTCCTGGGGAAACTTTTGACTTGAGTAATTTCTCCCCCCTATAAAAACCATTGACTTGTAACAAACATTGTAAACATTTAAAAGTGCAAATACATTAGATTTTTTAAGCCTTTTAAAACTTCATTCAATAACTGGGGTGCAGTCAATGTTTCTATTATTTCATACAGTGTGATCCTAAGTATGTTTACAGAGTAGTAAATCCCACTTGATTTAATGGGACTTGCTCCCCAGTGTGTGTTGTTGAGAGTACAACCATAATATTTAACTTCCAGCTTCATCAGCCAATATTGGGCTTTATGGTCTAGCCCTCTGTAAGCAGTTAAAGAGGGAGACATTGTCTGTGATGACAGCAGGAAATGATTTGCTGTTAAAGTGACACCACATAAACAAAACAATCCTAGTTCTAAAGTATATTATCAATATCAGAGTGTACTGTGGCATATTCCTGTCAAGTGAAAAAATCCTCTCTTTATTAAATGTTTATTAAATATAAACATCTGAGCACCAACAATATAAATGTATAATTTCAAGTAGTCCCTTACTGTTTTTAGTGCAGTTTGGTTTATTGAATGGATAGCTTAGCTCCCTCTCCAAAGTAATTGTTACTCCAAATTAAGGCCATTTGAAACTTAAACATAATGATGTGTTGACTCCTAGGAGCAAATCCTTGAATGATGTCAGTGCAGATGAGCTCCAAACGATCCGTCAGTTGCGTTATGAGGAGCTTCAGAGAATAAGGACTCAGCTACAAGAACAAGATGAACAATGGCAAGACGTAAGTATAGTCACACAGCACCCCAATCTCCACGAACAGAGCGAGATTCCAGGGGTTGCAGGAGCTTTCACTGGGGTCTGTGTTTCCTTTTGGAAAAAGAGGCACAGTGGAGACTGCAGTGTCTTTATGATAGATCAGGCTTCCTCAACCTCGGCCCTCCAGATGTTTTTGGCCTACAACTCCCATGATCCCTAGCTAGCAGGACCGGTGGTCAGGGATGATGGGAATTGTAGTCTCAAAACATCAAGAGGGCCAAGGTTGAGGAAGCCTGCGATAGATGGTTTAATTGCACATATACATAACCTGTACCTGCTGTGGAGGGGTTTCTGAGCATTACATTCCAAGCGGCGCCAGCTTCTTCCAAAAGCAGCAGTGTCCCTGCTCTGCTGCTTACCTTTCCCTGAGAATGGTCACATCCCACCTGTTCTAGCCTTGCTCTTTTGTAATGCACAAATAATCCCTACTCATCTGTATTCTCACACCTAGGTCTTCAATCCTTTGACCCCCAGGTTCTCACCTCAAAGGAAATTAGGCTGTCTCCAGTACCTTTGAACCCAGGTTGACATCACAGGATTAAGGGTGTCTGGCACATGGTCCAGCACACAGGGTTTGATTTAGATGGGCCCTCACACATGCTAATTAAAAGATTAACGGGGACTATTTATTACGCATCTTAAATACACACCCAGATTTATCTTAAACACACTTGAGTCAAGCTATCTCCTCCAAGGAAATTAGCTATGATGCTCTCCACTAACCTTAACCTATACATCTATAACCTATAAACCCACTAACTTATAAATATTTAACAGCATGTTGAAGATGCACTTCAAATCCTACAGCATGAAGATCCTTCAACAGTCAAAGGGAAGCAAAAAGTGGGTGGTACCAATTAGAATTCAGTGCTCCCTACTTTCAGGTAAAATGCACAGTCACTTTGCAAATAGTCTAATTCAGGCCTAAAATTTTAAAAAAAGGGAATGGGTGGGCACAGGAAGAGGTAAGCACTCCACTCCCATTTATTCTGCCTTCAAATCTCTGCCCCCCTTGCCTTTAATTTGGGAGGGGTGTGGCAATTCCAAAGATCCAGATTTGTTTTCTGGGCACAGAGCTTTGGGAGCACCACAGGAGGCACTGCAACTATGATGTAGAATGGAAGGTAAGAGGCAGGGGGCACCGAATTTGGCTTGGGAAAAGGATGCTGCTGAAATTTAAGAAATCAAGGTCCACCACTGGTCATGATTATGAACAGTTATTCAGTTTTAAGTCATGAGGAATCTAGAGTTCGTGGCCACTTCAAAATAGCACAGGACAAGAATCTGTATACCTCTCCTTGAGGAAAAGGGAGAGGAATTATATTTTCTCTTGCAGCTCTTTTGTCTTGCACTACAAGACGAAGGGCTGTAAATGGCGAAAACTGACTGTAGGGATGGCACTGTTGTCCGTGGAACAAAAGCAGGGGAATTCAATTCCCAGCCTGGGCGGTTTTCAAGAGGTGCCAAGAGCCTGTTAAATCGGAATGCTCATGCAGGTACCCAAGGTACATTTTGGGATGGACCATTTTTCCAGACAACTGTCATTCACATAATTAAAAAGAGCCTGTATTTCTATACTGTATCCAACAGGAAACAATAAAAAATACTGTCCTAAACTGTTCTGACAAGCTAAACATAAAATACACACTTGTGTTCCTATTTTGTTTGAACAAAAGTATCTTTAAAATTAGACCTCCATTGACTGTTGTTGTGAAAGGGAAGAGCAAATATTTACACTGACAAATTTGCTTTTGAGACAGTGTACTTCCTTTTCCCTTGCAAAGTCTTTATGCTTTTAAACATGAGACTACTATCTTCTTCATCTGAACAGAAGACAGCCACTGCCCAGCTCTTTTAGAGACAATTTTGCAGGAAGATACTTGAGAATGCAGGAACACTAGACATGTAGAGTGAAATTAGAGCGCCTGAACATCCAGTCAGAATGAGCACTCTTGGATAGGTAATGAGATCCGTGAGCATTCACAGTAGTAGCTCTTACCAAGGTCTGTAGGAAATGCAGTGTTCATTTGCCTGATTTGTACTCAGGATTTGGCAAAATGGAAAAACCGTCGTAAGAGCCACACTTCTGATTTGCAAAAGAAAAAGGAGGAGAGAGAAGAAATTGAGCGGAGAACTTCTGAGAGTTCCGAAAGACGTGGCAAATCTCTGAGAGAAATGCAGAGGGACAGGTAACGTTGGCAAACAATATTTAGCATTTCGAACAGCTCTGTCTGTTTATTTAGAAGTAGGTTGCACAGAGTTTAAATGACTTCCTTTGTAGAAAGGGTTATTAGGATGGAGCCAAAAACCTTTTCAGCACGCAAGTGTGACTACTTTATTTCAGGCTTCAGCTTTTCCTCCATGGTTACTGATTCCTTCAGTACTTAAGAAGTGATTAAGATGATTTCTGCTAATAAAATGATTTTCACTGTATGTTAATCACCTTAGTAGATTTTTTTAAAAGGGAGTGAATAATTAAGTTCTAATTTAAGTTTAAATTTATGGATCCCTTTTCAATCCTATTGCCTTTTCAAACTAAAATGATTGGTAGAGTTTGCACCCAGATCCTAAAACTATTTGTGTGAAGTAAGACCCATTGATTGCACTGTGACTTGCTTCTGACTAAGTATGGTAATAGTATTTGTGGTTGTGCTTCTAGCTGGTAGGGTGACGTCTTTCTAGATTATTAAAAAACCTGATATTTGTCTATCTGAGCTATTCTTGGTACAATACGACAAAGGCTTTTGCATGTCTTTGTCCCAACTCAACTGTAGAGTGAATGCGGCGTGTTCCCAGTGGAATCAGAAGCAAATGAAAGCCTTTATTAAGCCTTTATTAAGACATAACAAATAAAATGGCAACTGAGAGATGCCCGTATTGAAATATCTCTAGTTTTTTTTTTAAATAAAACCCTTTATTTGAAAAGCCTACATTGAACCACAATAAAACATACAAGCTGCAGTACACGATCACAGCATAATCCTGAGAATAAGTCTCAGTGAACTCAGTATTACAGGATTGCACTATATATTGGGCACCCAGCCATAAGAAATGTCTTCCTAAATGTGCCAAAGAGAAGGTTATTTGTGGAAACACCTAACATTCTGAAAATATACATAGTACTATATGTAAAAAGAGAGAGAGAGAATTGTGTTCTCTGTTTAGGAGTGCACGGATTAAGCTTGTATAATAGCCACAAACCTTTCCACTGTTCTGTCTTCACTTCAGAGTACACCTAATAGCGAAATGATGACTGAAATCCCACCTGTTCTTTATGTCACTGATGTCGTAATGCACTTTCCCCCCCCTTAGGGAGGGCAGAGATCAAGGGCTCTATAGCAGCGCTGTGCATCGAGCGGAAAACAGGCGAATGTATTTGTCAAACGACGATGTGTTTAGTGGAGAGCAAATTCCTTCAAGGCCTTCAAAAGAGCACCTTGTTGAAAACGATGCTGCCGGCTCCTTGAAGAATGAGGAAAACAGTCAAGAGAGCAATAAGGGAACGGAGAGCTATGCAAGAATCGAATCTCAAGCTCCACCTAAGAGTGTAGCAGAAGAAAAGCACCAGCCCCCTTTGTCAACATATCATTCAGTAAATGCACCAATTGGGTCAGCTCGGGTTTCAGCTTCTCTCCCAAGAAGTTACCAGAAAACCGATACGGCCAGACTAACGTCTGTGGTTACACCTAGGCCCTTTGGTGTCCATTCAAGAGGAATCTCATCACTTCCTAGGTCATTTACGGTAAAAAAAAAAAATCATCTTCCTAATGTCTCTGTGGGTAACTCTTCTGAATAAACTCAAAGGAGCTTTCACTCCCCCCCCCCACCATGTAGAAATGATTAAAAATGTGTTGCAGTAACAATGAGTTACTCAAATATATAAAAGGATGTCACATAGCGGAGGGAGAAAGGTTGTTTTCTGCTGCTCCAGAGAAGCGGACACGGAGCAATGGATCCAAACTACAAGAAAGAAGATTCCACCTAAACATTAGGAAGAACTTCCTGACAGTAAGAGCTGTTCGACAGTGGAATTTGCTGCCAAGGAGTGTGGTAGAGTCTCCTTCTTTGGGGGTCTTTAAGCAGAGGCTTGACAACCATATGTCAGGAGTGCTCTGATGGTGTTTCCTGCTTGGCAGGGGGTTGGACTCGATGGCCCTTGTGGTCTCTTCCAACTCTATGATTCTATGAGTAGTTACTTGGTCTAGTGCCTAAAACATATAGACAGATGTTTCTATATAAACTAATATTTTGGGGGAAATGATATTAAATTGTTTTACCTCATAGAGACTTGCAACAGACAATGAAGTTGCTGCTAAAGGAGAACAGAGCAATAAATGCATTTTGTGCCGCTTCTTTTCAGTGGATCTGTGTCTCTGTTACGTCAGGCTACCCCAACTCATGATTTTAAAGGGTTTAATTTAATTACCTTTATATACTGCAGCACAGGCAGTTTATTCCTTGAATATTTTACTCTGACCAAAGCTATAGAATTTTTACTTTTTGAAATCTACTTGATGATGCCAGTCAGTAGCGAGCAGAGGGCCTGAGAGAACATGAGGAAGAAGGCAAACATTTAGGGTGACATGTTGAAACCAATTGTAAATAATAATCTTTTTTTTTATAAAAAAAACACAACAACCACCAACTACTGCCTCCTTTCCTAGATGGATGACGCCCCAAAATATAATGGAGAAGTAGATGTGTCCAAGAGAACTCAGTATGCATTCACCAGCAGTTCACTTTCTAAGCCAGAAGCTGGACAAAGCCAATCTATAAGTGACCTAAGAAGTGCTGAGGACAAGGCTTGGACAAGATACTCATCTGCTGAGGACAAGACAAAGACAAGACAATCGCCTACAGAGAATGCTGCCATTGCGAGCGAAGGTGCAGATGTTAATCACTTGGGCCCTAAATCAGAGCATCATACTACCCATGACTCAGTTGCAGCTGGGTCTTCAGCAGCAGAACAAACAAGCCATCCAGAGACTGAGGTTTCAAGAGCACAAGTGAGTATGGAGAGATGCTAGCATTTACACATTGTAATGCTTTGTTGGCTGTTGTTGGTGTGCTAGGAGCAGTGGGCACAGGAGGATATGCATGGTCTCTGTCCAAGGTGAACTGTAATTTTACATTTGGCAGGTGAGACTCGGATAGGAGGAAGTTCTTTCAGATACAGAATGGAAAACAAGGCAGCAGTATTGGCTAGGGCCGTTCAAGAGAGATTTAGCCTGATGAGTAGAGTTATTTAGATTCAACACACACACAATGCATGCTAGTAAATTTACCTGCTAGTAAATCCCTTCCAGAAAAGTTAGAATAGTGGCTTGGGGGAGTAGGGCCATGTCAATAGTTTCCATGAGGATTTTGGATTTTTGCAGGTGTAGAAATAATTTCTAGAAGTAGTATGGCAGCAAATTAAAGATAATGGTCCATATTTTCTAAATTAAGGAACTCATCTGTTGGTGGTTAATCTTTGATCCTTGTGTTAAATTTGCAGCTGGTTTAGTTGTGCTTTTTAGTGGTGTTTGTACTGTTTTCATAAGTCACTTGCAAGATACAAGGCAGGAAAGTCAAGCTGCAAGTGTTTCAACTGAACCTGCACAAAAAAGATTGAGGTGGCATTAGCAAGGCAGCATAATGAAATTCTTAGGGCAAATAATAGATAAACAATAACTGAAACTGCTGTGTTTGGGTTGAAGCCTGAATTACTGAAGGCAACAGTAGGTTCATTCATCTTCCGAAGACACTTTGTGTTTCTTATTGATGTCCTGACGGATGTGGGCCTGAAATTAGTTTCCAGTTTGTAATATAAACATGCAATTGTTGGGTGGCTTGTTCTGCTAGTTCTGCATTCACAATTATTTGCAACACTTTAACCAGGTGTTGCGGATTATCTGACTTTTCCCCTGCAGTCAGTTTAATAATATAGTACATTTCCATCCTGGAAGGGCAAATGTCTTAAGAAGGGATTAGCTTTGAACATTTGTTTATAAACTTGCTAAGTATTGTTCACCTTCCATTTTTATTTTTCTCCATCTTGTTCTTGCTACTCCCAGCTCATGAACTGTTCAGCTAAACTATGAAGTGAATCTCCTTCCATCATTCTTTTTTCAAACTGTTTCTGCAAATGCTGACATCTTGATCCGCAGACTAAATAAGCACATGTGCATGGGAGAAGATGTCTGAGCTTGTGTGCTGTTTGATGGTGTCTTCCTAGCTGTTCCCATTGGTAAAAGAAAACTGAACAGCTGTAGGGTTACCATATTTCAAAAAGTAAAAACCAGGACACCCCAAATTTTTTGTAGATAAACTTGAGCTTCTTGTACAAGAAGGCCAAAAAGCCCACACTTTTTCGATTGACTTGCCTAAGATCCACGACAGAGGCCACCTTTCAGAAATTCCCCTAGATGTCAATTCCACCTTTGAAATCCCGGTAATGTCCGGGGAAATCTGGACGTATGGCAGCCCAAACACCAGAATGTCTCTTCATTAATGGCAAATGCTATAGCACAAACATCACTTGGCTGTATAATTCTTCTGAGCTTGAACTTGCCCCACTGCTATGGGTTTGCAGTCTCGCAAGATACGAAAGTGATTTAATTCCAGCTTCAGAAACTAGAGCTTTTTTAATGATACTGACAGAAGCTGTTGTGTCCCCATCATTCCTCACTTAGAAATGTAAAATTAGTGTCAGCAGCCAGAACTTTGGTACCCTTGTATCATGCAACATTTAATGACTATCCACTTAGTGAGTAGCATTCCTTACTTTCCTTATAAGTATTATTATCTTAGAGCAAGGAAATGTTAATTAGACCCTGGGACGTTGATCCATGAGGCAACTTTCCCAGACAGTTGTCTAATCCCTAGGTGTGGCTTTTTTAAAAAGTTTTTTCATTTCAACCCATATCTTAAAACAAATCTTAATGCAACCCTTTTCTAACTTTTCTAACATTTTTTCTTACAATTGATTGTCATTTGGGAAGCCAAATAATAGGTTTCCAAATCAGCGTAATTCATTTTGCAATTCTAAGCATCTGAAATATGTATCCCAACTAGTACAATGAATGCAGGTATAATGAAAGGGGAGAAGCACTGACAACAGAGAGTAGTGTCTTGAGTGATGCATATCCTGGTGATTCAGATCACATCCACACTATGCATTTAAAGAATCATGGGAACTGTAGTTCATTAAGAGTGCTGGGAATTGCAGCTCTGGGATGGGTGAACTACAGGTCTCAGGATTCTTTGTAGGAAGCCATGTGCTTTAAATGTTTGGTGTGGATGTGACCTCAAAGATGGGGAAGCCTAGCCTCTGTGCATTTCCCTTTTCCCTTTACCCCACATATTTAGTACAGCCTCATTGGGTCAGACAAAAGATCTCTCTGAGCCAACATCCTGTTCCCCACAGTGACCAGCTAGATGCCTCTGGGAAGGTCATGTGAAGGCAACAGCCCTCTCCTTTTGTTCCGAACAAACATTTATTCCCAGTCAACTTATTCTGAAAGTTGCAAGGAGATTGTTGATTGCCTATTTAGCTGCTGAAATGCAGGTACGGTTTGAATAAAAGGCAATAATTCTTTTGTACTTGAGCCTCTGGGAAGCAGAAATTTGAGCCTGGGTGCAATTCAATGCACTAAATAATACCCCAAGACTAGAATTGTTTCTGCTGCTTAGACAAAGATAGCACACATTGATTGGGGGAGCTTGCATTTAAATGCGTTCAGTGAGATTTAGAAATCAGACTACACTTTATGGCAAGGGTTTACTCTTACCTTAAATGTTTCCACTTGATTATATTTATCTTCTCCCAACCTGTAACATCAACACCCTTTCCCCTTAAGGTAGAGGAAGGTGTTGCTGGACTCCCACCATCCCTGGCCATCGGCCACGCTAGCTGGGAATGATGTCAGTGGTAGTCCGACAACATCTGGAGGGCTGCAGGCACCCCATCCCTGCCTTAAGGCTTTTCCATTCAGGCTTGCTCTCTGTTGGCTGTGAATATGTTTATCCATTTCATCATTGCCATTGTGCTTTAATGCCACCTTTAGGATAGGCCAGGAAAGGAATTTGTGTAAATAAGTGGGTGGGTTACCTTTTGCAGCCCAAGGGCCACATTGCCTCATGGGCAGCCTTCTGGGGTCCACATGCCTGTAGTGGATATGCAGCCAGCCAGAGGCAAAAGCATCAGGTGTTGCTTTTCCATTTCGTACAGTAAGGGTACATTGCAGCCACAGAAAAGTCTCAGGTTTGTACAAGACTGTCTTGCCAGAGTGGTGCATGCTCTAGTTATCTCCCGCTTGGACTACTAGCAATGCGCTCTACGTGGGGCTACCTTTGAAGGAGACTCGGAAACTGCAGTTAATCCAAAATGCGGCAGCTAGACTGATGACTGGGAGTGGATGCCGAGACCATATAACATCGGTCCTGAAAGATCTTCATTGACTCCCAGTATGTTTCCGAGCACAATTCAAAGTGTTGGTGCTGACCTTTAAAGCCTTAAATGGCCTCAGTCCTGTATACCTGAAGGAGCATCTCCATCACCATCATCCAGCCCGGACACTGAGGTGTCATTCATAGGAACATAAGAGGAGCTTGCTTGGTCATCCCAGTTGCTTATCTTGTCCAGCAACATGTTCGGCCCAGGATACCTGAAGGAGCGTCTCCACCCCCATCGTTCAGCCCGGAAACTGGGGTCCATTTCTGAGGGCCTTCTGGCGGTTCCCTTGCTGCAAGAAGTGAGGTTACAGGGAACCAGGCAGAGGGCCTTCTCGGTAGTCGTGCCTGCCCTGTGGAACGCCCTCCCAGCAGATGTCAAGGCAATAAACAACTATTTTACTTTTAAAAGACAACTGAAGGCGGCCCTGTTTAGGGAAGTTTTTAATGTCTAACACTCTATTGTTTTTAATATTCGGTTGGAAGCCACCCAGAGTTGTTGGGGAAACCCAGCCAGATGGGTGGGGTATAAATGTTTGTTTGTTTGGCCAAAGTTGTTGAGCTTTTGTGGGGGGGAATTTGCGCCCCCCCCATCAACACTTCCGATATGGGCTGCCATACTCTCGGATTTTCCCAGACATTTTAAACCAATTTATTCCTTGACAGTGCTTTCAGCTTTGAATCCTCCAGTCTTTGGGGGAGAGGTGTGCTAATGTTTTGATATTTCTGTAATAGTTGGGGTGTATTGAACCACACATATTCCCAAAAGAGAATAGGACTACCAGTAGCTACTATCTACTGTGACTATGTTCTACCTCCACTGTTGGAGACCAGTACCAGTTGCTAGGAAGAACCCCAGGTGGCGAGGGTGCTATGGCACTCAGGTTCTGCTTATGGGTTTCCTATACGGATCAGGTTAGTCGCTGTAAGAAGATGATACTGGACTAGATAGGGCTTCCGGCCTGATCTGGCAAGCTCTTCTTCTGTTCAAATTTAGGCCTCTTGTTGTTGTTTAGTCGTTTAGTCATGTCTGACTCTTTGTGACCCCATGGACCAGAGCATGCCAGGCACTCCTGTCTTCCACGGCCTCCCGCAGTTTGGTCAAACTCATGCTGGTAGCTTCGAGAACACTGTCCAACCATCTTGTCCTCTGTCGTCCCCTTCTCCTTGTGTCCTCCATCCTTCCCAACATCAGGGTCTTTTCCAGGGAGTCTTCTCTTCTCATGAGGTGGCCAAAGTATTGGAGCCTCAGCTTCACGATCTGTCCTTCCAGTGAGCACTCAGGGCTGATTTCCTTAAGAATGGATAGGTTTGATCTTCTTGCAGTCCATGGGACTCTCAAGAGTCTCCTCCAGCACCAGAATTCAAAAGCATTGATTCTTGGGCGATCAGCCTTCTTTATGGTCCAGCTCTCACTTCCATACATCACTACTGGGAAAACCATGGCTTTAACTATACGGACCTTTGTTGGCAAGGTGATGTCTCTGCTTTTTAAGATGCTGTCTTTAGGCCTCTAGATCATGTTGATACCTGTCTGACTTGGTGAAGTAGGTTGGTTGGTTGGTTGTGGCGTATGTGTGTGTTGGTTTTTGTATCGTGAAAATGCAGCTTATCTTCAAATACAAAACATATTCATGGCTACCAAAGGAGCTTCTGTCAACACATGGATTATTGAGACATATGAATGGGGGACTCTCACCACCAAATGTACCTGGAGCAATTTTAATCTTGAGTTAGACTTCATTTGCTGAATGCAAGAGGCAGAAGTAAAAACGTAGTTGTTTGAGCAATTGAACTGCCTGTCATCACTGGTATGCGTATCAAAGGGTTACTTTCTGTCCGCTGAAGCACCTCTTAATAGGTCTTATCAGCAAGGCCCAAGTATTTATAGGAATGCAACATTTAAAATTAGTTGCCAAAGTAAAGCACTAGCTAGCCTTCTTTAGTGCAGAGGACACTTCTGTCTGCTTGATAGATAATTTAAAAGCCCAGAGCACACATTGTAAGTTGCCTCACCTATTTAATGGATAGACTTTCCTCCATGTAGGAGCCTGTGACACCAGATACTGCAGTATCATGTTCTATTTAATTTTTTTTTTCAGGACCAGTACAGTGATATGAGAATCAGTATAAACCAGAGACCAGGTAGCAGTCGGAGTTTTGGGTTTGCAGTGCACCAGGATCCTTCTGGAGTCTTCGTGAAGTCAATAGAAGAAGGTAAAAATTCCCATGTAAAACTCTTAATGTGCTTGCCTTGAGAAAGTTAATTGGAAGGCAAGCAATTGATCTAACTTGATCTGAAGAATTCAGGTTGCAAATTTGGGTGGCAAGGCTGCTGGAAAAAGAAATAACTGTTGGGAATGGTAGAGAGAGAATGCTCTAAGATTAATTTGTGTTCTTCTTATTTGCATGTGTGATTGATTATGCTGTCAGCTGTAGCTCTCCAGTAGCAGCCAGGAAAATAATGTCGTCGTCCCCCCCAAAAAAAGTCTTTAGGTCTATATTGCACCGCATTAATTTTCTCATATAGATGTGTTGCAATTTTTAAAATAATTTGCATGCAAGGAATAAGGTAAGATTTGTCTTTTGTCTTTTATGTAGTTAAACTTATTGACAATACTGTCAATAAATTCTTAGTTGTCTTTGAATAAAATAATGATGGTTATTTTTTAAAAATAAATAAATTTTATTTCCTTTTGTGATAAAAACAAAACAATGTATGACATCATAACATATAAGTAACAAATCATGATGATCATTTATAGTATTAAAAGAAAATAAGCAAGCTTTAGCTGAGCTGGAATTTTAAATTTATCAACTTTTCATATTCAAGTAACACCTTCCAATACTTCAGAGGAAATAAATGATGTCTCTTATATCAGCTCTTTGACTTGCATGACATTTTTGTGAAGAAATTATATCACTTTTTCGGCAGTATTGATTTTACTTTGTTGTAAAGCGTCATTAATTTACAAAACTTTGTTTCCCCCCCTACTCTTAAAACAACAAAAAAGGATTATTTCCCTAATAGAAGCTGTAGCTTGTCTTTCTGGCCTCCCAAAAGGAATTCATTAGAGCTCTTCAACAATGAAGCAAGCCATAGCAGAAGGAGCAGTAAAGGTTTTTCTGTAATTTACTAAGCAGTGAGATTAAGATTTTAATAATTAAAGAAGCTCAGAGTCTGACCTACAACAAGTCTGAGACAACTCCTGAATCCGTGAAACTTAGCACAGGCAAAGTTGATTGTGGTGCTTTCGGTACAAGTAGAGGCCATGAAGTTATAGATTCAGGCGACAATCTTAACGCATGCAGCTGTCACCCTCTTGTCACCCTCCAAGTCAGGCTGTTGGTTCGTTTGCCCACTGCTGTGGGCACATATTGATAGCTGCTCTTCTAGGCCTAAAGCAGAATAATTTTTATTATTTATCTTTTAAAAGTCCAGTCCCTCTAAGAAAACTCAGAGTGGCACAAACAGTAATAAAAGCAGACAGAATTGCCAAAGCACCACAATTTACATTCAGATGAATGAATAAACGGCATCCACCCTGTTTAACAAATTCCAGCAACAAACTGAGCTGGCCAAATTGCACCATTAATCATAGAATCAAAGAACTGTAGAGTTGGAAGGGACCCCAAGGTTCATCTATCCCAACCCCAAGCAGTGTAGGAATCTCAGCTAGATCATACATGGCCAATGCCCATCCAGATTCTGCTCTCAAAAACCTATCAAAATTTTGCTATCAGAATCGAAAACCTTTTTTAAAAGACCATTCTTTGCCAGCCTCCTGAAAAGCAGTATAGCAACAGTCATTCATTGGAGTAGAAGCCACATCAGGAAATATCTCAACCTATAAAACCCTGAATGGCCGGTGCCTTGAATACAGCCCAGAAGCTAATGACCTCTCTCAGCAGCTTCATGAATATATTAAGAAGCATGGAGAAAACGATAGATCCTTACAGAATGCTAGATGGCACAGGCCGTGGGGAAGAGCTTTCAACTTGACCCAGTAACAAATTGACAACCTGTGCAGATCTCTAAGCTCAGGTGTTATATGCTGACAAGGTCTCACTTCTGTCAGCTTTTGCGTTGCTGCATTCTATGCTAACAGCAGCTTCTGTATCAAGCGCAAGGGAAGCCCCACATAGTGTGCATTGCAGTAGCCCAGTCTCGAAGTAACCATATTAGACAATGAACTATAGCTACTCAGCTTCAAGGTGGTCCAAAGATAGTTTGCTAAACAGAAGTCGTATCACTGCCTCTTTATGGCCAAAGGGAGGCATTCTATAGTGTCCTTTGCTCAACAGAAGCTGAGACAGTTGATTTATCATACAGGATAAGCAATAATCAAGATAATGGGCCATTGAATCCACCCCATCCCCGAGATTTTGCCTACCTCCTCACAGCCAATCAGCTGAAAGGTATCCAATTAAACAGGACAAACAGACTCTCTAATCCAAAATTCCTCCGGACTCCTGCGAAGTTCAAGTCGGAGCTGATCTAAGTAATTTTATCTGCAAAGTGCTTTGCAAATAGGTCACAATAGGGTTCCATGACCTCATGTAACGTCTGCTTGCCATGATGTAAAAGGTCCTTCACAACATGGAATGGCTCTGCTGGATAGCACTGAGCAGAGAAGCCTTTCGCAGAACTGTTGTCTGAGACCTTATTAGTTGAAGATGCTGGGTGTTGCATCTGGAACTTTCTGCATTAAAACCTGAAATGTGCTTTAGAGCCATCGTGGCATTAATTCGGGCAGGAGAACCCTGGATTCGGGTCTCCATTCTGGCAAAGTTGGTCTGGCAAGTTCATTGTCAATGTTGCAGATGAGTTAGAACAGGGATGTCCAAAAGGTAGACTGTGGTAGATCTCAGGACCCTCCCACCACCTAAAAAAAGCTCAACAACACTGATGATTTTGGTAGATCACTGCCAGTTTTTTTTTTTTAATAGTGGGAGTAGATCCCAGTTTCTTGAAAGTTGGACATGCCTGAGTAACATCACATGTCAGCCCCTTGGGGGAAAAGATGGGAAGCAGGTGTGGGGTTGGTGATAGAAAAGGTTATTAAAATTTCACCACGGTTGGCATCCATCTGTCTTGGGAGACAATGGAGGAGTGCGCCTTTAAGGGTGCCTGTTAAAAAAAAATCTCATTTCATAACTTGGAACTGATATTGGCAAGTGCTCCTGATCTTGGGTGGGAAAGTGCTCTGAAGTGTTCACACTTCTCTGCTGTGCTTACCAACATGGTTGAAAACCAGTGTAAACAGAGGAAATATGAGTGTGTTTTTAAAATGTTCACAGAGGCGACATAGATAACAAGTTGCAAAACAGCAGTGATTCTCTGGCGGGTCTGATAGGGTGGCATATTAGATTTATGGAGGATCATTTGTTGCTTTTGCCTTTTTAGCATTTTTTTTTTTTAATGTAGGAGAGGAAGAGATCCTTGTTCACAATTTGCAAAACCAAGAAACTGCCACACCACCTTAACTGCTTGGCTTTGTATTCACAACAAACCTTTACGCCTATAAAAATACCAAACTATTCTAGTCATGTCAATTAACTATCAATAAAGGCTGTATAATGCCGAGTCATTATGATTATTTGTACCTCTTATGTCTCTGAATTAATCCACACTTTTAACGCCATGGTACACCTGTAGAACCACGTCTAGGCGCCTTCATCTGCCCCCAGCTGCAACAAAACATGTCTCTTCTATACCAGTATCTACAGCCACAGCAGGCCCTGTAACTCTCCAATGGTTTGACTTCACCCCCAAAGGTGCACTCCAACAATTATTTGCATAGAAGTAGTTCTTAGGCGGGACGCGGGTGGCGCTGTGGTCTAAACCACAGAGCCTAGGGCTTGCTGATTAGAAGGTCAGCAGTTTGAATCCCCACAATGGTGTGAGCTCCCGTTGCTTGATCCCTGCTCCTGCCAACCTAGCAGTTCGAAAGCACGTCCAAGTGCAAGGAGATAAATAGGTACCGCTCCGGCAGGAAGGTAAACGGCATTTCCGTGCACTGCTCTGATTCGCCAGAAGCAGCTTAGTCATGTCTTAGGCACAAGAAAAGACATGTTGTATGTTAAATATGAATGACAAGTCCTGGTAGTTATTCAGTGGCTTCTAAAAAAATCCCGCCCCCCCGTTGTCTTTCCAAGGCAGCGCAGCACTCGCAGCAGCTCTCACAAAGATAAAACATACAAAAAATAAGTCTAAAAACTAACATAAAAAATTAGAGTGAGTGCCTTTTTAATTTAGCTGCCCCATGTTTCTGACATTACAAGTTAGCTCTCATCTTTCCATCACCACCAGGTAGCCCAGCAGACTTTTGCCAGTTGAATGTTGAGGATGAAATCCTTACTCTCAATGGCACAAAGGTTTCAGGTATGGACCAGAGTCAGTGGGAAGCAGCCATCGGCAGCTCACTAGAAACCGGAAACCTTGTCATGGATGTTAGGCGATACGGCAAGAAGGGTGAGCTTTTCCTTGGGGTGACTTCTGCGTGACCTGAAAGGTGTCTGTTCTTTGCCTGCGAACTTGTTGGGAATGGATGAGTCCTTTATTTCTGCAGCCTTCTGCAGCAACAGCTTTTTCCTGGCAGCACCTGCTTATTGTAAATACAGCTCCTGCTGCTGTTAATTTTGGGTTGTTGTTTTTTGCATATGTTAAAGCTGTGTAAATCTGCATTAGCAAGTCTACTTTTCTTAAACTTTTTTCAAGGAGAAATATATTTACATAGGTTTCTTGTTCCCCCAGCCTTCAGAAATACTGATTTTCCTGACCTTGTCAGAGAGATGCAGAAAGAATCCAGCACTTTTATTATTAGTTCTGTGGTTCTGTTTCCTGGAAGAGCATCCATGTGATCTATTCCCCACACCAAACCCTTGCAATTAGGTCCTTTCTCTGTCCAGATAGTCTAGCACTGTAGTGTATATCTGTATTTGAAGAATAAAAGTTAGTAAACTTGCTATTGTTCATTGTGCTTGCCTTTGACTAATGCTTGCTTTTTGGGGAAGGCGGTCTGTTCATAAAAAGCCCTAACCAATTTCCACACATACAAATTCCAATTCACTTTCTACTTCATCTGTCCCTCCTGTCTTTTTTGTGTGTGTTTTGGTTTTGATGTATTTTCATTAAGTCTTTTTCTTTATGCTTTGACATCTTCCCTGTCTACTTTTCAATTTTTTGATCTCCACATGCCAATCAGACTGGGGCAAAGACCAGCCTTCCCTGCCATATGCAAGGCACAAAATCCTCAATCTCACCAGTATGGCTACCAACATTATAGGTACACCTGAGAACAAATGGATTGATGCGACATCTGTGGACAGCACTTCAGCCAAAAGTCAAAGCATATCAGCACAAAAAGACTTGCACAACAATTTTCAAAATGATGTAAGTATGCCTATGTTTGAATTTGGGAAGAGGTTCTGCATTTCTTCTCTCAGCAACATTAAACAGTGCCTAGAAAGTACTCAAGGGACGCGGGTGGTGCTGTGGGTTAAACCACAGAGCCTAGGACTTGCCGATCAGAAGGTCAGTGGTTCGAATCCCTGCGATGGGGTGAGCTCCCGTTGCTCGGTCCCTGCTCCTACCAACCTAGCAGTTCGCAAGCACGTCAAAGTCCAAGTAGATAAATAGGTACCGCTCCGGCAGGAAGGTAAACGGTGTTTCCGTGCACTGCTCTGGTTTGCCAGAAGCGGCTTAGTCATGCTGGCCACAGGACCTGGAAGCTGTACGCCGGCTCCCTCAGCCAGTAAAGCGAGATGAGCGCCGCAACCCCAGAGTCGGCCACAACTGGACCTAATGGTCAGGGGTCCCTTTACCTTTACCTTTTAGAAAGTACTCACTTAATGAAAGTTAAACGTCTCCAAGGTTCAATTAATGAAGAAATGTTGTCTTGGCCTGTTGACCAGAAGTCCAGGTCCTATTGTTAGCTAGGTGGTGATGCAGGCCAGCAACTTTTTGTGCCAGGACATGTGAAAGTGATGTGGCCAGATACTTCTGCTGCATGTTCTGGCAGCGTAATTCAGTCGTTCTATTGCGCTATGAGAGAAGTGCTAGCACACTGCAGGAAACTTTTTTTCCTTACTGGAGTTTTCTGTGAACCCAACGTAAATACCCATAGAGGCATCTGCTCACTGCTGTCATGTAATTTCTCTGTTCTGGCCTTGCTTTCTTCCCATCCAGGTAGGTAATTTTTCCCTACTGCATCTCTTGCACTGCATTGGGTAGGATAGGCAATAATTTTATTTATCTATAAACCTTCACAGAACAGATATCCAAAAAAAGCCCACCACCAAAAAACCAAAAACAATTCACAGTTGAACCACAAATTTAGCTCTCAATTTCCTGGTTGTCCATTCATTCATTGGATCATTCATCTCCCCCTAGTGCAACAACAAAGCAAATTACTAGCCAGTTATTTGCAACAAAGCAAATCAATGTGCGTGCCAGTTACCATCTTGCATGTTCAGTATTAAATCGGAAAACTTAACTTAGCTGCCAGAAGTATGAGAAACATTTGCATAACCCTTTCCTTCTTGAAGATGGAGGAACAAGTTTCACGAAATCTCTTCTCTTGATTTTCTAAGCATCAGAAGCCCATAATGGTACATGAACTGATTGCTAGATCTTTTAGATTTTAAATCCAGTAATAGATTATTAGATGAATGATTGTTCATTCTACATCATTTATTGAATATGCATAAAAATAAAGTTCTTTAGGGGTAGGATCAAAAATATCTATTTTAGCTTTACAGGTTGTATGGCTTACCAGGAGTGTCAAAAGCAGTTGTAGTTATTTTGTGGGGGTGGGGGATGAAGGTAAGAGTCATGGAATTATTTCAGTATGTTAATTTTTCTGGTTTCAGGATTCAGAAACAAAGATCAATGGAATGCAAGGAGATGTAAATTCCAATGAGAAAAAAGGTAAAACCACCAGAACTTTCCAATTGCTAGCCGTAGGCAGTGGTTGGGATTGAAGGGGAAAATGTATACCTAGTGGATATGGTGTACTGGGGAGTTGTGTACAGTTGAAATATAAGAACTTCCAATTTTCTTAGGTGGCTCATAAATATAATTGCATGCAGAAGACAAATTGGGTTCTCTTCCGGAAGTGTTGTGCACATATAAAGAACTGCTAACAAGATGGCATCTAGTTCCTTTATTTCTGCATCACTGACAATATGAGTGTGTGTAGTAAGAATGAAAGAAGAGAGGGGGGAAGGCAGAAATAATTTTAAACAGTACTGGCGTTGAGGTCCTAGCAAGTTCATGGGATTACCTGCCTTTCACTGTCACGTCAATCCGAGCTTTGGTGTGTGTGTGTGTGTGTGTGTGTGTGTGCATGTGTGCTTAGAGGGAGATACTCTGTAAAATGCTTTTTGAAAGAAAAAAGAAAAGTCTATTCAATGTGTAAAAAATTGTATGGTGAAAACTTATGTGTGCCTAGTAAGACTTGGAGTTAGTGTATGTTTTTTGAAAGTTTAGACTTTTGAGGAAGGCAAAGGAAGAGAAAACCTATCCTGTAATATAAAACTAGAAAGCATTTCAGCCCAAGAGCTTAGTTTCCCTTGCAGTTTCCATTTATTTCAGTGGTGTGTTGATGGCAACAGCTTTGTGTGCCTATGCCAGCCTTTCTCAAACTTGGATCCCCATATATTGTTGGACTACAAATCCCATCATCCTCATTGGTCCTGGTGGATAAGGAAGATGGGAGTTGTGGTCCAGCAATATCTGGGAGCCCGAGTTTCTCAAGTCTGGCCTATACCCATGCAGTTAGATTAAGAATGCATTTTTATAACTCCGGCCTGCAGCACATAGACATTGAAGTGAACTCTCCACTGGCAAGAAGACACCACATTTGCTGATCTAAGGACACCTGATGCTTGTCATGAGCTCAGTGCACTTACTTAAGATTTGTTTTGTTTGTTAGTTATATTTAGGCTGATGTGAGCTTTCTAAAAAGGCAAGCAGAATAGAAGTAGGATGTACAAAATGATAAATAACTAAAGAATTGAACGAAACGTTTGTCTGAGCAAGAAGCCCATCCAGACCCTACAGGACAACATTTAATGATATTACTACATGTATTATCTCACCCTTCATCCAAGGAGTTCAGGGCACCGATGTGGAAGTATATTACAGCAACCCTGTAAAGTTGTTCAGGCCAAGAGATAATGACTTATCCCAGGCCACCCAATGAAACGAACGGAGATCAATGTCCAGGTTTTCTGGTTGTTCATTTCCCAGCAATCTCGTTTACTGTCCTAGCTCTGCCTCTGCTGAAATTTTGAACACTGAAAGATGATGTATAGAGTAGGAGCACTGTACTTTGGTAAACACATTCCTGTGACATAGGCTACTATGCTGGCAAGATGTTTGTTTCAATGCAGCTTAAGTTGGATGCTCTGAATAGTGTTTATCCATTGGACAGATATTAAATAAAGCCAAACCACACCACACTGACTTGTTTTGTATCTTCATATTTTTTTCAAATAGACACAGAACCCATTTCTTTGAAAAACTTAAAAAGGCGATCACAGTTTTTTGAACAAGGTAAAAAACAACAACCCCAAAAGCTAACATTTCATGTACTTTCATGAAATTGTTCCCCAATGTACATTCTTCTTAACAAGTCTCTGGTGTTGGGTTCTACGTTTCTTTAGTCATTGATTGTTACCGTCATGCCAAACTAGCTTAATCTGTTTCCATTCTTTCCTTAGGGTCATCAGGTTTTTCTTACAATTCATGGGTCTACCTTTGTGGTAATGGGCTTTGTGTGTTCCTCTGTATCTCAAACCTTTTACACTTCTGATATTTGTTCAAACGCTCTTCTCACTGGGGAGCAGTGTGAAGTACAGAAACCTTTGTTCGGATTTGCAGCTTTCCTACAAAATGCCATTACGCTGAGCAAAGCAGCAGACATGCTACAATAAATTCCCAACTCGAGAAATGCAGTCAAATTTAAATGTATTCATAATACGATTTAGATTTATTAAAAATTGGCAGATTAGTATGCAGTAGCTAATTACAAAATGCCTGTTCCATAACCATGAGCAAATCTTATGGCTCCAAAATACTTTGGAAAAGGGTTTTAAGAATCCAAATGACAGTGTCTCGGCTGTGAATGGTTTGTCACAATTCTCTAAGGCTTCTCCTAGTGTGCTTTGCATGTTGCATCTCACCTCCTTCATTTACACTTCAGTAATTTGCTCGTACCTGTTTCAGTATTTTTGTGCACATGGAATGTGTTGAAGTGATTAAGGCACTTCACATTTATTATAACATTAAGTATCACAAAAGTTCTGTTTTCCCTTGAATATATATGTCCCTTTGATAAGTACAAAATATTAAAATGCTTCTCTTTGACTCTGTTTGGATGGTTTGTCCTAGTGATATACTGCTGAGTGAATTACAGTACATCCTGTGCTTATGGGGTTAGCGCAGGTATCTGCAATGTCTCAGCATAGCTGTCAAGCATCCTTTATTGTGACGGCATATTCCTCTATAAGTTCTTTTCAAAGCCAACGGAGGGGAGAATGGGAGGCCTTGGCCTGCTTGTACATTTCAATCCCCCAGCCTCTCTGGCTGTGCAGGTAGGGCTTTTCCGAACATGGAATGCGCTTCACAATACAGACTGCTGGACAGGTATGGAACATGGTCTTATTATCTTCACTGGTTTCCTTAGAATTTTCCACTTCATCTTTTTATCGCATGTTTGTCATCTGATGTGAGAGTCCGCTCATCTTCGGTCAGGGTGGAGCTGTTGCAAAGAGACTTTATTGTCACTAATAAGTAAAAATACGTATCTTCCCTCGATAACAAATACTGCTGAGAGTGCCCATGTGTTGCAGATGGGAAATGATTGTTAAACGTTTCCTATACAGTAGACCAGAAGAGATAACAACCTCTACACAATTATTTGCAGTCTGCCACCATAATCCCAATACTTTATTTTGTGTATATATAAAGTATTAAAGTAACTTCCAGAGAATTGCAACACTAGTAGTAATATATATATATTACTGCTAGTCTTGCAATTCTCTGGAAGTTTTGCAGTTTCCCAGCATACAGTTCGAGTGCAGGAGCACTTAACCAATCCTACTGATTTTGTATTTGACCTCTGTTGTGCGTGTTTTTATTATTTTTATATATGCTGCCCTAAGAGCATTATGCTGAGTGATTAATATATCTAGTAAATTTTTAAAAAATCTATCAGACAAAGCAAAAAGCACAACTTGACCCATCTGTTGTATGTGGTTGGTTTTGGCATTGCAAAAATGGGTGCTAAGGAGAATCACATAGAAGTTAAACTGTGGTTGGGATGAAAGTGAATTATACACCAATGTAATGTCTTTGGTAAGCAAGATAAAAATGTATGTGCAGCTGTTTCTTTAAAAACAACAAAAAGGGAGCCATTCCTATTGATGGCCCTAGACCTTCAGAAAAGTAAATGAGTAGTAACTTTCAAATAATATGTTGTTTAATTGTATACTGTGTTAGGAGAAGTGGGTTTTTCCCCCCCAGTGCATTCTTTACTTTGTGATGAGCTTTTGCTTATCTCTAAATTGAAAAGTGGCTTTGTGGTTCTAGCCAGGTTTTTAAAAGAAGATTCTTTAGCAAACTTTGTGGTATTGCTAAAGTTGAGATGAATTCTTTTAAGACTAAAGCAATATTAAGTAATATTATTGCATATTTACAGCTATCTATGCGGTGCCTACAAATTTGTATATATCCATTAAGTTGATATTTCCATTGTGCATTGTCAAAGTGGGGTGGGGGGAGCCATTGAGTGATGAATCTTGCATCCAGCACCCATGAACTATGTGCTGTGCTCATGCAGCCTGTTTTTGTACTGTGCTTTCTGCCAGTGCTACTCATCTTTTGAGGCAGGGAATAGGATGCGTCCACCTTTTTCTGGTGCACTCCTCATTTCTGGTTGTATGGGTTGTTGGGGAGAGGAGGAAAGAGGGAGGTCTTTTCCAACCCAGTTCACTGAATTTGATGTGATATATTAATCCCGATATCTCTTTTTGTGTGTTTTTGTTTTGCTGCTCCTCATATCGTTCTAAGACTATCCACGTTTCAGTGCTTACTGAGAGATCCTTACTCCCTAATTGTCCTACAGCTGCTGTCTTTTCCTGCTTATTGTGGTCAGAAGCCTGTGGTGGATTACGATCTGAAAAAAATGCGGGAATATAACATTCCTGATAAAATACTGCTTTGGCAAGCATTATGAAACCCTGGGGAAAGTCTGGGGAAAATAAAGACTTCTCTCGGTTTTCTCTTGATGTGTTGATGCACTTATTCACCCTTAAGATTACCATCATTGTTGTGTGTTTTTCTGTGTGGAACAGCTGTTTGTCCCTTGATTGTCCAACTGATGAAAAACTGTAAAATCATACAAGTCTAATAGGTGTTTGTTCATCTGAAAGTCCTTGACCTGATAAGGGAATGGGGCCCAACAGCTTAAATAGTGCCTTCCAATAGCCTACAACTTTAAATTGTATCTTCCAGGTCATACTAACAAAGTTTCTTTTTCTTTCTTTTTAAAATTATTTTCTTCTCACTGCCAGGAGGCCCAGAGCCTGCCATTCCTGATGTGAGTATTGCTGCTTAAGTTATAGTAAATAGTATTTAACTAATGAGATAATAATATAACATTAAAAAATACGTACATTCCCACAAATGAAAATGAATACTCAAAGCAATAAAGATGTTATTATGAGATAAAATAGAATAATGCGTAACTTGGGGGGAAATATACAGTCACACATTATCATGAAAATTATTACTTTAAAAACTGATGAACAAGAACTATGGGTGGTATTCAACTAATATTTGCTCAGAGCAGACCTGTTAAAAGCTAATGGATCTAGCTTAGTCATATTAATTATTGTAGTGGATTACCACCCTGTGACTGTAAATCTACCTGCTTGAAACCTAAAGAAAGGTTCTTCATAAGACAGCTTTATTTGGTGAACAAGGAATGTAACCAGATGTTTGGATCCAAAAAGTACTCCCAATATCACATTGCCTCTAAAGGTAAAAAGGTAAAGGACCCTTAGATGGTTAAATTCAGTCAAAGGCGACTATGGGGTGTTGCGCTCATTTCACTTCAGGTCGAGGGAGCCGGCGTTTGGTGCTGTGGTCTAAACCACTGAGCCTCTTGGGCTTGCCAATCATAGGGTTGGCAGCTGGAATCTGTGTGACAGAATGAGCTCCCGTTGCTCTGTCCCAGCTTCTGCCAACCTAGCAGTTCGAATTGCCTCTTAATATGCAAACCTGGGATGGGTACTGTCCATGGAAGCAGGAAGGAACAGAGCTGAACCCTTCTTTTCCTTGGGCACTTTCCAAGACTGGCCAAGTTGGGTCGGTGTGATAGCTTGCAGAGCAAAAGTGTGCAGGGTTAAGCATTTTCCTTATCTGCCCACTCTGTCAAACTTAAGACAAATTCAAGACTGGGAATCCACGTTCGCTGCCAAATATCTATTTCTGGTCTAAGACTGTAACTGACATTGTAAATTTGTGTGTGTGTGCAAAGCAAAACAAAACATTCTGCTCTAGCTGATTTTATGTTTCTGTGTTTCAGCTCCCAGTTCCACCCATCAGTGCTTCTAGCCGCTGGGCCTGGGATCAAGAGGAAGAAAGAAAAAGACAAGAGAAATGGCAAGCAGAACAGGATCGCTTACTTCAGGTGTGGACTTAATAATGCAATGTCCATCACTACAAGGTTGTCTCTGGATTTGGCCAGCCAGACTGACCTCCAAAATAAGCCTATTCTGGAATTTATGCTGCCAATAGAAATGGTCTATAGTGATTTAAGGTTAACTTAGTGAGGCTAGGTTTTGGAGAGTATATAACTGCTATTTTAAAGCAATTAAAGATGGAAATCGCCACCATTGATACTAAACATGGTATCAATATGTGGTTTATAATTGCTTTGTGGTCCAACCCTTTGTATAGATACTTAGAATAAAATCTCATTTTGCTAATAGGTTTTATTTCCAAATAAGCACCTCTGAGTTCATCCTATTTTGATGTCTCATCATCTGTTTTAGAGTAAAAGGCTTCTGGGGCAAAGCATATGCCATCTTAATATGTTCTTATGCATCCTGAATGCTGCTGTCTGAAAACCAGTTGTGTGTTTATTACTGTCCAACCTCCCTGTGTTCTAATCCATTGCATAAATCTCTGAGAAACTAGATGCTTGAGACAAAACTGAATCCTGCTTTGAGATGAAATGTTAAAAGTCCGATGACTTATTTTTGCTTCCTAAACGGATGTTAAGGTTAACCCATTCCTTTCTAGGAAGAGTGGGTTGCTTCTTATAGGAAGAAGTAAAATAAAAGGTAAATGAGAAAGTACCTAGGTAACAATTACTGTATTTGTACAGTGGTACCTCAGATTAAGAACTTAATTCGTTCTGGAGGTCTGTTCTTAACCTGAAACTGTTCTTAACCTGAAGACCACTTTAGCTAATGGAGCCTCCTGCTGCCACTGTGCCGCCGCTGTGCCGCCGCTGCACAATTTCTGTTCATCCTGAAGCAAGGTTCTTAACCCGAGGTACTATTTCTGGGTTAGCAGAGTCTGTAATCTGAAGCGTATGTAACCCGAGGTACCACTGTACAGCGTTAGAATCAATTACAAATTTGTATTATACTTCTGTGCCACCATGCCTTTAAAGGTAAAGGACCCCAACAGTTAAGTCCAGTTGCAAATGACTCTGGGGTTGCAGTGCTCATCTTGCTTTACTGGCCGAGGGAGCCGACGTTTGTCTGCAGACAGTTTTTCCAGGTCATGTGGCCAGCATGACTAAGCTGCTTCTGGCGAACCAGAGCAGTGCACGGAAACGCTGTTTACCTTCCTGCCGGAGTGGTACCTATTTATCTACTTGCACTTTGACGTGCTTTCGAATTGCTAGGTTGGCAGGAGCTGGGACCGAGCAACGGGAGCTCACCCCGTCGCGGGGATTTGAACCGCCAACTTTCCGATCAGCAAGCCCTAGGTTCAGTGGTTTAGACCACAGTGCCACTCGTGTCCCATGCCTTTACACATCATCAAAAGTCCTTTTTTGGTATATTAGAAAGTACTTTCCCTTGCCATTGATTTGCCAGAACTAGCTTTCATAAGAGTACTGAGATTTTGACATGATTGAGAGGGCACCATTTGAAATGAAACTGATATTTCTAATGTAAAAGAGTGTGTGCAAGGCTTGCCCAACTGTGGATTTATCTTACTTTGTACAGTACAGTGATCATACCACATTTCTATGGAGTTTACATTGACAGAAAATATACGTTCAGCTAATTATGCCATGAAATTAATACACTTTTTAATTAAAAAAACCCAGGAGAAATACAGGCGTGAACAAGAGAGACTGAAGGAAGAATGGCTGAAAGCTCAGAAAGAGGCTGAAAAGGAGAACTCCAAATACTTAAATGAGGTGAGCTCTATAACTTATTGTGGATTACCCTCTCTTTGTACTTCCATGGAACAAAATTAACAATTTGCTTTCTCCCTGGCTAGTAAGCAAATGCATCAGAATCAGGAATTGCAGGCAACTATATTCCACTAGAAGAAAATCTAAGCAGGAAAATAATGATAATAATAGATTCATCAGGACAAACTAAAAATCACAAATCCATGAATAGCATGAGTTTCTAGCAGTAATGATAAATCATCTTAAAATGTGCATTAAAAAACATTGAAAGTCAAAACAGATGCTAACAGTTCCATTTAGATAGGTTTCCTCAACCTGGTGCCCTTGAGATGTTGTTGAACTACAACTGCCATCAGCCATGTTGAAGTCCAGATCCATCTGGAAGGCACTAGTTTGGGGAAATCTGTACTAAGAGATCCAAGCAGAATTTCTTACTACAAAACACATATTGTGTAGTAGTTGGTGGCTTAATTTGTGTCTTTGTGTCACTGCTTACCTTCACCAGCTGTTGCCGATCTGTTTCCTTAAGCCAGTTTCAATTAAAAATCTTAAGAAGGAAGTCCAAGTAAGACTTTTTTTGACAATGGATGCATTGTCAATTTGAATACAAGGTGGATGGACGAAAGACTGTCGCATTCACCTTTATTCATTTCAACAAACTACCATCGATCTTTTAGTTGTCTCTGTCCATGACCATGGAGATTGCTGGAAGACTTCAAGGAAAGTTTAGATAGATTTAGCCCTGCACAGAGGGCTCTACAGTGCAGGTCATACTAACTAATTTACAAGTGTTCAGTCGCCAGAGGCTTAGCAGGTATAGCGTTCAGTTCCCAGATCCATAAAATGCAAAGATCATATTTAATCATGTAAACTTACAGTGTGACAGACTTAAATGGTTGATAATGGACCACTTAACTGCAATCATCCCTAAGCGGTGGAAAAGAAATACAATACAGAAAGCTAAAAATGGGTTAAAAATTAAAAATAAATGCCTGCTTTAAGTTAAAGCAAACAAGTAAAATAAAACGTAAGTAGAAGTACTAAATGTGCTAAATATGGCAAAAACCATTAATTTTAAAAGTTAGAGGCAAGTGCTAATAATATTCAATGGTTCCATTTCCTAAAACTCTGCGCCATCCTGTCGGTTTCATTTTTATAAGCCTTGCACTCTCTTCTAGGAGGAGACTGTATTAAAGCCAAATACTGTGTCTGTAACTGCACAAGAACCTCCTGTTTCCATGTGGAGAGCAAATGGGGATCACAAGGCTGACTATTCTGAGGCTGGTAGACGATGGGAAGAAGAACGAGAACAGGAGAAGAAGGAAGAGGAAAGGAAACGTCTTGAGGAGGCCCAGAGGCTGGAAGAAGCAGCAACTGCGTTACGAATAGAACAAGAGAGGAAGCGCCAAGAACTAGAACGTGAGAAGGAGCGAAATGTGTCCTATGCAGAGGAGCCGAGATATCAGGAAGCAGCAGAACAGAAATTGCAGGTTGAACAAGTCAAGGAAACTTCAATACAGAGGCCCCAGTATCAAAGGTGTGCATTCAGTTTTTCCCTATGGGGTTTTTTTTTTTTTTGTGCTATAGTGACCTACAGAAGGCATAAGCATACGCTCAAAAATGTATGACTAAAATACTTTATATTCATGAGAATTTATTATATTGATGCACAAGTACTTGTGAGTGCAAAAAGCAATAGAATCAGCCAATAGGCTTGTTTTGAAACAATGTAAGTTTCAAATTGTTAACTGAACTATTTATGTTGAGGTTTGTGGTAGGATTTTGGTAAAAGCTCTGTTTCCCATGGCTGCAAGTATCCCTGGATGCAAATACACACTTGGCAGCAGCAACCAAGTCCTAATGGAGTTCTTGTCACACATCAGTATAAGCATTATTCATTTATCCTCATCCCACCTTCATAAATCAATAATAGGGTCTTTCAGGAGGGCTGACACCAAGTGCTACAATGGGCAAGAACCCCATATATGACTCAGTTAGGATCTCCCTGGACTTTTGGGGACTCTAGAGCCAATCCTCACTTGATATGTTAGGATGCAGGAATCAGAAATGTGCCCCATCGCTAAACCATAATAACTATAACACTTTCCCTCTCCATGACACTACACTGACTGATTTCCAGAAGAACTGTTTCAGTTAAGCTCTCCATTCTTGGGCTCCAGCCAGTGCATCATCCGGAATGCTGCCAGCAAAAGCCTGAGCCCAAAAAACATGTTGCAGCTACTGCAGCAAAAATTACCAAGGAAAGCCGGATTAAGTATTTGCCATCAGTTGTGCCTCCCTCATTCTTAAACCAGCTGATTGTTGTGCGATTTACAGTTAACAAGGCCTGTTGCAGGCCTGTTGCAAACCGATGCATAGATAACCAGCATGGTTTAAGAGAATAGATGCTAACATAGGCATTACCTTTGCATGTTTGTTTAGGTCAATGAAGGCTTATATGTGGCCCTCTAGCTCCCATCACCCCTGACTATTGGCCATGGTGGGCACGGCTGGTGAGCATTCGAGGGCAACAGTTTTGCCACCATTGCTTTAGTTTGCTGTGTGTACATAGTCCTTAGCACTTACAATGGATGCCCACCAGGACTGTCAGATTTTGCAGATCTACCAGGGCAGGAATCCTTTTGGGGGGAAGAAGGCAAGGGCCACATTACTCTAGTGTAAAGCTTTCGGAAACTGCTTTGCATAGGTGGCTGTGGCCATGGAAGCAGACAGTCACACACCTTTAACTAGCACCCATCCCTTTCTCTCCCTCTCTCCCCTCCCTCCGGTTTCTTCTCTTTCTGCACTGAGACTTTCTGCACTGCACTCCCACGTCTTAGTGCACTAGAGAGGCAACATTGCAAGCTGCTTTTTTAAAGTTCTTGTGGCTTCCTCTCTGTGCACTAAGGGTAGCCCTTTTCTGAGCCCGCCAAAAGGAATCCAGGAGAAGTTGCCATCCAGGCACACTGAAAGCTGTCTGAATAATCAGCTATCTCTGCCCACTGAGAAATGGGAGCAGGTCCTTGCTTTCTCATTGCTCAGCTGGAGAAAGTAAGTTTGCAGCGAGGGGGAGGTTTTGATTTCTCTTCCTCCCTCCACAGACTTCTCTTGCCCATGTGCTTCTCCGTCACACCATCGCTGTGTCTTTCCAATGTTTGTGTCCAAACCTTAAAAATGAATTTGAGTGCATAAGAACCTCAGATCTTGCATTGCAAAAGTGAAATAAACTGTATATATTTTATTTTATTTTATTTTTATTTTGCAAACTGTAAATGCTCAGAACTTGGCACTGAGCATTTCTAAGACAAGTCATGCTGCTGTTGTAAATTATACAACAAAGAACAGGTCTAACTTCCTAATCTGCCATCCCTTATCCTACAGCTTCCTGTTTTCTTGGATGCAAATCCAGATTTGCAAGAATTTCTTGTTCAATATGTGGGAGGCTATTGTTCATGGTTTTGTATCTTCCTGCAGTGCCAGCCAAATGAGTATCTCTTCCTGTGTAATCTATTCATTCTAATGCATGTTTACTTTAGGCATTTTGAAACATCAAGAAATTCTGATGAACCAACAGGCTACTTCAGTACTAACAGGTAAAACTATGCTGGTTTCCCTGTCCTTCAATTTATGCTTGTTTGGGATTCTTTTACAAGTGTGCCTCTGAAATGCTGGAATCCTGGTACAGCTTAGGGAAATACAGCATTAGTTTGTGGATTACTTAATAATGGGCAACTATGGAAGTATGAAGAGGGACGCGGGTGGCGCTGTGGGTTAAACCACAGAGCCTAGGACTTGCCAATCAGAAGGTCGGCAGTTCAAATCCCCGCGATGGAGTGAGCTCCCGTTGTTTGGTCCCTGTTCCTGCCAACCTAGCAGTTTGAAAGCACGTCAAAGTGCAAGTAGATCAATAGGTACTGCTTCAGCGGGAAGGTAAACGGCGTTTCTATGCACTGCTCTGGTTCGCCAGAAGCGGCTTAGTCATGCTGGCCATATGACCCGGAAGCTGTTTGCCGGCTCCCTCGGCCAATAAAGCAAGATGAGCACCGCAACCCCAGAGTCGGTCACGACTGGACCTAATGGTCAGGGATCCCTTTACCTTTTTATGGAAGTATGATGGGATAAAGTGTCATTTCAGCTGCATTGCCTTAGATCTCGGGTAGTAAAGGAGGTTGTTGGAACTTCAATTCCTGCACATGTGGCCAGTGATTAGAGGGTGATGAGTCTGATAAGAGCATCTGGGCAGCACCTAGCTGCGTTACCCCTGCCTTAGATCATACCACATAAAACAAAGCCACCACAGCTGCAGAATATTTTTGGGGGTTTTAGAAGAGATATTTGGTTTTTTAGAAGAGATAAAAGCATATACTAATAGTATTTTTGGAAGCCCTTCAGATATGATGTAATGTAGCAAAGTCAGATGTTAAAGTGTAATTCTGTGATTCACAACAGCCTCTGCACCATGTTTATCAGTATACGTTTCAATATAGAGGAAAATTTAGATTTGACTGGCCTAATGAGGCACCAGATAATTTCAGCTGTTATTTTTTTATCTTCAACCACTATTGACCGTCATTACATCATACTTTGTTATAGGCTGCTCACCCACATGGTTGTATAATCTAAAATATGAAAAGCAAAGAGTAGGCGTAGAAGTGAGCAAAGATATCAACAGTGACAGGATTTGCTTGAGCTTCTGTAGTCACATAGGACATTAAGGGAGGGAAATATGTTCAGTGTTCCTGATCTATTTTTAATTGTTACATCTTCCTTTCATATCCATATGTCTGAGGCATTTTCCCATTAGTGCCTAGTTATCTTCATTGTCCTTATGTAGTGAACATTGAAACAGCAGTTATTTCCCACCTTATAAGATTGCTCCTCTCCAAATTAAAATCAAAATGAACTGGTTCAATATGTTGCAGTCTATAATCCTCCAAATCTTCCTGGGACTCCTGTTCGCTTTATCCATATGCATTTGCTTGACCCTATTTCCTGAGTGTTTTAAGGGAGCAACCCTAATAGGGACAGAGAGCTTGTGGAGCAGTGGGTTGTCTACTACATTTACAGTTCCGCTGCTTGTGGGGAAGGTTGGGGCAGTTGATTCTTCTCTTTTGCAGCACCAGCTTTTAGGCTGGGCCAGTGGGGCTCCGACTGGATCCCTCACCAAGATATGAGTTGGCTTTTGTTCCATCAGATCTGTCGCTTGCTCCACCCCACCCCTAAAATGCCCCATTTGGGGCCATTGTGTCAGCTGCCCCAGCAGGCACACCAACTGTGCTAACATGTGGGCTCCCCCTGCCAACCCAAAACAGGTGGAATATAGCTGAGGGACACCTCAACCACATCTTAATCCCCAGCAGCAGTGCAGATTAGGGGTCTGGACTATTCTCTGGATGGTTCTCCATATATGTGGGTATGGATTTAATGCTGTGCAGGATTAAATCTCTCGTATAATAAAATCATAATGCTGTTGTCACATGAGCAGCATGGTGAAAGGAACAACTAGGACAGGCTGCCGTAGCATCCTGGCAACTGTCTGCTACACCACTGCTGCCATTTCAGCCTCAGTGGTGCTAGAGTCTGAGGAGGGAAGCAGCAGAAGAGCAGATGATGGGGAGCTGGCCTAGCCAGGCTCTTCCTTTGCAGCTTGTGTGGTCCATGGTTTGGTTGAGCTGTAAAGTGAGGAATGTAAAGGGAGAGAGGAGGCAGGGTTAGCCACATGTAAAGGAAGGAGGAGGAGGTTGGCGAGGGGTTGGGGTATGTTGAGGTGAGGTGAGTAAAGCTAGTAATATGTAACTTCTTAATTGTTTTTAGAAGTAAATCCAGATCAACTCCAGATCTAGATGATCATCATGCAAATAGAAATGGTGAGTGATGTGTGCATGTTTTTGTTTTTTGAAAAATGGGATTAAAAACAAAACAAAACATAGGACAGAGCCTGCTGCTCAGAAACAATATGAGATACTGGATTATTTTGTCATTGGTTGTCTGGTAAGACTGAATTATTGCAGAACTTAGGTCCTAGCCTTAAGCCTTGTCTATGGGTACAGGTAGGTACAGATCTGATCTGGGTCAGAATGTCGAGACATGTGCACATTATTGAACACTAGATCCCAGGGAGATGCAACCATTTGGATGACTCACAGCTCATTTTAACACCAGTATTTTTCTCCACTGGAGCAGAGATTTGCCTTTGTAAAAAGTAGGCAGAATGCTTCACCTTTCTATCAGTATTCTGTCACGAATCATGACTCATACTACAAGGCATATAGAGTATCGTGCATCATAAGAGATGTTACTGAGTTGGCTTTTTATCCCCCCTCCACCCCTTTAGTGCACTTGTGTGATTTGTGTGTCTCTGCTTCTTTATTTTTCAAATTAGGCATGAAGAGCAAACTTTCCGAGCAGTCCTCAAATGCTGGTGACTCACAGAAGAGATCTCAGAAAGAGCATGGCTTGTCCCCAGCTGAGCTGGAAAGACAGCAGATCCTTCAGGAAATGAGAAAGAAGACATCCCTACACACAGACAACAGCTGGATCAGACAACGCAGTTCCAGTATGCACAAAGAGCCTGTTAGTCTAATTGGCACTAAAATGAGGAGGTAATATTGATTCACTGTGTGTTGCCTATCGTTGACTGTATGATGCTTATGCCATTCTGGAACTGTGATTGATTTACAAAGCAGTCAAGGAAAGAATTTATTTTAATTTGAGATGGATCAAATTTTCAGTTTTTTCATGAAAATTTGTATTTTCCCCTTGGATAGTGAGATTCCTGGTTGTAGTGCACTGTTTTTGAAGTTGATGTATCATTTAAGCAGCATTTGTTATGATCCTTGTTCCTATTTGAGCTGCATTAGCAAAATTTGTTGATGAAATAATTTTTCTTGGATTCCCAATGTGTGTGTGGGTATTCACCCTGTCTGAGATTGAAAGAGCTATTCTTGTTACACTCAAGAGCCTTGGGTCTGCTTTTGTTTTGTTGGAACAGCAGGCCCACAGGCTATCTCCCAAACTGATTTTGAAGCTCCTCTCAATTTTGGAAGAGAGTTTCCTTGAAGCTGGAGAAACTGCTGCTTCTGAAACATGAATCCATTGCCACCTTGGCATGGTCCTTTAGACCGCCTGTGTATTCATGTAGAAAACAACTCGCTTCACAGTTGGGAGTTCAGAGTTTGTCACTTTGTGAACCTATTAAAGAAATTGGCTTTGAATCTGAACATCTGGGAGCATTGTTAACATCGTAAGAAAAGTTCATCTTCCTGCTTTCCCACAATTGCCAGCCAAATGCCTATGGGAACCTCACAAGCAGGGCATGAATGCAATAACCTTACCTTACCCTTTGTCAGTGGTATATTCTGCCTCTGAATCTGCAAGTTCCATGTAGCCATATTTTTATGTTGAGAACTGCCCTGAGGTCTACAGATGAAGGGTGGTATACTAAATGGATGGATGGACAAACAGACAGATTAGTAGTCTCTATGAATTTGTCCAAAGTTCTCTAAGCTAGTGGCCATCAAGGCATCTCCGTGATAGATGGCCATCCACTCTCTGCTTGAAATGAAGGAGAGTCCACCACATTCTGAAGAGTTCATTCCACTGTCCAACAGATCTTAGCATCAGAAAGCTCTTCCTAATGCTTAGTCAGAATCTCCTTTCTTGTAACTTGAATCCATTGGTTTGGGTCCTAGCTTCCAGAGCAGGAGCAAGCAAGCTTGCTCCATCTTCCACGTGGCAGCCCTTTAGATATTTGAAGATGGCTATTATGCCTTCCTTTGTTTCCTCTTATCCAAGCTAAACACACCCAGCTGCCTCAAATGTTCCTCATAAGGCTTGGTTTCCAGACCCTTGCTCAAGTTGGTTGGCCTCCTTTGCACACATTCCAGCTAGTCAATATCATTCTTAAATTGTGGCGACCAGAACTGGACACGGTACTTCAGGTGTGCTCTGACTAAGATACCATTTTGTTACCAAAAAAATGCAAACCTGTTGAAGCACACTATGTCCATGCTCAACCTTCACCTTCTGGCTACAATGCCAGCCATATAATCTTCTTTTTTTTAACATACAGAGGTGAGAGTTTGGATAACCTTGATTCTTCAAGAACAAATTCCCGGAGGCCTCATTCTTGGATGGGCCAGTCTGGATCTTCACTGTCTTTATCATCTAGTCAAGATTTTAGTCACCATGTGCCTCCTGTAGTGGCCACTTCAAATCGTGCCTACATGCGCATACCCTCTTCCAGCCTGCCATCTCCTTCGGCCAGTTCCATGAAAACTTCATCCTTGCCTCATGTTCTTCCATCTGCGCAATCTCCTGTTCCCCGTTCTCAGTCACCAACATCTGCTTCCCAGTCTGGAACTCAGCAACGCAGCAGGTATGGGGTTCTGTCTAAAACTTTTGGCTAAAAACTTTTATGTATAACTTAACATTACTGAGTTTTCATAAAGGATGATGTAGAGAACAATGAACTCCTTCCATCCGTGCAGAAAATAATTAAAATGGCACCATTTATTTTTAAGCTGCGAGTTCTGGAGACCCACACAGAGCTGCAGAATGTGTTTTGCACTACATAATTAGAGGGACATAAAAATTATTTTGTCAGCTCTGCCTCTTTTGCTGTTTTATTCTTAAAGTGATTTATGTCTCAAAGTGTATGTTTATAAAATCAAGCCATACACACATATATTCTGTAAGCCAGTGGCTCAGGCATTGGGTATATATCCATTTCAACCTCCTTCTGGAAGGCTGAAATTTTGAACAGGGTCCTGCCAAAGATTGTGGCCACCCCAAGATGTGCTTCCACTGAACCCGATTCCCTCTGACCCCTTCCTCATAACTGATATTTATGGGTTCCAAATCAGTTTTGCATGGTAATTAATGTTATACAATTCCATTTTACAATGTGTATTTAATTGGAACATGAATGCACACATTTAAGCACCCAAATACCATGTTCACCCCTCCTTGTTTCAGGGTTGTTGAATACCGTACTTTTCCGTGTATAAGACTAGGTTTTTTTTCTTTAAAAATTATGCTGAAAAGTGGGGGTCATCTTATACATGGAGCCACCCCCCCCCCCCCGGCATTTTCTTAAATTTGAGTCCCCCAAAATAGGGGGCATCTTATACATGGAAAAATACGGGACTTTGTATGGCCTTTTCTGTGAAAAATGTACATTAAGAGCATGTTTATATTATGTAAATAATATGATACTTGTCTTCTTGCAACTTTTTAATGCTGGTTTTTAACCTCTCTGGTTTGAGAGCAGACCATGGTTACATCAGTTTTGATGACACGGTAAAATCATGCTTATTGATGACAAAGCAAGGACTGGAATAAGCATTTGCGAGCTCATCAGGAAGTTTCCAGTCTCCCAAGTGTTAGTGATCAGCAATACAATATGTGAACTAGACTGTAGTGTTATCTTCAAATTTTATATGGCAGGACTTCAGAGAGGTTTCTGTTGTATATCCCAGCCTAGTGCTGTGTTGCCTAAAAAGATACAGCTGTTGGGATTTGGATAGGAGCACTTTCTGAAATGTATTCATAATCATTTCCCACAGATAAAGAAAGAGAGAGGAATCTAAATCATATATTCCTGCATGCTAAATTTAGAAATGCTTTGGACATTGTAATTTATATTGAAAATTTATGGTGGCACTATATTGCATGAGAGATTGCTGAAGGTACTCATTTAATCATTGAAATGGTAACTTCTTTTCCTGATTTGAAAATTTCTGTTCTAGGATAGTAACTTGCAGATTTCTTCTAGCAGTCCTGGGTTTGGGTTCATTACTCATGCTGTTGTAGCACTTCTTTTCAATGACATTTCTCTAGTTTCCTAAAATCTGCCTCTCAGCCGCTTTCTTGTTCTGTATCTAGGTCGGTCAGTGGAAAGCGAGTGTGCTCATACTGTAGAAACGTTCTGGGCAAAGGAGCAGCCATGATCATCGAATCTCTTGGTCTTTGCTATCATTTACATTGTTTTAAGGTGAGAGGTGGGCAAAACGCCAGGGAGATGGAGGAACCTTACACTGCAGGCTAGCATGGCAACTTAGAAGACAATGAATTAGGGGCTCTGCTAATCAACCTTGCGCTACATGCATAACTCAGCCTGGCAAATATCTCTGCTTGCTCACCTGCTTCAAATTAAAATAATCAGGTTCTTGATTTGATTGAGGATTTTGAAATACGTTCCATCAGTGGTTTCATGCAACCTTGCACACATCTGAATTAGCATTCTACATTTGCAATTACATCCTTAATCACGTAAGGTAGATTAGTTCGGTCTTCAAATCTTCATCTGTTTGCCTTCACACAATGAGGGTAGTTAATGTATGGAAGAATATAGTCCCTCTGCCGCCACCACCACACACTTCTGGCTCCAATAGGAAACTTCCTGTGCACTTAGGTCATAAGGGGGTGGGGCTTTGTGTTGAATGCCAGCACTGTCTGAAGCTGGTAAGGCTTTTTCAGTGATGGCACCTAGGAGCTCCTCCTGGTGAAGTTGTTTAGCTTCTGGTTTAGCTTGTTTAGGGTCTTCAGGAAGTTGATGGAGAATTCTAGTGAGCCTTTGGAATTGAATGGGTTTTATGGCGGTTCCATCTGAAAATATGACTGCTTTAAAATCGACAAACAACGTATACTGAAGTTATATATTACAAGCCATCCTGAGCATTTCTTAGAAGCTGTGTGTGTGTGATTTTTAAAAATAAAGTAAGATACACTTAAAGAAGCATTCTCACACAGAAATAGTAGCACTGATGTCATTGTAAACATGAAGTCTGACCAGACTTTAAGAAAGGAGATGTAGGGTGGCAGGAATCTGATTGTGACTCATGCTTGGTGCCAAAATCACTGCTTTTGATTCTTTTGTGCCATGGAAATCATTCTGTTTCAGAAAGCAAGACTCTCGTTTCCTAATCCCTGGCTCATTCCTCTTCTCTGCTTAAAGTGCGCAGCTCTTCGCATTGCTTGTTTCTAGCATTATAACCTCTCCTGCATATTAACACCCCCCCTCCCGCTCTTGCTCAAGAGGGTACATGGTTCAAATCTTTTATTTGAAAAATCATTGCAAAATGTGTTTGTACTGCTAATTGTTCCTTTTTCTTCACAGTGCAATGCTTGCGGGTGCGACCTTGGGGGCTCTCAGGCCGGAACTGAAGTCCGGATCCGAAACAATGAACTCTTCTGCAATGACTGCTATCTCAGATTTAAGAGTAAGGGGTTCCTTCAACAATGCTAAAGTTTTGATTACTTATGCCTACACCAAATGCTTTTCAGAATTATAGTTTTCCTCTGTGTATGTGATATAGGGATGATTTGTGTTGTAGTGGTTGTTTCTACTGGGATTTGGGAGGATTTTCTTCTTGGATCAATGAGGCTATTTTTTTATGATTTGAAATATTTAAAAAGAAAAAATGGAACAATTATCAAAAGTGCAATTGGAGCAATAGGACTAAAAGAAAAGAAACCAGTATATCTGAGGGATAGCATTTACATTATTTTGTATTTCTCTCACTATGTGTCATGATACATTAAAAGTACTCCACCTACATATTAAACAGTTGATTAGTAATAATTAGGGAGGAAGATGAATGGTTTATAGTGTTTTAGATATTGCAAGTTATGACAAATCATAAATTTTATTCTGCTTTGAAGGAGCATTCTCCTCTGGGAGAAGGAGGCTTCCTCTTAGTGGTCACAGCTGGAGGAAGACTTGACATAAAGAGCTGAGAAAATCAATTTTTCATTGGCTGGGATCCTAAGTATGCTTTTAAGGAATTCAGCTTCATGAAATCTGTTGGGTGGCCAACTTATTAAATATCTTAGAGATTATGGGGCCTGGTTCGTCTGCTCTCTTAATCTTGTTATACTCAGATTTGTCTTTAGGAAAGCTTTGCTGTGCATCCCACTGCCATCAGAAGCACAGTTGCTGATCACATGGGGCAGGAACTTCCTGGCTGCAGCATTTTAGACTGTTGTTTGTGCTGTACTTTTGTACTGTTTTATTGTTGTTAGCCGCCCTGAGCCCGGCTTCGGCTGGGGAGGGCGGGATATAAATAAAATTTATTGTTATTTTTATTATCTTGCCTTATTTACCTTCAGTGTTTACTGAAGACTGCCTTATTTTTAACCAGCCTTCAGTATTAGTTGCTTGCCTTCCAATTATGGATTCTGTGGGCTGTTGCTGTTGGATTTTGATCCCAGTTCGTTCCATTGTTCGGGTCTTTTATAGTTATTATTTTTTATTTTACTCAAGTTTTGTGGCTATTTAGTATGCTGTCCTGAGGGGCCTTTTAGGTGGGATAATGTGTGTTGTGCTGTGTGTGCCATTTTAATAGTTGCTTGACTTAATTTGCAAGGGACGTGGGTGGCACTGTGGTCTAAACCACAGAGCCTAGGGCTTGCTGATCAGAAGGTTGGCAGTTCGAATCCCCGCGACAGGATGAGCTCCCGTTGCTCGGTCCCTGCTCCTGCCAACATTAGCAGTTCAAAAGCACATCAAAGTGCAAGTAGATAAATAGGTAAATGGCGTTTCTGTGCGCTGCTCTGGTTCGCCAGAAGTGGCTTAGTCATGCTGGCCACATGACCCGGAAGCTGTCTGCAGACAAACGCCGGCTCCCTCGGCCAGTAAAGTGAAATGAGCGCCACAACTCCAGAGTCGTCCATGACTTGACTTAACAGTCAGGGGTCCCTTTACCTGACTTACTTTTAGGTGGAGATGACATATCTGAAATGTCAGCTCCGCTTTGACCCAACAGATTTTTGCTTTATATGAAATCACAGGTCAGCGTTTTTAACCTTACACAAATTCCATTATAGATGAAGTGGAAGTACTTTTACTAGTGTAGCCTATCTAGGTTTCTTTTGAAGTATGAGGCTTTGAAGAGTTAGTGGCCTATCCATGTATGATATTTGGAAGGATCCCCAGCTAGAAATCCAGTGTAGGTTGATGTTACCTTGTCTCTTCCAGGGACTTTGGCAAGAGTAGAGTGGCCCCCTTAGCAAAGCATTATGAGTTACAGTAGTACCCTAACGCAGATCTCAGCCTTGTTTGGAAATAGTTCCTCACGCAATGACTGCAACATCAGGGGATTAGCTTTCTGTGTAAATGAGCCTTTGCATATCTAATAACACAGACGTAATATTCATATCACCTTGGTGCCACTTGAAATGCAATGCTTTTCCGTGGAGCCAATTCACATCTTTAGATGTTTCATTTTCTTGAAACATCTGAGTAGGAAAGAAACTTGAAAATGCTTTCTTGACTTAACATGTCCTGTCAAGGTAGCTTTTGTGTTCCTATTTGGGTTTTTCCTTATAATCTTGCTTTTTTATATTAATCTGCTTTTTTATGTCAATCCACATCCCTGCCTTTTTAGACTCCCTGCTGCTCTCAGCTTCTGCTCTTCTCAAAATGCCTATAGGTGACTCCAAATTCAGGGGTTCAGGACTTCTGTCTGCATCCAGCCCTGTAGTGGGATACTTCCACCCATGTTGCTTGCTTGCTAGCCCACATAAGATTATAGGGACTGGTTGTCTGGCTTTCCGTACTGTAAGACTCTTCCAATCACAGTGGAGGCTGCTTCAGACACCTTTAAAGTGCCCAGTTGTGCATGGTAGCATTAACTTGTAGCCAAAATATCTGCCCAGTGGTTTCATGCCTAAGACTCCAGTTTTTCTAGCCCCTCATGTTGGTTATGTGAACTTTTGCAATTGTTGATGTGGAAGGAAAAGCTGAGGAAAATCATTCTTAGTGCAGTCGAACATCATAACCAGTGTAGGTGTTTAAATTTGAGGCCAAATCATATGGGCACATGCCCTTAGACTTTTCACCCTCTTCCATCCTCAGTATATTTTGGGATGCCATTTAAGAACACGCCTGTCGTTATCGTTGCTGTTGTCATTATTTGAGTCCCTTTAAAGGGCTAGTCATGTTGTCCTGGTCTTCTGAGGGCCAAAATAGATATCACATTATGTTAAATACTTTCATGCACTTTTGTGACATTTTAATGTGAGTAGCTCTGAGCAGCACTGGGAACACAGTGGATGTGGAAGGAGAGATTAACCCTTTTTCCTGCTGTGATGCTCATGGAAATTCTTCTTCTCTCCTATGTATCAGGAGAGAAATGCTCATTGGAGCCTGACCGTAACTTTCCACAATTCCAGGCAGCTACTAACTTGCGGTAGCTTCAAGTCTCTCTCTCCAAGTCTCCCCCTCCTTTTCTGTCCATTAGTTGGCTCATGAGTAAACTTTTGTTACAAGAGCTCCTTCTGCTGGCCTTGTGAAAATCCAATAGCACTTAAGAGTGCTAGTTCATTCAACTTGTTGGGGGATCTCATTATGAGAGCTTGAAAATGAAATTCTCAGGGTTCTACCCCCAAGCTACCTTACTTTTCCAGAACAGTTTGGATGTTGTTAACGCAATTAAGCAGAATGCAAGAAATATTTGTGGATTTTAAGAAAGCAGTTTGCAGTGGAGATGTTTTTATCTTCCTGAACCCTTGCATTAATTAATCCTTCTCTTTCCTCTTATTTTAAACAGCTGGACAGCCAACCATTATGTGATAGAAGCCTTAATATGAAACCACTGCTACAGATAGAGGAGGAAGCTGCTGCTGTAGATCTATAAATATATTTTGTGTGTGTGGTTTTTAAAAAATATTTTTGCCTGTCTAGCTCATGTAGAAAATTCATGGTATCTTTTATTATACTTATATGGAGCTATTTATGAGAAGGTAATCACAAATAAATAAAACAGAGTGCTTTAAGTTCAATGTATAATTCCATCCTTATATATATCTACACACACATACAAAAGGGAGAAAAACATTTAATTGGGTAATTTAAAAATGTTGGAGACTTGCGAGGAAATAGCTTTAATTTTCCAATCATATATGAGGAGGCTTTTTAATGTTCTTAAATGAGCATTACTGAAATAACAAGTATGTATTCGTAACCGCAGTTTCTACATCTGATGTATATGCTATCAAGTTCTGCAGGATATTATGAAATTGCATTCAAAGACATACAGGTGGCTGCTGTCTATATTTGAGTTACTAAGCTTAAGTAATATTATCGTTTTTAAAACTAAAATGTAAACTTCAGTCTGTTTTGCCTGGGATTCACTATTTCATTGTGCTTTAATAGTTATAGCCAATCGGGGAAATAATTTCTGAGGCGTTCTTTCTTTTCATGTTTGAGAAATGTAACTCTACTTGCACCTCAAACAAGTTAATAAGACTGAGCATTTCCCCCCTTCTGTTGACTTATTTTGTATTTGTAAATAAAGTTGCTGATACTGCACTTGAACTGCTTGCATTCTTTATTTTTCCGTCTAGAAGGAAGAAGCCCTGCAGGAAAATGTCAGTGACCTCTGATACAATTCAATTGCGAGATCAGTTCCAGCACCCCTGTGCATAGGCAGTAGCTATGTTGTAAAGCAGGGGTGTCCAACCGGTCGACCGTGATCGACTGGTCGATCCCCGTGAGGTTTTGGCAGATCGCAGTCGATCGCAGGTTCTTTTTCCTTAGCGGGGGAGCATTTGGCCCCGGCCCCTCCTCCATTCACTCAAGATCGCTAGAACAGAAGACGGAGTTTTCGCTGTGAGGCTGTCCTGCCCCTCTAAAAAAGGTTAATAACTTCGACTTTCCTCCCTAAAAAAAAAAAGAGCTCAACACCTTTGACCTGAAACCGCCCCCTCAAAAAAAGGGGTAGATCACTGCCAGTTTTTTATTCTGTGAGTAGATTGCAGTCTCTTGGGAGTTGGACGTCCCTGGTGTAAAGGAACAAACTTGACAAGACAATGATCTGGGATAAAAATTGGCCACAGATTTATTGATTACAGCTAATGTTATATTCAATATATTTTTGTATGAACTTATGATTATGACAGGATTCATCTGTTTGGTAAATAACTTACTCCGGTGCTTTTTCTGGTGTATTGTTTTTGTTTGTTTATGTTTTTACTGCTTATTTAGGTTTGTGCTTTGCTGCTTGCTTAACAGTGTCTTGCCAATGAGACTGTCAATTGACAACATGCACCTTCAAAGTCATCTTACCTGGATCATTGCTCTTTTTTTAAAGAAACATTTCATAACACCAGATTAGGCTGATGCTTTGTACAGACTTGCCTTCCCAATGCATTCATCCAGAATGCACTTTCTGCTGCAGAAATTTTGAATTATTTCTCCCTTTTGCATGTTTCAACCACAGGCAGTTCCTCTGCGCCAGCTGTGGGGGTTCAGAGAGGCAGCTAGAAGTAAAGAAAACCACCACTCCTCCTTTCTCTGTAATTTTAAATTCTCAATAAATATCATTTTTTTAAAAAGGAAAGAAAACCACCACTCCTAGCCACTTCATCACCTGGCAATAATTTTTCTTATGCCATTTTCCCAACCAAAATCCCACTAAAGCTTCTCTTGATCTCAGGGAGAAAAAAGTACAGATAGATTTCAGGGTGTCAGCACTTGTGACGTATCTCAAAATAATACCCACATAGTGTGGAGTTTTCAAAAGCAGGGTATAAAACCTGGATCTTCTAATAAAACAAAAATATTTTTAAACACAAGGTGGCAGTCTTTAAAAGCAATTGATGTGAGAATGTCGTGTTTTGTAATCATGCAAATGATCCTAAACCCCTTTCTTAATATCAGAAACCAAACGCTTCCCTGTGTCTGGACTCTTACAACATCTTTTGTCAATGTGGCCGTGCTGGTTTATGCAACATTTTTGCCACATGGATGTTTCCGTAGGATTATTGCACATGGAGAATTTCAAAGCATTGGAACAGACTCCAAGACAGCCACTCTGAGATGCAAGGCAGTTGCTTTACTTTCGGGAAAAGTGAAAATAGGTGTGGTGAGGTTGTCAAAGAATAATCTAAATTCTGGGCTACCGTTAGAGCTTAGTGCAGGAATATTTAAAAATAAAACTGTTACCTAAACTTTGGGTAACTAGTGTGTCCTAATCAAAAGAAATGAACCCTCTTTCATAACATAAGATCTTGGGGACATTCAGTGACACTGACTGTTGGAAGATTCAGGACTGGGGCACCGGCTTCAAGGTGCCAAGCGTCCCCCCCCCATATTTTTTGGAGTAGGGCTTGTTGAGATGCTGCCGGGGAGATGGGGGCATTTAGCAGGCCCCCAGCTGGCTCCAGCCCACCAGCCAGCAGTCAGGCAAAACTCCGGTTCTCGGAGCAGCATCAAAACTGCGACTCAAGCCTCAGAAGCCTTTAGAGACTGAGCACGCAATCCAGCAGAGATAAGAACTCTTTGCAACAGAAATAGCGGACAGAGGCATATGTAAGCATATTTACAGCATTTATCCAGCAGCGGGACAAAAGAAAAACATGTCTACTTCCCTTCGTGTCCAAGCAAAACAGCAGTGCAGCAAAAGCAATCTACAATGGAAGTTCCCAGCAGACTGTGCTGGAAGTAAACAGACATGTGACATGCAACAACTCCACATGCCTGTTCTAAAGGTGGAACGGAACTGCATCCTAACATGGCCCCCCTGATGTCCCCCAAGCACAGAGCTTTGGGAAGGAGGCAGGAAGGCTTCAGGATCCTGTCAGAGGCCTGGCACCTCCTTCCCAAAGCCCAGGAAACTTCTGCCTGGCTTGGGAGAGGCGTGATGCTCTGGGGTCCAAGAATCTTCTCACCACCTTCCCAAAGCCCGTCCAGCTCTGGCTCCTCTCAATGCCTGACGTCATGCACACGACATGGCGACGTCGCAGCATCACGCTTGTGGCGTTGCCCCCCCATAACCCTCGTAAGTTGGCACCTCTCTTCAGGACAGACATAATGAAGCATAGTTGAACTATGGTTTTTGCCCCCCAACAAGATGTTGTGATGGCCAGCAACCTGGATAATTTTAGTGGAGCATAATGCTATCAATGGCTACTAGCCATCATGTCTAGTTGGCCACTGTAATAATAATAAAGTAATAATAATTTATTTTTTATGCCCTGCCCATCTGGCTGGGTTTCCCCAGCCACCCTGAGCAGCTCCCAACAGAATATTAAAAACACGATAAAACATCAAACATTAAAAACTTCCCTAAACAAGGCTGCCTTCAGATGTCTTCTAAAAGTCAGGTAGTTGTTTATTTCCTTGACATCTTATGGGAGGGCGTTCCACAGGGCGGGCGCCACTACCGAGAAGGCCCTCTGCCTGGTTCCCTGTAACTTCACTTCTCGCAGGGAGGGAACCGCCAGAAGGCCCTCAGAAATGGACCCTAGTGTCCAGGCTGAATGATGGTGGTGGAGACGTTCCTTCAGGTATCCTGGGCCGAACATGTTGCTGGACAAGATAAGCAACTGGGATGACCAAGCAAGCTCCTCTTACGTTCCTGTGAATGAGCTAATCAGCTGCTAGGGACAATTTGCAGATCTGAGCCAGATAAGTGCTCCTAGGGATGTATCCATGATAGTGGGTTTTTTCCTTCTTTTTTTGAATGGTGTTCAAACAAGTTTGTACAAATAAAAAGCAACAGCCGATGTCTTGCAAACAAAACTGTAATTAACCTCTCATGCCCCAGGGGCCAAAGGTGATAAATACACCGGAGCTCCGCTTCTGTTGGCTCATCTGAATCCATCTCCAACAAACAAGACCCAGAGAGCTGGATGAGGAGAACAACTTGAGAGGGTATTTGGCTGAGAAGATGGGAGCGGTTGAATTTTTCATGCTGCCCGCACCGCAATCTGTATATCAGGGCTGTCCAGCTCTGGGTGGATCACTGCCAGTTTTTTTTATAGTGGTTGTAGATTGCAGTCTCTTGGAAGTTGGACAGCCCTGCTGTATATTATGTAAATTGTTCTCCTCAGGCAAAAAGTCATAGTCAAACTCTGCATTCTCGAACAGTTTGATGTCTCAAGCCAACAGGCCATCACGGGGCTTTAAAAGCATGCCTGAAGGTCAGTTCTAACATTCTCCTCTTAGTCAGTTTCCCTCTATCTTTGCCTTTTTGTCATCTAAAAGTGGGAAATGGAGATTAAAACATAACTACAATAAGAACAAAAGTAACATAAAAAGTAGTAGACACTTGCTGCAATGGCAGGGGGTGGCAACTCTAGAAATTATTGCCTTTTAAACTTTGGTGTTTTATTTAGCTAGAAGCACTGATAAATGTTGTTTCCATGTCTGCATTTTGTCCAGGGGTTGAGGAGAAAATTGATTCAATTTGCATTTAAAGGTGAACCTACCTAAGTCATCATTTCTGAGACAATATGTGCACTTCTCTGAATTTTTCAAGTCAGCTATCCAGCCAAGTAATGTGTAAAACCAAATTGCATATATTTAAAATGTGCAAAAACAAAACAAAACCCCAAACACTTACATTAGTGAAAATAACATACCAAACTGCATTATTTTGGGGGAAATTGCTTAGAAAAATGTGTATATTGGGAGAAATTTCTACTAAAATGCTGATGATTTCATGCAGGTTAAAATAAATAAATCACTGTTATAGAAATGTGGGAAACTGAGTTTAAGGTCGGAGAAATGGGAAACAGAAAAAACCCGGACAGATTCACCAGTCTCTAGTTACGCCTTACCAAAGAACA